TGCAGGTGCGACACATTCCAAAATGACAGCATAGGCATGGAGACACATGGCAGCATTCAAGGTCTTGGTGAGACAATTGGCACGGGAGTCGGAGGCTCCTTTACCATCCCCTAAGGTTGAAAAGGGCTGGCAGCTGAACCCTGACGCAATCACTGAGGCGCCTCTTGAGGCTTTCCAGATTTCGACAATGGTATCCTGGGTCCCAAAGTCTCCTACGATCCCCACTGCGTCATGTACCTTGGTATGCAGTGAAACCATTCGCTCGTTCTGATCGACGGCTGTGACCACTTCAAATCCAGCCGCTATTGCTCCCTGGGCTAAACCACCGAAACCACAGCAGAGATCCACAACTGAGTGCGTGGAGGTCCATGTAGGGGCTTGGTGTCCCAATACCACAGTGTCTTTTGTGGCAGAAACAATTGGCATGGGGAATTGCTGGCGAAGGCAAACATTGAAAAGGGTAAATGAGTGAAACTCTCCAGTCAAAAGCCCTTCGTATGCAAACCTGGTGTCACCATTCCGAATTTGCATGAAGTGAGACGAGTGCTCAAGGTCAAAAACAAGGACCTTACCCACCAGATCAAAAGACTGACCAATGTCCACCTGCGAGAATTCCATGGGATTACACGACATGGCAACAAGGATGGATACAAACCGCCCAAAGTTCGGTAGGGGCAGCCGCACCCCTGGCAGGATTTGGGCAAACACGGCTGTTCCAAACCACCAACCAGATATGATTTTGATTAAATTGACCATTATTAACCATTATGAACCATTATTAACCATTAACCATTATTAATTGCCAAACCACCAACCAGATATAGGTTGATTTAATTAATGATGGTCTATATGAATCCATTACTCAAGCAGACCAGGAGATAGAATATGATTTTTTTTAGCTCACAGATAGAATATGAAAAACAAGTTAAGGTAGCTAAGACCCCAAACAGCAAATAGAATATGCAAACAACATATGCAGATAGAATATGAACATATGATATATGTGCAATGTTGCATGTGTATGCAGTACAGTACTGCACTGCCTGCAGCCAGTACAGTATAACGACCAAAAAATAATGCAACACATACAAAAACCATGAGATTGAATGTCACATCCTTCCAGCCAATAGTTTGCTCTCACTTTTTTCTCACCCCTAACTATGCTACGGTATGCAGTACGGCTGCCTGTACAACCAGAAACTTCTTGTGCATATTCTAAGTGGCCATATTCTAAGTGCATGGGCCCATATTCTAAGTGCATGGGCCCATATTCTAAGACCAAGGTTCTCGGCCTAGCTCTGAAAACCCTATTCCCCGAAGAGCGGCTTAGCTCAGCTAAGCAAATCTTAAGGTTTTATATTCTAAGTGCTGGTCCGTCATTGAACCATTATTCGAACCATTAGCCAGTATTAACCATTAACCAATATCTGATATAGATTCATATAGATTCCCTTATATTCGGGGCTCGAGGGCGATAAACATCGATTGAAATCGGCTCCTTGCCAGTCCTGCCAATCATGCCAATTCCACCAGTCCTGCCGCTGGTGGAAAGGCCCAGTTCACAGCTTGGGAAAGCCCGGGAGAAATGCTGGGTTTTACGTGTTCATGTTATAATTTGTAAATATTTATAACATGTTATAACTTATAACATCTTATAACCCAAACTTTGTGTGTGTGTGCGTGTAAATGGGGTGTAAAAAAAAAAACTTGATGAGCCGTATGAGCCGGGTGCCCAAGCGCCCTATTCTTGGGTAAATCCATGGGAGTTTTTGGTGCGACAACGCGACAATGGCAGCATTCTGGCAGCATTCGGGCAGCATTCGGGCAGCAGCACCGTGATTGATCAAACCATTACAGTTATGGTCATTTATTAGTTATAACTGGTTATTTCTATGGGATTATACAATCTATAAATGGGGTTTTGTTAGTACTTATAACTGGTAAAGGGCCATAACTGTGTGATATCAAGCTAAAACAATGGAGGTGTTTTAAATCAGAAATGATGGTGTGGTTGTTGGATTATACAACCTGGTCTTTAACGATCACTGTACTTAGGCCCAACCAATAAAAATAAAAAGGCACAAATCTTGACAACAATGTTGGGTATTGTTCAAATTTAGATTGTGTGGATGATACTAGGAAAAATATCCGATGCGGACAGGGCAATTAATTAACAAAATATGGGGCTGACACAGAAACCAAGCAGATAAGTTGCGTGTCATTGACAAATTGTGACCATCACCAGCCAGGCAAACAGAGTGCGTCTGAACGATGCATCTATCCACACTGCACGGAAGCTGATGGACAACGCAAGTGGTTGGATACATGGACCGAAGGATCTACTCTACCGTACTTGGAACATGCATAGACCATCATAGAACTAGAAAAGACGTTGTGGTTCTGAAAATGTTTGGAGCAGTTTGAAGCAACCACAGCCATATATACCATATATTGGGGGTTCTTTTTCAATGAGAGACCCCCTAAAAATCTTGCGCTTCCACCCCAAACTGGGGGTTTTTATGCCCCGCCCCAGCGTCCCACGGCACCGTAGGCGAACGGGATCATAATGATCAGCCAGGCGTCTACTCAGTCTCAACTTAAGTGGTTGATAGTCGCAACTTCATAATTGGTAGATAATCTTGGTTGATAATACTCATAGACTCATAGACTCATAGCAATATTGGATAATCTTGGTTGATAATACTCATAGTAGTCCCAATAATCTACCAACTATTGGTATTGGTTACTGTACCACTGCATATCAACTATTATAATCTACCAACTATGGATATGAAGTTTGGTTGATAACCAACTTAATAATAATCTACCAACTATGCTTTTTTTACTGGCTATGTGGTTGATAAGTTGTTAACCACACAATCTGACTGACGATTTTTGGCTGGCTCAGTACCGTATCCCAAGTGCAACAAAATGCTCAGAAGTTCACCGGTTCACCGTGATTTTTGGCTCAAGGTGATGGCCAGATCGCTTCTGTTCACATCAAAATCGCTACCCTCTAAATTAAACATGCATGAACTGTTCGACCCTGCCAGGGTTCGAAGATTCGTTTCCAGTAAAATTTGTTTATTCGACCCAGATAGGCTTAGAAGATTTGTTTCCAGTAAAAATGGGATTATTTTATGGAAATTTATTCATCATATGATTCCTATACACCATTATTCATACGTATTACAAATCATATCATTCACGATATTAATCACTACACCATTAATGTTAGGGTGATAATTACATATTATCACCATATTAATCACCATATTAATCACCATTTTATCATATCACTACCTATTATTAATCACTACACTATTAATGTTATTTTTTTAGGGTCCAACTGTCAATTTACCAATCATTGGAGTTCATACCACCCCCTCAAGCCGCAAGCGCTGCCGCTTAAGGCCGGGCCTTGTTCCAGTTCTGCCAGTCATCTGGGTGAGAGATGTGGGCCCGGAAATGGCGGGTTAGTATACGGTGATACCTTTTTAACATCTTTTAACAATAACGACTTGGAGTCGGAAATGCTTAATATATCTTATATAATATCATCCAATTGATTCATCCTTTTGCTGGGAATCCAGTCACGATGATTAACAGCTGTCCACATATCCAAAGCCTGATTTGTCATAGATACTGAAATCTGTAGACTCGTGAAAATATGCAGGAAACCGAAAATCGCTGATACTCGTTTCTAATGGTCCGGCGGGGACCGCGGATTTCACTGCTGGGCACTGCTGGGATGAGTTTCACCTTCAAAAACCAAACAGTTCAGGCTGCGCATTGAGAATTTATTGGGCGCCCTCCTTTTTTTGCCATCAACCAGCCACTCGTGGCAAAGATCACATCTATGGCTATCAAATGCTATCAATGGGGCATATGAATACCCACCACAATCACCAAAGGTCTACCATTTCAATGAGATCCAACTTGACCACATTTTTTTCCAACACATGCCGTGAGGATAGGAGAGGAAAACTGGAAATGCGTCCCTTTTGGGGTAAGATCCATTACTACCCCCTTCACACCATCAATTTACAAATGGAGTGAGGTCGGGGCTCAGTTGCTTTATAATTATATAGCTCAACTAGGGTTTATGGCGATTGGAACTATTGTTAGATAGGCATGAATCAACAAATTTGCAATAGTCTAAAGATGGTATATGGATGGTCATCTATCATCCGAGAATTGGAAACCCTTATAGCGAACAGGACAACGACCATTTTTCAGAACGGTAAATATGTTTTTGAAAAAAAACAAACTAAATGAATGGTTCATCGATGTTCAATTTCAGCTGTGTTAAACAACAAATATATATATATAAATGAAATTGAACATGTCAATTCGAACAGCTATCAATTTATCATCTATAAATCTATTCAATTAATACCATCTATACCTGGTTGGTGGTTTTAACCATCTTGAAAAATATGAAATTCAATGGGAAGGATGACATCCCATATATGAAATGGAAAATAAAATTCATGTTCCAAACCACCAACCAGTATATATAAATGGTAATATAACTAGTGAAACTATTTTCTATTATCCACTATTCTATACCACTATTATCCACACCAGTTAATAACCATTATTAACCATTAATAAACCATGATTAACCATTAATACCATCTATACCCTCTGGTCATAAGTTGTTTTACCAATGCTTGGGCCAAAAAACCGCTGCGCCTCTACCCGCATTCCAATCGTTCCAGGACTTCGACTCATACCTTGACAAACCCGCTGGATTGGGAAGGAACACCAAGGAAGGTTGTTAATGGTTGTTAATGTTGTTAATGGTGGTTATTAATGGCTAATAGTGAATTAATAGTGATTTACCCTCTGGTGAACGTTTACATAACTATGGAAAATCGCAATTTTTAATGGATAAATCCATTAACTATAGGTATAGGTATCACAAACCATAGTCATTGAAGTTATGTTCACCAACTTAGCTATCTACGGGCGGTCATCCAGAAAAACAAACACGGTTATATGACACCTGGTGGGCCCTCAACAGCCTCAAGATCTCCCTGGGATGCACACGTAGTCGACGTAGTCTCTTGTTCCGCAGCCTTCTGCCTCGAGGGAAACAAAAACATGGGTAGATGCTGATGCTCACGGAAAAGTCAGGATCAATTGGTTTAAAGGAACATATTATGCAGGAAACCTATTATTTTTGGCAAAATATGTGATTTGTGTTTTGCATTTCACCCCTGCAACAAATTCTGGGGCTGGAAAAACCCATGGGTTTTCACAGTTTCCACCTATAAGAATTGACAAACTAGGACTTGAATCATCCATGGCAGTAACCCCCCAATTGAGTTGCGAGGATGAACCCCGCGCAGCCAAAACATGTCAGACTGAGGTATGTGTGAGTATATGATGTCTGTTGTTTTTTTTGGCGTTCATTTATTGATGGGGTTGCGGCCCAGAAGACTTACTGGTGCTTAGTAGGGAATGACGGAATGATCCATAATCACTATAAGGAATAATCCTCCCAGCAAACCCCATTCCCATCCATTCCCTGCCAAGCACCAGTAAGACTATCCAACCAAAAAAGATGTTGATCAATGGCCATTGCAGGAACCTAAATTGGAGGTACCTACCATATATATATATATAAGGCCTTATATGGTACTAAGGTACCTCCATTTTAGGACCCTGGATTTCCCATTGACTTGATTTGGGTTCCTAATCCACGAAGTGGGGTAAGTCTTCAAGGTTTCCCGAAGCAAGCACGACGTCGCCATAGGTGGACTTGCACGTGTCCCCTGCAGATTCTGTACCACGTACCCTCCTGAAAACCAAAAAATATGGCATACCCACCATGTGTAAACCATTTCCTAGGGCGTATAAATATTTTGTTTTTTCCGTCTTGCCTTGTTAGTCTACTCCCGCATAAACCTTAAGACTCAAGATTTATGTTACTGGAAAAGTTAGGTTCACAATTTTGCTTGGCTATGGGGACTTTGGTCACCGGGAATATTTTTTTGTTTTTATTTTAGATGTTTTTTGCACTTTCTAAGAGTACAAAAAAGCAACATGGTTTTTTGCTGTATGTTTTGCAGCATGTAAGTAGACACTCCCAAGAACAGAAGAGCTCGAAGGCTTCTTGCTTTCAACCTCACCAACTTCAGAACCAGCAACAATTGGTGGCCATCCGATCACGGCATTTGGGACATAGTGGGAATGTGGCTTCCAAGAGTCTCCATGGTGAGTGTTGGTTAACAAAAACCCCATGAATACTATAGTTTAAGAGGGAATCGTTATTGAAGTTATGTTCATCAACTTCGCGATTTCGTAAACGGGGGCCCCACATTGAAAGGAACCCATGAGGAAATAGCTACCCTAGTATCCATTAATCCAGTGACGTATAAGTGGTTCGATCGTTAGAATGTATCCGGATATATCTCCACTGTATCCCATTAAGTAATTACCTATATTATACCATATTATACCACCATCGTCGTTGCTGGCAGACAATCCATATTTTGTTCAACTGTCAAATCAGTTAACAAATCAGTTAACAAATCAGATAACAAATCAGTTAAGTCATACTAAGTCCCTATGTTTGAAACAATTATGTCCTATGACCAACGAGATCAACAATGCGCCATGCCGTTTCCAAAACAAAAAAACAAAGGTTCCCGGCTGGCGAAGATCCTCGGCTGAAGCCGATGCTGCTGGCGTCTTGGAGGCCTGCCAAAGGCAGGATTTGAGGCCTGAGGAAACAATGGACACATTGGATTTTAACATATGTTAAGGATCAACCATGAGGATTTAACTATAGAAACTAACCATCAAACATGGTGATTTTACTAGAAAATATAGAAAATTAGGGTTTAAGTTTAAGGCTTCAAGTAGAAAAAATGAAGATTTAACTGATTTAACCATTAAAAATTGTTGTTTCAACCATCGAACATAAGGATTTCAGAAGGAAAAAGGCTTATGTTTGGGACAAATAAGCGGTTTGATAAGGGATTCATGAAACAACTGGCTATTGGCTGAATCATGGCTGTCGACCTACAGGGGATGATTCCCCCAAAAATGGATCCAGGTTGATTGACCAGTTCACGGTGTGAGCCAATCTCCACATTCAGAAAACCAAGGTTTATCTAAATAGATCCAGTGAAGACCCGCAGTACTTACATGTTCATCTGGTGGTTGGGCCGCCCCTCTGAAAAATATGAGTCAGTTGGGATGATGAAAATCCCAACTGAATGGAAAAAATAAAAAAAATGTTCCAAACCACCAACCAGTCATTGATAATATATAATTTACGGTACGTAAATTTTGTGAAATGCTGGGATTTCCAAAAGGTCTATCGGAAAAATGCTGGTGTTTTTCACACCCGTTGTTGTTATCCACATCCAGTGAAATTCCGTTGCATTGATCATATCCAATTTGATCACCACCATGGTTGGTCGAATCCCCCCGCAACATCACACCGGGTCCTTACTCAATATGACATTTATGCTGTGATATCCCGAACAAACCCGGTATTTCCAGCCGAGTAGGGTATTGAATATTAGGGGAATGGAATTAACCACAGCCACATATCCACTATTTAATTAACTAATTGGGGTAATCCCAAAGATTAAACACCCCAATTCATATCTGCAATCCCAAAGACTCAGAAATAATTTCTGGTGAATCCACAAGAATCTGAAATGTTGGGGAATCTTAACTACCATAAAACAATCATGGCTCTTTCACCGTTGATGTTTTTGGGTTCCAGGAACGTACCATTAGAAAACCCGAAAACAAAAACGTGTCCCTATTGATCCCATCCTATCTAGCAAAAAATCTGGCTAAGTGACAATTTTATGGTGTAATAATATGCCAGATACCCAATTAATAACACACAAATGGGGAGTATTTACATGTATTTACTGCTTGGTGCTAGTCATACACCCCACAGAATATCTCTCATGACTCAGTTATGCCAATGTTATTCTTGGGACCCCATCGATCGACTGTGTCCAGGTGCCTTTTCGCCATTCAAGTGCTGCAAGAAGGAACGTACGCGTTCGGTTTCTGCCAGCCGTGGCTGATGTTTACCATGGGAAGTGTACCATAGCGTACCAATGGTATAAGCTGGTTCTATACAGCCGGTGGTGCCCCAGTTCGGAATCGCTCCATTGGTGAATAACTAGCTTACATAGGGTTTTTCATGGTCATGATATCAACTTAGGGAATCATCCTCGAACCATATCTTGAAGATTCTTGAAGGACTATAATAATATGAGTAATTTTTCCCTTGAATAACTAGCTTACCTAAGGGTTACTAAAATACGATCTTCAAAGGAATCATCTTTGAACGTGCCATCACAAGTTTGGAGGGGGCAATGACCATCTTTTGAGATGATACAACTTCTTCCATTTCCTTATGGGTGTGACCCAAACCAATTTGAGTTTTTCATACTGAGTGTGGAAACCAAACAATCAAATGAATTGAACATATATATATAATTATGTATATATATATATGTTTTTATACACTTTATATACGTATATACAATTCTTCAGAACACCTAAACATGGTGAACCGTTTTGTGTAAACGGCTTGATCTAAATTGCTTAGGTCAAAATATGTCCCCATCAACGAAGATGTCCCGGTAGTCTATCGAAATCTTGATGGTTGAACAGCATTTTTTACCCAAGTTTTGGTCCCGTCGCCTGCCGTTTGCGACTCTGGACTCTTTGCCCAGCTTCACCTATATGATCCCATACGAGCTGCAGGGTTCAACCCCTCTATCATCCCTTGATTGATCATCCGATTCCCGGTGCAGCTACGAATATAACTTTCTGGGGTTTACTATAACCTGGTTGGTGGTTTCAACCCCTCTGAAAAATATTAGTCAGTTAGGATTATTATTCCCAATAGATGGAAAAAACATGTTCCAAAGCACCAACCAGCTAACTATCGTTTAATAACGGAGGTTAAACATCGTTTCACTGGTCGCAAGTCAACTCCCCCCGCCTGGAGAGTTCTTCTCCTGGGACCAAAAAATTTGAAGATTATGGAATAGGAAAAGAAAACCATGGAATATTATTAACATCTGGATAGTGAAAATAGGATAACAATTTCAATAATATTCTGAATCTTCCAAATAGGAATATCACAAGATATGTGAAAAGAGAAAGTTATGGAAAGTTCTGGAAAGTTATGGAATAGGAAAGTTATGGAATGTTATGGAATGCTATGGAATAGAAAAAATATGGAAGTTATGAAAAGTTATGGAATAGGAAAGTTCTGGAAAATTATGAAAAGTTAAGTTGTGGAAAATTATGAAAAGTTATGGAAAGTTATGGAATAGGAAAGTTATGGAAAGTTATGAAAAGTTATGGAAAGTGATGGAATAGGAAAGTTATGGAAAGTTATGAAAAGTTATGGAAAGTTACGGAGTAGGAAAGTTATGGAAAGTTATGGAATAGTGAAGAGTACAGTAATGGAATAATATGGACTAATGTTAACAATATGGAATTCCAAATGTGAAAGTTATGGAATAGGAATGTTATATTCCATATTATCGATATCTGGAAAAGACAAGTTTTCTGGAAAGTTATGGAATAGTGAATAGTTATGTCTTGTTTTGCTGCTTGTGTTCCCTATCTGGCTCAAAATGATAAGAATTCACAAAAAGGCCGCTATGTATAGTGATATTGATATTAACTTCTATTAATGTAATATTAAAAAACTATTAAGGCCGCTATGTGTTACAGGGGACATAACCAGCTAAAACAATATAGCATTTTATATTGATACTAGTTAAGCTGCAATTCTTGGTAGCTTCTTGGGATCATGTTTTATCCAATTCCCATACTTCCAGGGTGTCACGACGTGAGGTAACTAACTCATAGTTACCCAAAGAAATTGAGCAGTGTGAAATAATTCCCTCTATCATGCCATGAAATACTGGTTGGTGAAGAACGGGATTCTCCGTTCTTGGATTATCGTAATCCCCAATATATAAAGGGTAGTATAACCCCCGAACTAATCATCAACCAACAGGGGTTTAGCAGCCACTGCTCAATTGAGTTTTAACCAAAAATGGGATCTCTACCAGCACAAATGAGCATCGTCAAAAATATCATTGCAAAATTGGTTTTGCTGCTTGGTTGATACATGTTCCCATAATGCATAATCATAAATATATAATTATATGTAAATATATTTATACTTAGATGTAACACTATATTTATAATTAGATATATATATAACTATATATCTAATTAGATATATAATTGTTTATAATTCGATATAGAATTACATATATAATTGGATATACAATTATATATATATAGTGATATATATATATATATAAGTATATAACTATATATATACTTCATTAAACTACCCAAACGAACTCCCTGTTGTAAACAATAAACACGGGTTTTTGTTCATTGTTCCAATGTCATGATAACCGACAAAATAGAAAATTATCTTTTGTAATCAAAAACACAGGTGTTAACACTGTTTAACCGAGAACATGTGATTTTAGTATGCTTTAACCAACACCAACTGGGCGTTCACCAACAAACATGTGATTTAATCAGCCAATGTAGGATTTCAACCAAAATGGACACGCAACCAGCAAGAATGACTTGTTAATTAGATTTTCAACCAACACAAATGAATTAGATTTTAATCATCAAACAAACGGTTGTCTTACCATCACAAACGTGGATTTTACCAGTAAAGTGCTTTCTTTACATCAAAATTTGGATGTGAAGTTTGAGACTTTCCTTCATTTAAGGTTATGCTCCGAAATGGGTATAAAATGGGGAAGTTCATGGCTGGAAATCATCATTTACGATCGTCTCCGTGATCCTTCTACGAGGGGGATACCATTACACAGCACACGTAGCGAGGGTTTGCAACCAGCAGCCAAATCCTTCCGCTGTTTTGAATCAAAGTGTTTTTAATGGCTTCGATTACCTCGCGAACCAATCAACTAACATCGGTTGAGCAGCCTTCAAGATATGTTCAATATTCCATGCAAGGTAAATATTTTATACCTATGCCACACTACCAGGGAACATGGCCCATGCCATGCCTTGTTCATCTTTCCAACTCCCTGGCAGGGTGCCATGACTCGAACGGAGGCAACTCGAATGCGAGGTTCGAACGGATTAGTTGATCCATATTGATCCATCAAAATCCCAATGTCATCCCATCAATTTTCATTCCCCACCTGCCAGGTGAGGGTTGTTAGATTTTATGTCAGTTGCCTCCTCCTCCTCCTTCTCCTCCTTCTCCTCCTCCTTCTCCTCCTCCTCCTCCGCCTCCTCCTGCCTCGTCCTCCTCTCCTCCTCCTCGTCCTCCTTGTCATCCTTGTCGTCCTTGTCGTCCTCGTCGTCCTCGTCGTCCTCGTCGTCCTCGTCGTCCTTGCTCAACTGCGACCCGCGATCCACAGTGTTCTCTGCCGGACCTCAACCACGACCATCCACGCCCAGCGTTCCCTGCCGGACCTCAACCACGACCATCCACGCCCAGTGTTCCCTGCCGGACCTCAACCACGACCATCCCCGCCCAGTGTTCCCTGCCGGACCTCAACCACGGCCATCCACGCCCAGTGTTCCTTGCCGGACCTCAACCGCGAGTATCCCCGCCCAGTGTTCCCTGCCGGACCTCAACCACGACCATCCACGCCCAGTGTTCCCTGCCGGACCTCAACCGCGACCATCCGCGCCCAGTGTTCCCTGCCGGACCTCATGTAGGAAGATATGGGACAAAGAATGTGCAGAAGAAAGTTAGAAAGAATGTCAGAAAGAATGTCAGAAGATATGCCAGAAGATATGCCAGAAGATATGCCAGATAGAATGCCAGATAATATGCCAGAAGATATGCCAGATAGAATGACAGATAGAATGCCAGAAGATTTGCCAGATAGAATGCCAGAAAATATGCCAGAAGATATGCCAGATAGATATGTCAGAAGATATGCCAGAAGATATGCCAGAAGATATGCCAGAAGATATGTCAGAATATATGCCAGAAGATATGTCAGATAGAATGCCAGAAGATATGTCAGAAAATATGCCAGAAGATATGCCAGATAGAATGCCAGAAGATATGTCAGAAAGAGTGCCAGAAGAAATGCCAGATAGAATGCCAGAAGATTTGCCAGATAGAATGCCAGAAGATATGCCAGAAGATATGCCAGATCATATGCCAGAAGATATGCCAGATAGAATGTCAAATAGAATGTCAGAAGATATGTCAGATAGAATGTCAGAAGATTTGCCAGTAAGAAAATGTATAAATGTCATGGTGGGGATCACACGAAGTAAAGTATTTTTTTTTCATAACATCCCCAGATGATTCCGATCAAATCCCATTGTATGTACCCCTGTCACGATTTCTGGTGAAAATGATGAAATACACGTGTTCCGTTCAAATCACAAACTGTATTACTCGAAACACCAAATAACATACGAGTTTTACTAGCTCCAGATTTTCATTGGTTTACTATTGCTTACTGGTGAAATCCACATTTTTCCTTACACTCTTTTGGGGCACCGCCGTCGCCAAGAGGGCCTTAGCCGGTGACGTCTTGGGCGGCGTGACCGGGGCGCGCAGCCCGGTAGAAGCCTGGCTGGGAAGGGTTTCATGAATTTTTTTGGAAATTTTCAAGGATTTCTAGTGATTTATGAATTTATAGTGATTTTCTAATGATTTTACAAGGACATGATGTTTTGGATAGGGAATTTACCCAGATGCTCCATGGTGCTGGAATATTTGCCTACATTTACCCCAAAAATGGCCCTTTTTATGTAGGTAAATATTCCAGCACCATGGAGAATCTGGGCTAGATGGATTTTGCAAGGGTTTCTGATGATTTTTTTTTTCGGATCGTGATGTTTCAATTAAAGAACATGTTATGGGGATTTAACGTGATTTATAGGCAAATTCTAGGTATTGTTTAGTGATGTATATGGAATGTTAAAGTGATTTATAGGAAATCATAGGGATGCAAAGGGAATTTAAAGGGGGTATTTATTATCATCTTCAAATTAACGTTGGAATTTATAGTTGTTTTATATGTATGATGTAACATTTGATCATAATTAGATAGAGTGGGATACATGTGGATATCCAAATAATGATTGACAATTATAGACAGTAATCTTATATATGGTGTTTATCATGTCAGTTGTTGTTTTTATATATGTATATATTATAATATGTGTGTTGTTAATTCTTTTAGATTGTTATTTTATGTTTATTTTATTTTTTAACGGGTATTAAAAACAACATGTCAACTACTGAAATTCACCGTCAAAAACCACCAAAACAATCATAGGAATAGACATTTCCCTTGGACACAGATCTGTAAACATTAAACATTGGGATACAGTACATATATAATGTACATATATAATGTACATATATAATGTACATATATAATGTACATATATAATGTACATATAAGATTATATAACCAATCGTAGTTAATATAGTTAATATAGTTACTGCAATGATTACTACTGTGGTTGGTTGCGAAATCATGCACCACCTTTGGACGGTTGCAACCCTATAAATACTGAGATAACCCACATTACTGCACCTCCTCCAGTGGCGGCGGTGGTGGCGGTGGTGGCAAGGGCTGTGCGCCCTGAAGTGTTGGGGGCGTGGCAGGGTTGGAAGGCTTACCCTCTGCTTGGAGGATTTTCATGGTATTTTACTCACAGAAAATTTTATCTATGGTTCGTGATAATTATATCTACAGTGAAGTGGCATAAAAACTATATCCTCTGGTAAACTAACAGTTTGCATCAGTTTGCTATGGAAAATCACCACTTTTCATAGATAATTCAACTATAAATGGCCATGTTCAATAGCAAATTGTTAAAATACTCGAAGGTACCCACAATTTTAAATTCATGGTTGAATGGAATAACAATTATGGAAAATTTATGAAATTTACCATCAAGAAGTGGTTCATCCCACGAACCGGAAGTAGGTTATAACCCCAGTTAAATAAGTTGCAGATCCCCAGTTTAGCAAAATCATCGAGCCAAACGGACCATTTTCCAAAGCTATAGTTAACGGAGGGTTGAATTGCCATCAAACATGTGGATTTAAGCAGTACAACATCCTAGAAGTTTGGATTTTGCCACTCAAAAAGAGTCCTTTACGGGTAAAAATGGTGGTTGAATGGTGAGTAACACAGTTGCATCAAATGACATGTGATTTGATTAACATGTGTTTTTGATATAATTTATGGTACAGTAAATCAATGTAAATCATATATATATATACATAACCATTATATAACAAACTGGAATTCAGGACCATTTAGGAGCAGCTATCTTGTTAGGATCGTGTGCACACATATATATATATATATATATGTATAATACTGTATAATAATATGCATGTATATACGTGATTTCCAAGTGGGGGCCCCTTAACAAAGCCAAAAACTGAACCATGTGCCGCTAGTTCAAGTGGGTTTCAAAAACATGGAGGAAACAAATTTGGCACCCTGGGCTTAATAGTTGGTTAAAACTGAGGGCTGAAGCAACAGAAATGGCAATTTAAGCACGACAATACTTGGAACATCTTGGAACCAACGTCAACCTATATATATATATGGGTATGTCTCAAAATACCGTGTCCAACCCGGGAAGTTTGACTAGGGGGTATGATTCGTGGGTATGATTCGGGGTATGATTCGTGGTATGATTCGTGGGTATGATTCGCGGACCTTGATTTAGTGTTTCCCTGCATCCTCCGCGTATGGTGATTTACCCACCCTTACTCCGAAAATGTTTCAACTGTTGGCAATTATACCATACGTGGAGTGCTTTGGAGCTGGCATGCTGTTGACGCTGCGCGTGCTGCTGTCAGAGTGGTGTGTGTGCTTTGTAGCGGGCATCGTGGTGCTGTTGGAATGCCGCTGCAAGGTGCTGGTGCAGGGTGTTGCTTGCTGTCAGAGTGGTGTGTACAGTTTGGAGCGATGCTGGTGGCGCTCAGAGTGCTGCTGCAGGTGCTGCCTGAGGGTGATGATTGAAGGTGCTGCTGTCAGAGCGGTGTGTGCTGTAAACCCTGCTTTGGAGCGGGCATGCTGGTGAGCGGATGCGGGTGGAAGGTGCTGCTTGAGGGTGCTGTCGAGCTAGCCTGCTGGTGCTGCTGCAAGGGGTGATGCTTCAAGGTGCTGCAAGGAGGGTACGTACTGTACCCAACTCGTGCTGCAAGGGTGCTAGTGAAGGGTGCTGCTGCACGCTGCAGGGTGCTCTTGTCGGATTTTTCTCAGAAGCGGCGTAGTGTAGCCCGTGGCGAATAGCTGCAAAGAAAAGAGCTCACAAAACACAAGTTCTGATCTTGCAAATGTACCAAGGTTCAGAATTGGGAAGTTTGAGGTATGATTCGGGCATGATTCGGGGTATGATTCGGAAACCCATCTTTTTTTGAACTCAGGAAGCTTTGTTGCTTGAGTCTCTTTTTCCCACCATCAACCTACTACGATTGCTACTTTGTCAATGGCTGCAATGGCTCGACCTGCCAGACGACCTTGGACAGGACCTGAATATGAAGCATGTGAAGATCTCAATGCACATCTATGATTTATATCCGCCGGCCTGCCGGCGTCTCTTCTGGATGTTCTTCTCATGTACCTTTAGCTCAGCTACGCTTAGGCTTATGTTCCTCCTCGACGGAGTTTTGGTTTGGTTGCCAGCCAGCCGCAGCCAGAGTCATCCCCCTCATCAGCCTCATCAGCAACGCAGCAAGCAGCCAGCCACGCAGCCAGCCAGCTGCAACTAGCCAGCCCTATAGCCAGCCACACAACCAGCAGCAGCAACTGAGCCAGCAACCTAGCCAGCCAGCCAGCCAGCCAGCCAGCCACCCAGAGCCAGCCAGCTTAGGGATAATGATGAGACTCTGTGCGCGTGGAGAAGATTCGCCACTCCGTGAAGGTATGTGAAGGTAGCCAGGGATCATCGGGTCTGGCCAACACTGGTCAATTAGCTTGTCAGGTCCATTATAACTAGTGAGGCCAATGCAATCCCAAACGATCCCAAAAGAAACATTCATAATCGTGATTTTTGGGGGTATGATTCGGGGGTATGATTCGCACAAATCGAACTTCCTGCCTTTACTAAAAACTGCACGCGTTAAAAAAAGACACAGCCATATATCTGTTTACCAACCAAACCTTGGAAAAATTGGGGAAACCACTTGGTGTTTGTATTCCCACTGATGATCACTGACTACCGCGTGTACGACCAAATTCCAGATTGCGGTTAGGATCACGGAAAACTTACCCACGGAGCTATTGGGAAGGCAAAATTTGCCAATTAATTAGCCTTCCAGACATCCACCCATCCTACTTTTCTCCAGATTTCCTTCTCGAGGCTGTGAAGCTGAACGCCGGTTGTGATCATGGCATCTATTTCGTTGTGATCGTACTTCACAGCCTGCCACAGGTACCAAACACATTTTTCCATAGCGCTAGCCACAGCGTCCCACTCCTGGGTATTGGCCCCTCACAAGTGTTCTCCCAATGCACAAAGGCCATGACGCATTCCAAGGCGTCGCAGTTCTTTGTGCCACCGCACAGGCATGAGGACAGCATCGCTGTCATCAAGTCTCCATCCTCGTGCGCCTCGTCCAGCACCACATTCTGCCAGGGACTGCGTGCAAGAGCTTGCGCCTGTGTTGCAGGCGCTGCAGGCATTCCAGTCCGGCAGGAAATGCCAAATCAAGGCGGTGACAAACCAACCATGGCATGGTTTGTGCATGTTTGTGCTGGATCAGCCCGAAAATATTTGAACTGATCAGCCCGAAAATGAGCCCGAAACTAAACATTCAGAGGCTATCGAAAAAACACATGTAGGAATTTTAAAGCACGTATTGAGTATTGCACACGAGCCTCTTGGGCCATACTCGCTACACTAGGCGCAACTTAAACCGGACATGGTTCCATGATCATGAGCTGCCCATCTTGTGTTGCAAGTTTCCAAGGGACCAATTGAATGTGAGATGTTGCTGCCCAGAGATATGTCTGTGGCAAAAAGTACATTTCAGCGGGAAAAAAGTGAAGATGCTTTTTACCATTCCAACAGATTCTGTGAAAATAGATGGGGACAACAAACAGGACACTTTCCATGTACTGAATCTACTGAAGGATTACTGTAATAAGTCTGGTTGGTGGTTTCAACCCCTCTGAAAAAATATGAATTTCAGTTTGGATTATGGTTCCCATAATATATGGAAAGTCGTAAAATTCATGTTCCAAACCACCAACCAGTAAATATCATACAGGTTAAAAGCAATACTGGCTCTGCACCATTTTTTGTTGCGTGAGGCCATAGGCCGTAGTGACATCACATCACAACTCACGTCCTTCAGTTCCCTTACTGACGGTCGTCTTTCATGGGCTTTTGCTTGGTGAAGTCCTTGTAATCCACAGGACATGTACCCTGGCAATGGACAAATCTCCACTTGCGTCCATTGGTTGCAGTGTGATCCATGAAGATAATGATGTCCTGATATTCAAACAAACACCCAGCAGCCAAACATCTATGTCCTCCGGATATCGAACATGGCAATGGATAATGCCAAGTTTTATATGATTTTCCCAGTAAAGCCTCCATTTAGAGTGGATTCTTCATTGCCACGTTTGATGACACCGGAGGGTAGCTAAAGTTGTATCATCCCAGTACACAAATCTTTCACAGATGTTGGTCATGATTTAATATTTGAATTATCGGAGGGCAATTTGATATTGGATCTAACTAGCCAACATATGCATTTTATTTGGCAATATAACTAGGGAATACTAGGGATATAACTGCAATGTGGGCCCCCTAGACACCTAACTTGGTGAACATAACTCCAATAATTATGGTTTATGATACGCAAAGAACTATGGACGTTATTAATGGGGTGCATAAACCAACTCTGAACTGGGGGGCGGCCGGGGGGCGACATTGTGGGGATTTAGTCCCATTGCGATCCCATAAGGCATCTCCAGGTCAGCGAATGGTTAAGTCCCTCCCAGCTTGGGGCCCCACCCCTTGGAGGGTCACACCTTTTTTTTTTCGTAACTGGTGCACAACTGGGGCAGTTACACAGTCATAGCCGCGGGTTAGTTATGTAGTTATGGAAAATACCCATATGTTTTTTAATAGGTAAATCATCATGCTTATCATTGTAAATGGACAATTTTCCATAGCTATTTTAAATAACCCAAGGGTACACAGCATAATCATCCCACTTAAGGGACTGACTATGACTGATTAATCCAGGGCTATTTATAAATGATTCACCAGTACAGTCAGCGAGAGAATATGACAAGTTGAAAAGTGTTTCTTATTCAATGTCAACCCTGGATCAATAAACTTTAACGGAGGGGTTACCACCAAACTAGTAATACTGAAATTCATCCCCCCTACACAAAAAGGACCCTCCAGCTTTCAGTTAGTCACCTGCGGCTTCCTGGGCCTGCCCCTGAGCTCCCGCCTGCGAAAAAACCGCAAGGAACCCAGGCTGTGGCATAATGGCTCCAGGACCCTTGGGTCCTGGAGGTTGTGGAGCTATGGGCCCTGGAGCCACGGGCCCTGGACCCATGGGCCCTGGAGCCGTGGGCCCTGGAGCCGTGGGCCCTGGAGCCGTGGGCCCTGGAGCCGTGGGTCCAGGGGGTCCGGCCTGGGTGCGACGTGGGGATCGAGGCCGATTTGGCCCCAGAAGCATTGTGTCCCTTTCTATCCCCCCACTACATCCCCAAAATGTAATGATTTTATACCTCCAATTGTGGGGTTGGTTGAATCCCCCTGACAGTGATGGAGTTAAACCACAACTTCTGATGGCCAAACGCTAAGCCATCATCTGTTTTAGTTGGATTATATAAATAATCATGTTTGATACTTAAGACACAATATTTTAAAGTTGAGTTGGTTAAATCACAATTGCTGATACTTAAGTCATCGTGTTTGATGATGCTTAACTCCCCATGATTGATAGGTAAATTACAATAATTACAGTATTTTACTGACCTGAAAAGTTCGGCTATGTTGGGAGAATTCCCCGAATCCTAACCATCATTCCAGGGTTCGGTCGCGACGTTAAATCGGTGCGTTTATTATCAGGTTTACCACATTATCTCCATTTGATCCCCCGTTCCCATCCATTTCTGCCGACACGCGGCGCCGAGCGTTTGTTTCCGCCAAGAAAACATGGTCAAACTGTTATAATCAACAAAAAAACATGTCATTGTTGCTGGATAATTTTGGTGTGTTTCCCGTTTTCATCAAATGGAAATCCATCAAAATTCCATTTGATAATCCCATGAAACATGAGGGATGCCTTAAGGGGATACCCCCTCAACATACCTCAGAATAATAAAAGTATTATTCCGGCATCCGTTGAGTTCATCACAAAAATCATATTCCAAGAACTCAATGAGATATATGGAAAAATGGAATAATTTCCATCAAAATGATACCGGTATAGTCTATTTCTAGCCAAACGCAAGTAATCGTAAGCAGCTGCGCGCAAACGGCCGAAAACGGTTTCCCTTCTTGCAGAGCTGGGGCACAAATTTAATCAGATAGGATCAAGAAGAGTCAGCATAGTATCTTTAAACAAATGTCCTCTCAGCAACCCACTGGTTGAACATGGTTTTAATTGGTTTTGGATGTTTTTCCAGTTTCTGGGCTAGTTTGGTGGTTCTGGCCTTAGTGGGAATGAGTGGGAAAAGGAAAATATTTGGTTGTCACTGGTTTATTTTTTTGCCAATTTCTGGATTTGTTTTGTGATTGTAGCAACTGCCCCCTTTTGTTTTTGAGGGGTGCCAGGCATCTCCAATACCCCTAGAATAATTTCTCCCCTGGGGAAAGCCCACAAAATGGCACCCAACCTGGCTCTCTCCTACAAGTTTTCCCAACTTTGCGTACGCCCCCCTATTTCTTCCATATTCCCTTCATTTCCTCCCAAAAAACTCCCGTTGGCCATAGTGGGAATGGGTGGGAAATGTGTAGGTTTCATTTGGTTTTTTACAATTCTTGCCAATTTCTGGGCTAATTTGGTGATTAGCTGCCCCCTTTTGTTTTTGAGGGGTGCCAGGCATCTCCAATACCCCTAGAATAATTTCCCCCCTTGGGAAAGCCCACACAATGGCACTCAACCTGGCCTTTTCCTAGGTATTTTCCTAACATTCCCTATTCATTGCCACCCAAAGAACTCTCGAGAGAAAGTACCGTGAGAGAAAGGTGGTCCGTTGGACACTAGTTGTGCGTGCAAGTACGCTGCAAAAAAAGGTTGGCAGCAATTGCCCAAACTGCATGATGCTTTAAATAACTGCAATTGGCATTTCCAGCAAAAAGTTTTCAGGCAAACACCGCCAAGCTAGGAATGGCTTTTGGAAAGGCCAGGCCACATGTAGGACGTATAGGCTGTTTAAAGATGTGTTAAGATGTTTTAAGTTACTAAAAATTATTCCAAAACCTAATTATTCCGTGGTATCTTCACGGGCTGGATCATGATTTTCAAATTCCAACATGCATAATCGTATACCTACCCCCCTCAAAAATTATTCCTTGAAAATTATTCCAAAAGAAATTATTCCATAACCTAGTTGATACCCTGGAAAAATTTCTTAAGGCATGGGTCATCATGAAACAGTATCCCATTTATCCCATTGAGTATGTATCCCACAACAATGGAAAGGGCCTGCGGCATCGTCAGCTGATTGATCAAGGAGGGCGCTTTCCAGACCTCAAGAGCCGATCAAATCATCACCGGAACTGGCGGACTGGCCTTGATTTCACTTTGGAAAAACATGGGAAAATAGGACCAAACTCTGGCTGGTTGGTGGTATACCTACCCCTCTGAAAAATATGATTTCGTCAGTTGGGATGATGACATTCCCAATATTCGAAGGAAGTTTAGAAGTGAAACTTCCGACAATATGGACAGTTGAAAAGCAGAGGTGAGAAGAGTCAGAAGAGAAAGAGTCAGAAGAAAGAAGATGCAGATGCGCGAAAAGGTAGGAAAGTCGCGAAACACTGTGTTTTTCCAATGATTTGGGGCTCCGGAGGGTGGAAAAGTAGGCTCGCTAAAGCGGCGGGTGCGGAGCCAGCTGGCCAGATGAGAGATGGAAAAGTGCACGCCGTTGTGGCGCGAAGCACATTTGCAAGTCAAAATGTAGAAAACACACCAGCGTCGGACCACTTTTGGAAGTTGAGATGTTGAAAAAGCGCACGCCGTTGTGGCGCGAAGCACATTTCCAAGTCAAAATGTACAAAACACACCAGGTTCGGACCACTTTTGGAAGTTGAGATGTCGAAAAAGTGCACGCCGTTGTGGCGCGAAGCACATTTCCAAGTCAAAATGTACAAAACACACCAGGTTCGGACCACTTTTGGAAGTTGAGATGTCGAAAAAGTGCACGCCGTTGTGGCGCGAAGCACATTTCCAAGTCAAAAGTGTTAAAAACTGACGGTCTCGGACCACTTTTGGAGGTTCAGATGTCGAAAAAGTGTCGAAAAAGTGCACGCCGTTGTGGCGCGAAGCACATTTCGAAGTCAAAAGTGTAAACAACTGAGGGTTTTGAGCCTTTTTTGAGGTGCAGATGTCGAAAAAGTAGACACTGATTAACTTAACTAACTTGACTAACTTAACTAACTTCACTAACTTAACTACCCTAACTTCGACAACAGCAACAGCAACAGCAACAGCAACAGCAACAACAACAACAACAACAACACCAACACACAACACAACACCAACCACAACTACAACAACTACAACTACAACAACTACACAACAACTACAACACTACAACTACAACAACTACAACAACAACAACAACAGCAGCAACAACAACGACAACTACAACTACAACTACACTACACACACAACTACAACCACACAACAACACTACAGCTACAACAACAACAACTACAACTACAACAACTACAACTACAACTACAAAACAACTACAGCTACAACTATATGACTGCAACTACACTACACTAATTACATTACACCGCAACTACAACTCCACTACGCTACAACTACAACTACAGTTGCAGTACATCACACTACATCCAGCAGGTGAGGAAGAGGTGACCACTGCAACCATTGCAACCACTCCAGCAAACACAACTCCAACCACCTTTCGGTCAATCAGTGGCTTCGCTCTGCCATCCCTGATTCACAACAACCAACGTCTCCTATAGGTTTCCTATTTTTGAAACTTCCGCCACCGCCTTGTGCGGTACTACTGGTAAGGAAAGTCATAAAATTCATGTTCCAAACCACCAACCAGTATGGGAAACCATGGCAAAACATGGTGATGTGAGTGATGTGGAAAAAATCTGCAGCTCGCCAAGAGAAATGGTGATTGTTCACAAGCAATTTGCACCATGAAGTGAGCTTCGGGATGATCAAAACATTTTTTTTTCGTGCGGACTGTTCAGCCAAATGATCCCTGGAATTCCCACAAACTGCACCATTCCAAACTTTATCTGGTTGGTGTTTCAACCCCTCTGAAAAATATTTATTAGGCATTTTTTTTATTCTTCCCAAACATATATGGAAAAAAAAAGGTTCCAAAGCACCAATATTGGGAACTACTTCTTCCATGGGTACCTTCCATGATGCATCCGACCATTGCTACGTCAGTTCATATGCTCCTATACAAATGTCTGAAACTAGGGAAATTACCCATTTTTTTTTGGATAGGGAAATTGCCCAAATCTGAATGGTTCATCATAATTTCCCGTACAAAAAAGGCCATTGGCTGGGTATCCCCATTGGCTGATTCTCCATGAGTTGTCCGTCCGGCATCATATCCCGCCTTTGGTGGCGACTTCGCAACCTAGCGCTAGGGAAAGGGCCGAGGTTAGTACAATCTACCCGTTTATTGATCCTTTCAGACACGGGAACTCCAGGACTTGATGAAATTGTGACTGAATTTGTCTCTGACTCAAACAATTTGCCTGCAAACATCTCAAAATGTTTAAGATCCCTCAAATGATTTGCTACTGTACAAACTGATATAGCATTTCAATTTCCCTTCGGTTATAGCCACAAGTTGGGCACCCATTTGTGTTCGTTGGTGTATGTTCACTCGTTCAACTGTAGATCTAACCGTCATTGGAGTTGCAAACCGACAAATCATAAACCAACTGTTTATCCCGATTTTGATGATTTAAGTACCCATGCATTTCTATTGGGTAAATCATAGTAAAACCATGTAATTCATGTAAATCCCCGTTTTACCATAGTTCTGGGTAAATTATAATATTTCACTAACCTGAATTAAGACCATTTGGGGATGATTCCCCTTACTAACTATGATTTCCAGTGAGCTCGCAGTGAGGTCGTTATAATTTACCCAGATAGTTTCCTATATGTTTCCCATCTGTTGCCCATAGTTTCGTCCTATGCTCCAATCTTTTCCCATGAAATCCTGTGCCAGGCGCACCTGAGGCATCTCCTTCGGAGTTGAGGAAGCTACAGGCTCCTTTGAAAATGCCATGGGTATGATCTGGGTAATTTACCTGGTTGGTGGTTTTAACCATGTTGAAAAATATTCTTCAATGGGAAGGATTATCCCATATATTATGAAAAAACAAACATGTTTGAAACCACCAACCAGTTACACTAATTCACTATTCAAAAATTGGACAAGGGATGCTTAGATAGGATTATTTGAGGTGATTTTACTTAAAAAGGGAAAAACTCATGGATATGAGAAACATTTTGAGACCATGGCGAAGAATGGGAGAAATGATTTTAATCAATCCCCATGGTACAATGAGAGAAATGGTAACATGGTTTGATTATCATGGGTATGACGTGTATATATATAATTGATACCACCTGCTAATTTAATGGAAATTGATATATCAATTATATTAATTGATATTTGATAGATACCCTCTGGTAATCTAACCAAGAAACAATATGGCAGAAAAAACATGTATAATGGGAGATATAATGGGATATCAAACATTAAATTGGTTTATCCTCTGGGAATTTGTGACAAACATGATGGGATTAATGGGATTTAGTGGTGATTTCACTGATTTCTGGGGATGAATCGAAGAAACAAAAAAACAGGTTTATAGCTGGGATCATCATCGAACTAGATGGTAGATGTTCCATCAAACCATGATTGATTCCTGGGTATGGTGGATGGATGCCCTCTGGCAATTTGTAGCAATTTGCTGTGGAAAATCAATAGGTAAATCATTTACAAATGGGAATAAAACAAAACAATGGAACTGTATCATTGGTCAATACTTGTCGGAACGGATTTTACACATCTGAACCCAATTTCCATCCAAGTATCTTAAATGAGTATAGTAAATAGATACCCTCTCGTCACAGTTTGCTTTGGAAAATCGACATGTTCTGATGGGCAAGTCATCTATGAATGTGCAATGGTTTCCATGCTAATAGGGGGTTCAATAGCTATGCTAGTATGGTGGATATATTTTTGGGTTAGATGCGGTTATATACCACCCAAGATTAATGGGATCTGATGATAACCTTCCTGCAGGATAACGATTATAATGGATGTTTGACTTAAGAATCTGTTGTCCACCAAGATGTTCTTTGCACTTAGCTAAGCAAGTGTATATGAAGTGGGGTCTACCCAAATTTTTGCTGCCAAAAACATAACGTTCGTTCACGGTTCACGATTCACCTGGTCCACGGGTGAAAGGTGACGCTCCACCTGCGGCAGAATTTGGTGAAGGGCAACTGGCCAATACGATGATTTATGCATATATATAAATATATTTATAATGATCCGGAAGTAGATAGATGATCAAATGTTCATTGATAGTCCCATGTTTGTGGGGATTCTTTGACATATCCATATTTTATCTACTCCAGGATGGCTATCTCTACACATAGTGTGCATATACATATATATTATATATGTATATACACATATATATATACACATGTGCTGTGGTCAAAAGATGTTAAGGTTATGGTGATCCATCCCGTTTCACGGGAATCCTTGAGTAACGGGCACGAAAAAATCTCTATGGATTGATGACCATCCCCCCAAGATAGGTAGAATGTGGGGCCCCTGTTTATGATGATAGTTAATAAACATTATAAACCAACAAACATAACTGGGGGGGCCACATTGTACATCATCCAACTTTTGAACATGGCATATAGTGGTTTCTATAAATGGAGATGCCCAAAATGGATGGTGTTTAATGGAAAATCCTATTAAAATTGATGATTTAGGGGTACCCTCATTTTAGGAAACCTCCATATGGGTATTCCGATGGGTGTGGTAGATTTTCTCTGCAGTTGCCATTAAACAAAAATCTAGAAATGATCCAAAACCCCAGTGATTTCACCCATTGGAATGTTTCATCTTAGGTCGGTTAAAATAAGGATCTCATTCAAGCGCGGAGCCTACTGCCAACAAGTGACTATGACTGTATGGTCAATGAAAGTCCGTGTTCCTTTCAGGCTGCGCCCCTTTTGTTCAGCACTGGCGGGAGATGTCACAGTAGAGGCACACTCTCCATGAGGGAGATGTTCCTGTAGTCGAGCATAATTGGCATGTTTCAGCCTCAGTAACAGTTGCTGCAAGGGGTCTTACAGGGGTTTTAAATAAACCCCTGTCCGTGCATCATTTCACGCTGCACAAGACACTGTATCATGCAGTCACGCTCTGGATAGAACATCTTATTTAAGATCCCCCTTTCGTGAAATGTATCCCCATTTGTGCACTATAATTGCTATAGGCGTTCACTGACCAGGTACATATATTGGATTATATAGGTTCGTCTGAAATCGGGTAGCCCTACCAACCCTATAATTAAAATTACCCGCCTCGCTACAATCAAACATGCCAATGGAGAACCCCCTAGTTATAGATGATTTTCTCATTTAAGCCTCAATTTACAGGGGATTTACTCCCATTGCCGACCCCCTTTTCAGGCATACTTAAACTTTCTCAAATCCCACAATGTTCATTTATAAATCCGCATGCTTGATGGTTAAAGCCATCCATTTGGGCGGTACCCCCCTTATTTCCATTTAATCTGGCTGAATCATAGTAAGTCACTACAAACCCTCTGGTAAACGTTTACATAACTATGGAAAATCCTCCCATTTTCAATGGGTAAACCCACTATAAATCACCATTTTCAATGGGTAAATCCACTATTTCTATGGCCATTTTCAATAGCTATGTAACAAATTACCAGAGGGTACCTAATGTCCATGCCGACGACAGGGACTGAAATTTTACAGCCATGTGGGGATCATTTGCCTGATATATGACCAGTGGTTAATAGTGGTAAAAAAATGGTAAATAGTTTGAATTGCGCTAGGGGCCGTTTTTGCAACCAAGAGCTCAAGGGCCCTAAGTTAGGGTAGTTTGAACCGAAACCCACGACAAGGAACATGGTGTAAGGATCTAAATGATCTCAAACTCACACCCGTCTTATCTACATGTCCTTGACTGGCTCCAAACTGTCTGTACTCTTTACAATGTCGGGCCATTCCTGTTGATGGCATGCTTGCCACACAGCTCATGCAGGTCTGAGTGAATTCAGGCCGGATGTCATGATCCTCGTCAAAAGGCAGGGTTTCATTGACTTCGTCAATGCATCTGCGAGCATCCGGGCGGTCTCGATCCACCACAACTCGTCCCCTCAGGGGGAGTATTCAAGACTGCTTTTCTGGCCATTCCCTGTCCACTTGCGCTAGGGACCGTTTTTGCAACCAACAGCTCAAGGGCCCTAAGTTAAGGTAGTTTGAACCGAAACCCACGACAAGGAACATGGTGTAAGGATCTAAATGATCTCAAACTCACAATAGTTAATAATGGTTAATGTTGATTAATGGATGGCTGATGATGATTTTCATGTGGGTAAAGCAATGTCATTTTTACCACCCATGACTGGGAATGGTAAACATACCACCTATTATAAATACGGTGATGACTGGGGGATGGTTTATGGTTGCTTTAATACATGTTTTAACCACATTAATCATCATTCCCGTGACGTCACAACGTTAAGGATTTTTTCAATCCAGATTTCATACACTTATGACCATTTATTAGTTATAACTAGTTTTATATGGGGTTGTACATCCCGGATAAAGATCCATGAATGGGGTGACTTAGTACTTATAACTGGTAAGCCGTTACTGTCGGTCACATCCTGAAAGCGTTCTGCACCTCCAATCGCTTCATCGCCGAGGACATGAGGCCAGCCTCTCCAAAATATGCGGTTTAGCCATGATTCTATGATCAACAGGGGTTCGCTTTGGGCAAAATGGGAGATTGGGATTGTCGAATCTATTATATATATATATTAATTAGGTAAGCTGGTTGACATACTAACGGTTGGGTTTATGATGGATATATCAACACTTGGATTTAGAAACCAAAACCTATCTGCGGGTCACTATAGGAACATGATCAAAACAGAAAAGTTGAAAACCTTTAAATATCATCTTGGTAATGTACCTAAAGGGTTGAGGTGTCTGATTCTATAGGTACAATCAGGATCCCCAAGAAAAACATGTTTTTTCTATATATATATATTCAGGACCCCCAAGAAGAATTCAACTGTACACAATCGAGGCCTCCAAGGTTCAGTTTGAGTGAAATGTTAAGTAAAAAAAGGGTCTACATTCTTCACTGGGTAGGCTGGGTTGGCTACATAATCAAGATCCCCAAGCCTCAGTGGAAAAATCGAAACAAGGGCTTGATTTTCAGGGTGCATTTTAGCATGGTACAAAGATTGAACCCCACGCCTTGGCTCAAGTCTAGCATAAAATGGAAATCAATATAAAATAAGAACCCCCAACACCATATGCACCAAGCTAACCTTAATATAACACGTAGACGTAGACCTCCAAGCTCGAGTTTGACACCCTGAGACCTCTATAGAATCACAACCCCCCCCAGTGAAGCCCAACCACAGAGGGAAACCCCTGTATAAAATGAACCTGTTTTTGGAGCTCAACCCCCTTGATTTTATACAGCTATTTCCCAGGGGGATCTTTAAATTATATGAGATTATGAGGTGACTGGAAAACTCTGTTGGGGATTATATATATATGTGTGATCTTAGTGAAGTTCTGATGAACAACTGTGGAGTTCTGTCCCATACCCATCCGAATTGGGTCAACCCCCAAAGCCAACGGATTCAGATCATGTTAAATCCATAGTTTCTGTGGATGTCGGTACAGTTGTGGCCATGGCTATTAGTTATAACTGGTTATAAATGGGATTATCGAAGGAAGTTTAGAAGTCAAACTCCCGGCAATATGGACAGATGAAAAGCAGAGCAGGGAAGAGGCAGAGAGAAGAGAAAGATTAGAAGAAAGAAGAGTAGAAGAGAAAGAAGATGCAGATGCGTGAAAAGGTAGGAAAGTCGCGAAACACTGTGTAATGATTTGTGGCTCCGGAGGGTCGAAAAGTAGGCTCGCTAAAGCGGCGGGTGCGGAGCCAGCTGGCCAGGTGAGAGATGAAAAATTGCACGCGGTTGTGGCGCGAAGCACATTTGCAAGTGAAAATGTACAAAACACCACAGCGTCGGACCACTTTTGGAAGTTGCGATGTTGAAAAAGTGCACGCCGTTGTGGCGCAAAGCACATTTCGAAGTAAACATGTACAAAACACAGCAGCTCCGGACCACTTTTGGAAGTTAAGATGTCGAAAAAGTGCACGCCGTTGTGGCGCGAAGCACAGTTCGAACTCAAAATGTTAACACTAGGGGTTCGGACCACTTTTGGAGGTTCAGATGTCGAAAAAGTGCACGCCGTTGTGGCGCGAAGCACATTTCGAAGTCAAAATGTTAAAAACACCAGGGGTTCGGACCACTTTTGGAGGTTCAGATGTCGCTTCGTGTGGCAGGCGCAAGGGATTTTGCACCTTGTCAAAAGCGAGTAAAACGTGAGGGTTTTGAAGCATTTTCAACTACAACCACCACTACACCACACTACACTCCAATACATTACACTACACTACAACTACAACTACAACCTTCACTACATTCTACTACACTACACTCCACTACACTACACTACATTACACTACACTACACTCCACTACATTACACTACATTACGCTACACGACATTACCTTCCACTACACTTCACTACATTACACTACACTACACTCCACAACACTACAACTACAACTACACTCAACTACACTTCACTACACTAAATTGCACTACACTACACTACATTACACTACACTACACTCCAGTACACTACACTACATTACACTACACTACACGACCTTCCACTACACTTCACTACATTACACTACACTACACTCCACTACCCTACAACTACAGCTACAACTACAACTACACTCCACTACGCTAAATTACATTACACTACTACACTACACTACATTACACTACATTCCACTACACTCCACTACAGTACACTACATTACACTACGCTACATTACACTGAATGACACTGCACCACAGATAGACAGGTAGACAGATAGACAGACAGATAGATTGATAGATAGATAGATAGACAGATAGACAGGTAGACAGCTAGACAGATAGACAGATGAAAGAGAGAGAGAGAGATAGAGAGAGAGAGATAGATAGATAGATAAATAGATAGATAGATAGGTAGATAGATAGATAGATAGTCAAATAGCTAGAAAACTAGAAAGCTAGGTAGATAGGTAGGTAGATAGATAGGGAGATAGATAGATAGACAGACAGACAGATAGATAGGTAGACAGATAGATCAGTAGGTAGGTAGGTAGGTAGGTAGGTAGGTAGGCACAGTAGGTAGGTAGGTAGGCAGGTAGATAATCAGAGAAAGATAGAGAAACAGAGAGAAAAAGAGAGAGAGAGAGAGAAAAAGAGGAGACCTCAAGCACCTTTCAGTTCACCAGTGGCCTCGCTCCAACCAACCTCTCCTATAGGTTTCCTATTTTTGAAACTTCCGCCACCGCCTTGTGCGGTACTACTGGAATTGATTGCGCATCATTCGTGCTATTTAATTCTATCTGTCATCATGAATGGGTTTCGGAAGCATTGTGGTTGGTCCTGTGCTGTCTGGCCGCGGCGCTGCACCCAACTCTTTGGTGGGAACTGTTCGCAGTCAGCCATTAACTGGCTGATCCGCGAACGGGAGAAGCCCATGGCTCTCAGCGCCCTCCGCACTTGGGCTTCGCTGCGCTTGACCACCTTGGGGCGGAGCACGGTGTTCTGCGCAGGGCCGGCCATTGCTCAGGCTTGGTCAGGTGGAGAGCGGCTGCTTTGCTTGGGCGGAAGGGCGGCTGCCGGTTAATATGCCTTCTTCCGTCGAAAGAACATTGGCCAGAGATGATACAATCTATAAATAGGGTTTTGTTAGAAACTGCTAGTACTTACAACTGGTAAAGGGATTTACTGAGGTTTGATCAGCACCTAACTGCAAACTTGGAAGGGAGATCCGCAAACATGAAAATACATGAACATACACTATGCATCAAAACCCACACAAACCTTGTAGTACCAAAAAAAGCTTGCATTCATGAATGTTCATCCACCCAATTGCTCTATTATGATTCATGATTCTTATGTTTCGTGGGTTTTAACTCATTCCCATAATTGATCTAATGGTTTTTGACCCATTTTCACCGTAGTAATTGGGGAATCGTCGTGCCATCGGTAAGCCCCAACCAACCACAACATCCAAATGAGAAGCCCCGTGTCTGCCTGTGTGTGTTTTTGAATAGGCCTCAAATGATTGGGGTCTGTACTCACGGACTAGAATTAAGCTGGTCACATAAATCAAAGTGTTTTTTTCTCTGAATTTTGGATAATTTTGGTACCTGTACTGCTCCCATTTTCTAAAAATGTTTTCTGGTGTACGTATAATCAAAAAATGTTCCATGCCCCGTTGTTTTTTGTTCACAAACACCCGACCTCTGGAGGGGCATGCAACTTGCTTGCCAGGGCCAGAAGGGTGGAGGTTCCCTGGCTGCGAACACGTCGTGACAATAATGGCTACGGAGAATCACAATAATTAACGGGTACCCTCTGGTAAACTAACATAACTATGGAAAATCATTGTTAACTAGGGATTCTGGTGATTGTAACTATAGATATGTGGGTTTATACAGCAACTTATAACTGTAAGCACATTTAAATAGGTAGGATGAGGTAGATTATAAAACCCAGTTCAAAATGAGATAGGAGTAACCCACAGGTCTGAGCAAAGATGTAGACCTACCGTGGGCGCACCACCGTGTGCCCATATTCCAATAAAGTCTCATGGAATAATCCCATTACCCTCTGGTAAACTAACATAACATGACTATGGAAAATAACTATTTTCAATAGGCAAATCAACCATAAATGGGATTAATGGGATTACAATCCACTTAGTGGGATATATCCTCTGTTGAACTAACAGTTTGCTATGGAAATCACCATCTTTAATAGGTAAATCAACTATTTTTATGGGCAATGTTCAGTAGAAAACTGTTAGTTTACCAGGCCGGGTAAATCCAAAGTGATCATGGTTTTCAATCCCCCCCCAAATCTCAGCAGTTCTGAAATCTAACCCAGGATCTCCCGACATCATCCTCCATTCCCACTGAGATGCCCTTTATATCCCATTGAGATCCATGAAGATAATTAAGACATCCTGTACAATCCTCTATGTATATATATATACAACTCAACACTGTAAAATGTGAAACCCACAAAAAAACGTATATATATATATACATGTATAGTAGTTCCCTCAAGATACAATAATGGGTTGATAACAGGTAGTTATGATTCCACAAATACTAAAGTTCTATGGTGGTAAATTTCTTGAATATTTTGGCTCCTTTGATCTATAATTCTATGATATGTATATCCCATCCAGCCCCCCATGATTTTGAAAACAGCCACCTTGGGTGGTGGCTTCGGTGGCTGCTTGGGTTGCTGTGTCCTCAACCTCGATCATCAGCTGGATGGAATGTTTACGGGGAAAAACCAATTGGAATGGTATATTATGTACTGTTGGTAAAACAATAATAAACCATCCCCAAATTCACCATAGGTAGTATAACCATTCCCAAATGGGTGGTGTATTATTGTTCTACCCACATTAATGGGATATTCACTGGGATTTATAACTGTTATAGTTGATTTGTGATGTGTGACTTTGTTTTATGGTGGATATATCTATAGCTAGATAGCGTTGCAAAACAGTGTGTATATATATATATATGTACATATAACCGCGGGGGCTGGAATGGCTATACTTATGATAGATAATGTTTTACTGCTCAAAAAAGAACGCCGATCCCCCAAAAGGAGATCATCGCACTTGAATGGATCCAGTAGTCCAACAAGTGGAGCCCTTAGGAAAGTTTTCCCATAACTGGGTGATCATGGACATTCATGGTGAATATATATATATATATATGTATATATATATAGAGACCATATATAAGGGGTATCCCTTATATCAGGACTCGTTTGCCATAAACAAAATGACCAATGGACGAAAAACCACTTGGAGAATCATGCGGGATCCTCATCATTGGCAAAGTCCCTACTTTTGTTGGTGAAACTATCCATCTGGGTAAATTATAATATTTCACTAACCTGAATTAAGGCCATTTTGGGATGATTTCCCTTATTAACCATGATTCCAGTGAGGGAGAACAGTGAGGTCGTTATAATTTACCCAGATCCATTTGTGTTGGATGAAATTTTGGGTGGATTCCGCACGGTAGTTGGTTGCCAGATTAGCATACTAGACTCTGTTGCCGTTTACTGAATGAAGTTTGCCACGAAAAAAAACACTAGGCTGTTCATCAACAGCTTCAGAACCTATCATAGGTAAGAATAGTTGAAGCCAACTCAAGAAATATCAAGGACACACTGTGAAAAGTGTTTGATCTTGCATCTTTGTGCAGCTACATGCAGCTGATTATTTAGCTGGGGATCCAAGAATATTCAACACCAGCTGTGTCTGGATTCATCTTGGCATTGCTTGCTTATATATATATATTATATAGTGTGTGTGAGTGAATTACTACATATTGTGTGAGTGGACACATATAGATGGTACATCATCGACGAGCTTGTGGCCCAGCAAAGCTCGCCACCTCCTCAATCTCCTCTATCTGGTTGCATTCCCCAGAGGGCAGTCAATTGCAATCACTTTTGGACAAGTGGAGACAACAATTGCATGTCAAAGCACCCCTCAGATACATATCTCATATCTCTGTGGTTGCTGGATAAACAGTGTACACACTTTGTCCATGCTTTCAAAATACTAAGCACCACTTTCATTGTTGAATGCTTGACATTCAGGGATTTAGAGCATAACACAAACCCTACAATAAACTAGTATGCTCATGTTGTCAGTTGATATATCCACAGTACATGCAGATTGCATGCACCATAATTCATCCAGTAACAATCACCTACTGGTTGGTGGTATACCTAACCCTCTGAAAAATATGAGTTCGTCAGTTGGGGCTATTATTCCCAACTGAATGGAAAAATAATCCATTAAGGTTTTTTCCTCACATCCAAGGGTTCAAAAGTAATCAAGGGTCACATGTTATACTAGTGGCGTTGATCTGTTCAATTAACATTGAGCCATTTCGAAAAAACAGTGAGTCAAAGAAGCTGAACTTGGCACTTGGCTTGAGAGTTACTTCCAATAGCGCTACTCTTAAATTTGCTAGAGAAGAACCGCCATCCGGATTACTTACATTACGGATGCCAGAGCCCACAGTGGATCCCACAAACTATTGAAATCAGAGTAGGCCCATGATTTTGCGACAGAACATACCTGAGTTCTACCAGGTTAGATTTGCGATGGATCCTACTTTGTCCAAATACTTTTTGCGATGGATCCTACTTTGTCCAACATTAGTTTGCGATGGGACCTACCCAAATCCATCTCAAAATGATGCCAAATCTAACTATGGCCATGGTATGTGCTAGCAAGGTTTAACATGATTTGTCTCAAAGCTCTAGGGTTTTGAGTGTTAGGCAACAGTTTGGTTTAGAGATGGATTTGGGTAGGCCCCATCTCAAACACAGCCTGCCAGTATTAGGGGTATTGGTAGTGGACATGTGTCTGAAAAGGCTTGCCAGTCCAAAGCAATGCTTAGAGATAAGTCTCACCCAAATCCATCTCAAAGTTGAATTCAAAAAAGCATCTCTACCACATCCATTTGAGACAGATGGCACAAAATCCCCCAAATTGTTTGAGACAAGTCCTTGGTTTCCAATCAGTCTCACCTGAAGCGCTTTGAGATGGATTTGGGTAGGTCCCATCGCAAACTAATGTTGGACAAAGTAGGATCCATCGCAAAAAGTATTTGGACAAAGTAGGATCCATCGCAAATCTAACCTGGTAGAACTCAGGTATGTTCTGTCGCAAAATCATGGGCCTACTCTGATTTCAATAGTTTGTGGGATCCACTGTGGGCTCTGGCATCCGTAATGTAAGTAATCCGGATGGCGGTTCTTCTCTAGCAAATTTAAGAGTAGCGCTATTGGAAGTAACTCTCAAGCCAAGTGCCAAGTTCAGCTTCTTTGACTCACTGTTTTTTCGAAATGGCTCAATGTTAATTGAACAGATCAACGCCACTAGTATAACATGTGACCCTTGATTACTTTTGAACCCTTGGATGTGAGGAAAAAACGTTCTCATTCATGTTCCAAACCACCGACCAGCCATTAATATTCCATTACCAGAGGGTTATATAATCACCATTAAATCGCCATGAATATCCCTATTAAATCACCATTAGTAACAATCACCCAAACAAACATTGTGAACTCCATGTCTTTGAATCAACTTAATCAACTTCCATGGGTGAATCAGCCTTTCTGCCCAGAAAGTGAGCCTACTTGGGTGTTCATCCTGCCTCTGTAATCAGGTTATAACCACATTTATAAATGGACCAGGACTGCGAAATTTCCACCAACTTCGGATCTGTGAAGATACACCATCAAGTAGGATGATTGTTTGCGTTTTACGGTGAAACCATTATATATTTCATGGGATTTTTCATGTTTGTTTGATGAAAAAGATTGTGTTGTTACAATGAAACTACAGCCGAGGAACTGCTCTTCCTTCCGTTGCTCCAATTCTTGCTCTAATTGTTCCTTCCTGTCAAGGCAGCCACGGGCCGGCGCGGCGAACACAGTGGTTGCCGGTAGATACGTAGTATATCTAGAGTTACCAAAACACCCTCCAGTAAATTAATATAAACATATATCAACCCTGAAACTAATGAATTTTAGTGGAAACTCATCCAACCCCCAATTTGGTAGGTTTTTTTGATGGGGGGACAATAAAAACCCGGACATCAAACGGGTCATCTGGCGTTGGTGTACGGAGTGTACGGAGTGTACGGAGTGTACGGTGTCTCACTTGAAAATAAGATGGTCGATGGTCCAAACATGGGGGACACCTCAAAATGGCAAGATTAATAGAGATTACCCTCTGGTTATTTAACATAGCCATGGTATAGATGGGCCCATTTATAGATGATTTTCCCATTAAAACCTTCATTTATAGGGGATTTTCCAGGATCCTCAATGGGAGATCTCCAGGATCCAACAGATGGAGGTACGTAAAAGTACCATATGTTTGGCCATTTGAATTGTGGGGATATTCCCTGAAATTTAGGCCTCAAAAATAGGCCTTATATATGGTAGGTACCTCCAATCAATCGGTTCCTGAAATGGCCATTGATCAAAATGGCAAGATTAATAAAGATTGATGCGGAAAACTGTGAGCTATCATGAGATTTTGTGTTGCCCTCTCTGACAAACAGAAACACTGGAAGCAAACTTCATCCTGGCATGGCATCTTCATCTGCATCTCGTTGGAGTGCATTGGCTGTGGCCATCGGCGTGCTTCCAAATGGACAATGCATTCATCCTGCAGGAATTGGCAATATTGAAAAACTGCGGCTGCAGTGAGCAAGTGTGGACGAATGATCTGGGACCCCACCCTATGCACAGATCGGACAACTGTCGGCTGGTTGATTGAGCCAGTTTCGGAGGGGTGATGGTGGTAAACAACGTCAATCAGGATGAGGCGGTCAGTAGATCTCAACGGAATGTCACCTGTGCGCTGCAGAATTGTGGGTATTGCAAGTTCAGGGAAATCATGCGGATGGCCTCGACACAGTGAAAAGGAACATGGGCTGCATCGGCAATCTCATGCGAAGGTTGAGCTAACTGTGCATTTGTAAAATCAACTTGTTTCAACATACCAGGTAGGGATGGAAAGTGAAGATATTTGAAGCCCCAACGACTCAACAAAGTATGTATGTATATATATATATATATATGGGTCAATTAAAAGGTTATATTGGGACAATTCCCCCAATCCTAAGCATCATGAGAGTTTTCATAGTTGTTTTGTTTCTTACAGATTCCCTGGGATCCAGCTCCTGGCCTTCAGATTCCCAATCAATCCATGAAATCAGAATTGGATATCTACAGGGTTATTATATCATATTATATCTATGATATCCATAAATCTGATAAATATCAATAATCATATAATAATTATTTATGGATAATATCTATGATATTTATGGATATCTATTATATTCTCATAATCCATAAATAACCCATAATTGGATATTTAATTATGATAATAATATTATAATATTATCATGATTCCCAAATCATATTCCGCAGATAAATCAGAATTGGATATTATCATAATCCATAAATATCCATGATATCTACAGTAACACTACAGTTTTTTTTATAATTTCATGGGTTGATTATTGGTTATTTTACTAGTACAGTAGCACCCTAAAATAATTTATCAACCATGAATCAGCCACCAGGTACCATATCCCCTTGTTTCTGACCATTACAACCCCCATATTTCATGGCAAAATCACCAAAACATTACAGCTATAGCCCTTTACCAGTTCTAAGTACTTCTAACCCCATTTATAGAATGTATAATCCCATTTATAACCAGTTATAATATAATTAATAAATGGCCATAACTGTAACCGTTAAACCCATCAACAGCGGCTGAGCTGTATAACAAAAATCCTTAGTTCATCCCGCCTCTCTCGCTGCTTCGTTTCGGCTTGAGCTCTCAGTAGCATTTTCCTGCCGAAGTGGATTCGTTTTCCTTGGGAACATGGTAATCAAACCTGGCAATGGGAATGCACTGGAAAATCCATATTTAATGCAGAGTTTAATGGGAAATGTCCTTTTAAACATGTTTTTTTTTCCGGCAAGGCATGATTGATTACGAGACGATATATTAAACCCTTGTGTTGGTGTCTTTATGTTTTGTTCTGGGTGTTTATTGTGTGAATGGGGATCAGAGTGGATGATCAAAACTTAAAAATCCCGATATAAATCCCGATATACCATCTGGTTATTTCACATAGCCATGGAAAAGCACCATTTTTAATAGGCAAACCATCTATACATGGGCCATCTATACCATGGCTATGTTAAATAACCAGAGGGTATATCATTTATATCGACTTATATCATCCACCTATACTGCCCAATGATTTCCACAATCTCCCAAGGACCCCTTTTCAGGCTTCCGAACTGCACATCCTTTTCGGTTAAAGGAGGCGCTGCGGACCCGGACCTGCGGCTGCAAGATGTTCCAAGGGTTGCTGCTGCTCGCTCCCAAGTTTTAATGTATAGCCTAGATGGTATATTTATGGGACTTAAAAGATCATCGACGGCATAATCTGGGATAGGATGAATTCCTCTTCTCTGGGTAAATGATAAATGACAAGTTTGGCTATATTGGGACAATACTCCAAATCTTAATCATCATTCCAGGGTTCGGTCGCAGCGAGGTCGTTGTAATAAAGCGACGATGGTTAATATTAATGTTATTATGGCTTTGCCTCGAGTCTGCTTGGGCACCAAGGGCTACCAGTGAAACCCTCGAGCGCGTCTATGTTCAAGTCCACCAACTCCTCAAGCTTTGATGCCAGATCATCCGACCAAGCTTAGCCATTGATTGTTTCCCTGTCGCAGCTGTGCATCTGAGCACCAGCGAATCTTGCTTTGGAAGCCACAACAACCATCTGACTGACAAAGGACTATTTTCTTTTACCCTCTAGTAAACGTTTACATAACTATCATAACTAGGGCAAATCACCATGCTATCAATGGGTAAATCAACTATTTCTATGGCCATTTTCAATGGCTATGGTAGGTGGTGAACAACGCGCTGAGCTGTCGCCAGCAACATCTTGTCAAAGGTTCTGTGATGTCACCGCCAGGATACTGTTTGAGAATAGCCAACGATGATGCCATGTATATAAATGTAAACCCATGACTGGGTAAATTGCGTATTATGGGATATAAAAAATTGAATCGCATTGGAAATGCTATGTCATGGGTTATCATACATATAGGAAAACATTGGGACATAGTGGAATAACAATATAAAACCCCTTTTGTCTGTATTTCACTGAAAATTCAGAAAAACTCGTCATATTTCATTAGCTCGTCATTCCATGCGTGTTCAATGAAATTTCCGATATGATCCCATCATCATCATCATCATCATCATCATCATCATCATCATCCATATGAACCATTGATATGGGGATACATTCATGGGAAAATCATGGGATTCGGTTCATCTCACACATTCAGTCGGTCCATGATGCGACTGAGTTATTTTAGAAACACCATGGCGACTGGATAAACATCATTGATATGAACATTTTCATGTTTCAAGCCATGGTGAACCTTAGAATCATGCTTTGAATAAAGAACATCATTTTAGAGATGGCAATTTTCATGACAAGTGTGTTAATCATAGGGATGAACTCCAAGTACCACCACAATGTATTTGCTGCCCATAATTGGCGAAGTTGTCTTATCACTAGGCCAACTAGGATTCATACAGTGTGGGGCCCCTCAGTTATAAGTTGGCTTATATTACCCCCATGAATACAATAGAAATACAATAGTTGTAGGTATTATATCATAAACCATAGTTATTGAAGTGATGTTCACCAACTTAGCTATCGTAAAAGGGGGCCCCACATTGTAGTTATGTTAAGCAACTTACCTTTGAACTCGAGCACCTGGTAAGGTGAGGTGTCTATAAACCCAGCTAGAACCTTCATTCCTAGAGGATGTTCCTTGGTTTTCCATGATTGTCCAAAATCTGTTTGCATTATTTTCGCATGAATTTTCCCATATTTATATGGAATAAACATATATGTATATAATTTAGGTACAAAGTGGCGCCCCATAGATAGCTAAGTTGGTTTATGACTCCAATAACTAGGACTTATGGTAGATATATCTCTGGTTTTTCTGGGGTTATTAACCAACGTTCACATAACTCGGGGGGTACCACATTGTATGGCTATGGGTCAAAACCCTGGTATGGATGTTCACACCAATATACTGTTGAGATTTATGGATATTCATCCCGAGAAACCTATGGCATTATAGTGTTTGATTCCTTCCCATCATATTTGCTAGAAATAGGGATATTATAATGGTGATTTAATGCTGATTTACTGGTGATTAACCCTCTGGGAATGGAATATTAATGGCTGATTGGTGGTTTGGAACATTTTTGGTTTTTCCATATATTGGGAATAATGATCCTCACTGACTTTCATATTTTTCAGAGGGGTAGGTATACCACAGAAACCTATGGCATTGTATGAATCTAGAATGACCAACAGAAGCATTTCCACCGGATTTCTCCCTCCGCAGCCGCCGGGCACCTTGCTGGCAGCAGCTGCGCTCGTGGCTCGGCCGGCTCGGCCGGCTCCGGCGGCGCCTCCGCTACCGCTACCTGGTGAACTGATGGATGGCCAGGGCGAAGCCAAACAGGAAATGACTGAGCCAAATGGATATATATATATATAGTTGGTATATATCTGGTTGGTGGTGTATATATATATATATATGGATAGCTATGGTATATATATATATATATATGGTTAACCAAAAAAAATGATGATTACTGGTGATTAATGGTGGTTAATGATGGTTAATATGTGGTTATTATATGGCTAATGATGATTAACAATGCTATCTGGTTGGTGTTTTTTCGCCACCCCTCTGAAAAATGATGGAGTTCGTCAATGGGTTTCGGATGACATCCCATATATGAAATGGAAAATAAAAAATGTTTTTTTTTGACTCCCCGCCAACGTCAGCTTGCTGAGGAAGTTCGCAGCGAAGCTTCATCTATCAACACAACGTTCATGTGTGAAACTGCCAAGGCAGCTGGTCAAGTGCTTCGCCCTGACCAAGAATTGGCTTTTTGGCAAACGCAACGATAGCATCATTCGTCTGACGAAGTCGATCAGCACGACACTGGACAAATGCACAGCCAACATGAGCATGAATACAATATGACGACTGGGATCGACGTGTCTGCCTGCTTACAGTCACTTGAGCAGTTTTCCACAACGCCTGCAAGCTCAGACGAAACCACTTGCACCGAGCCCTAAAGCTGAACCTCTGTGGTAAACAGTCCAAATTAACAGCAGGGTTACGCCACTTGCCAGAAATGAGCAATGGGCCAAAATGACCGGTATGCCGCTGGAAATCAACAAAAAGCTCAGCAAAAGACACCCACTGGGCTCCATCTTGTCCAGGCAGAAAAAGCCCATTGCACCATTGCACAAGCACATCCCCATAGGCTGCACCATAAACCCCAGAAAATTTCCGAGGCAAACTCAGCGACTCCTGCCATCCCCAAACACCAGGGCGAGCAGCAGCTCCTGCTGGTACAGCGGGGGCAACAATAGGCTGATCAGGCGCCACATCCCTCATATCTGGGTCAGAAAACCAAGCCAGGTTCACAGCAACAATGTGATCTCGGATGTGACGACCAACAAACTCATGTCTGCTCACAAGCTCCACATGTTTCCGCCAAAAATCCCAGAAACTGCTGCCGCGGTCCTGATTGCAAACAACCGCTGCTCTGTCTGCACACAGATTGTGATAGCCAAGCCACAAATCTCGATGGGATGAGGTCTGTGCCAAATCAACATGGGCCTTCACCTTGACAAACTGCACCCTGGGACCTACCTGCACAAGAAGATCCGCAAGCCACTGCCACAAGTCCGAATTATGCACGTTAGGTTTATGGCAACACACCCCATGCTGCATAGCACACGCTCGAGTCACAACAGATTTACAATCACTATAGACAACGACCGGCCGAGAGGTCAACGCACCATAAGTCAAGGCAGCGCAGACTGCATACAATTCAGCTCGAAATGCTGTCTGAGTCAAGCCTGAGAGGCAGCCACCACCAGCCACATGACTGGTGAAAGCGTCAGAACCAGAACAGGAAGCAGCGACACAGACGCTCCAAGCAGCAAGACGATACGCTGGCTCTGACGGCCAAAAACAACTGCCGTCAGTGAACAAATGCAAAGGACCATCGCCAGTCAAATCACAGACACAAGATGGGACAACATCAGGCAAAGCAATGAGACGACAGCGCCACTCATCAGCAAAAGGGGACGACAAAGTCCAGCCATGCACAGTCAGGACAGGAGGCAAGTCATCAAGCACAGACAGAACCTGAGGATCCAAAGAATCCCGCAGGTGTTGGGTGGAAGGACATTGCCAGTACCGGTGATACAAGGTATCTTCAACTCCACAAGCCCGGCACGCTTTGTCACCACTAACCGACCATTTCCAAGCGACATCGTTCGCAAAGGCACCACCATTCAAATTTTTCCGAAGAGACCCTTGAGAGCTAGCATCACGAGAGTGCAAGTCAACAGTCGTGGCACCAACATCAACCAAATGAAATGTGGAGAAGGGCGCACGATGCTTCACATGTTCACTCACAACCAGCTGCCAAGCACATGCAACACGCTGAAGCAGCTCGGAAAAATTAAGCAAGTGCAAAAAGAAGCTACCAAACCTGTCAGTGACTAAGCCATCAACTCCCAACTTCCAACCAAGCTGATGAACACGCATGAGGAGAATCTCAGCAACACCATTAGGGGCACCACCGAGCCCAGCAGCAACGTCATTTAAAGTAACAAGCTGGTCAGGAGCGCACCCAAAGTCACGAAAGTCACGAAAGGTCGCAATGATAGCATAGAGTCCCAATAGGTCAGGCAAGGTTATTTGGAGCAAAATAGGTAACTCTAAAAAAATTACCTTTTTGTAAGTAATTTTGGTCGATTTTTTTTAACTAATAGGTAAAAAAAATACCTTGAAAGGTAATTATTATTAATTATTGATAACCTATTTCAAGGTAACTTTTAAGGGTTATTTTTTTCACTTCGTTTTTACATATATTTATTATTTTCTTTTGTTATATGGTATGTGTCTGATGTTCTCTTGGGGTTACTATATGTATGGGTTTACTTCATGTATTTTGACAGGGTCTCATGTTTTCCCTTGGCGCTTGGATTGGATCAAATGATTTGATCATGGGTAGTGTTTGTGTCACTGACAAAATTTATGAAACAACAGCATAGCAAAAATGAGGAAAAGTCAGAAAAGGCATGAAACAAGATTATGGCAATAATGAACCAGTCATACTTGGCAATGAAGCATTGTCCAAGCATGCATTCTGTCTTTGAAAGCTCAGTGAAGGCATCCTTCAAAGTATCATTGATTTTTGGTCTTTCTTGTCTCTACCCAGTCGCTCCTGAACCACTTTGGTTTCTTTGATGTCATGCTGCACACTTGCCCACCTCAGTTTAACAGGAGCATCAGAAATCGCTTTTGGCAATGCTGAGGATGAAGTAACCACAGCTGGTGTAGAGGAAGCACTGCTACCACTACCACAACCACCACTACCACCACAACTAGCTCCAGTGCCAAACTGGCTCCAGGGCCTGCTCGACATGAATTGGCTCACCTGCGAACTCTCATCCTTGGTGAGGTTGGCTTGGCCACCATGCAAGACCATGGCAGGGCACAATGGCTGTGGCTATTGTCTTGACATGATAGTAACCATCTTTCTGATAGACATCACCTCGTCTTTCTGCATCATTCAAAGCTTGCTGGTTTTTCCTGGATTTTGCCCACAACCTAAGCCAACCCAGTAATCTGAGATTTGTTGCAAATCTCAGAGTTCTTCTTGAAAACTTCGAACACTGGGTATTTCCAGGAGCAAACACAGACTCGCCTCTGGTGTTCAAGAGAATTCTTGGAGCCCTCTTCTTCATAGAGCTGCTGAAGATCTTCTGGCACCTGGCCACTTTTGATCATTCTGGTGCATTTCCTTACCTTGGGGTAGCTTCGATGCTCATCATCAGCAACTGTTGCATCCTCCTCTTTAGGCTCCTCATCTTCTCCTTCTGCATGGTCATCAGGAACTGGCTCATCCCTGGTCTTCTTCCATCCTGCTGCCATCTCCTTGCCAGTCTTCGCTTTGGCCTTGGCTTTCGCCTTCAGCTGCATCAGGTCTTGTCAGGATTTTCTTCATTGTGCTCTTGGCTTTTGCCTTTTGAGCTTTCATTGGCGAAGAAGTAACCCCAGGAGCTTTGCTGGCAGCAGCCTTGGCTTTACCTGCTACCTTTGCCTTGACTTTAGATTTTGCTTTCACCTAGGCTTTGGCCTTTGCCTTTGGTGCTGCAGTATCTAAGAATCTAAGTCAGCTCATGGGGCAGTTTCTTCTGGAGAAGCCTGTTCTACAGATTCTGGTGCTGGTTCAGGTGGAGGCAACATGCAAGCATAGCATCAGGTGGACAAGCAGGCCTCTTCATGAGGTTACCAACAGGGGCGACAAGTGACAAGTAACTTCAATCTTGAGCACCAGTGTGCTACACAGATGGTATATGCAATTGGGGATGTCTCAAAATAGGGGGGCCCAAGCCCTTGTTTTTTAGTGTGCAAAACAGAGCTTTGGGGCCCTCCTATTTTGAGACATCCCTAAGTGTACACTTGATGTAAATTCCAGCCTTTCACCAAAAGTAACTCCATGAAGAACATGTTTTGCCCATGATGATGTCAGAAAAGCTTACAACAGAAATACCAAAGACCTTGTGAATGTATCAATCAACAAATGTGATATCTATACTTCACAATGGATGTTGCATGGCTTTGTCATTTTCATTGAACAAAACTTAACAAGTAGAACTGGAGATGTCTCAAAACGTCTGAAAATTGGTTCCCGAAACCGAAATCTAACATGTTCAAAAACTGGTTCCACAATGGTACCTAGGAAAATGAAAGGTGCTTTAAGCCATCTTAAGGTACCTTTCATTTTTTGGAAAAATAAAACATTAAAGAAATAGAAATGGAGATGTCTCAAAATGTCTAGCTTTATTGCAATTTCAGTATTGTACATATCTTGTTTGTTTTGTTATTTATGTGCTGCTCTTGTCCTATGATTATTTTGATGAAACTCTAAGACGTAATGTGCCTAAATATCACTGTGTCTATATATCTATATATCTTTATATATATATATTTAAATATATATATATATAGGTATGCATTAATACACATGTATTCAGGTGGTGTGGTGTTATTAGTCATTAGTTGGCTTGGGGTTACAGTTTTGCAAACCACACCCATTGCATGCCAACCAACCCTATAAAGTACCTTGTAAAATGAAAGGTGCTTTAAGCCATCTTAAGGTACCTTTCATTTTTTGGAAAAATAAAACATTAAAAAAATAGAAATGGGAATGTCTCAAAAATGTCTAGTGCAAATATCTGATTATAGTTTCTGTATTGTACATGTGTTTTGTCTTTTCTTATTTATGTACGTTCACCTAATGTAATTGCTCTTGCCCTAAAATTTTTTGATGACACTTTAAGGCATAATGTGACATAATGTACCCAAATACTAATGTGGAGGTATATGTGTATTCATGTGGTGTGGGGTTATTATTTGGCTTGGGGTTACTGTTTGCAAACTAAACCCATTGCATGCCAACCAACCCTAGTAGGTACTTTGTAAAATAAAAAGGTGCTTTAAGCCCTCCCAAGGTACCTTTTCATTTTTGGGAAAAATAAACCAAATAAACATATAGATGTCTCAAAATGCCTAAGGCAAATGTTTGATTACAATTTCAGTATTGTACATGTGTTTGTTGGTGTTTTTTTTATGTATGTTCACCTAATTTAGTTGCTCTTGTCCTAGGATTTTTTTGATGCAACTTCAAGACATCATGTACCCAAATACTACTGTGGATATATATATATATATGTGTATTCATTTGGTGTGGGGTTATAATTTGGTTTGGGGTTACTGCATTGCAAACCAAAACCATTGCATGACAACCAACCTATGTTTGGGGTTTCTATTTTGGAAACACACAGCATTCAATCAAACACAAACCATGGTTGGTACTACATGTTTATCTAAAAACCAGGCAACAATAACCTTCGTTTTTTATTTGATTTTTTTAAATGATAAAAACACTTACAAAGAATAGTAATCCATATTTGGGGTTACTTCTTTTAAAATGATCCCAACAATAGATCCCTATGTTGTTTTTATTTTTTCAACCAGTAACATACATGAAACCTATTTTCTTCTTAAAAAACAACATTTTTTGAAATGAAACACTCATTTTTTTAACAAACAAACATGGTTTTCAAGAAAATAAACACTATTTTTTTATCAAAAAAAATCAAGTTTTCTCTATATTTTTTTTACTGCCCTGAAAGTTTGTTGAAAGTTTGTTGCAAACTTTCAGTCAAACTTTCAGGGGGGGTTGCAAGTTTGACTGAAACTTTCAATGCAAACTTGCAGGGCTGGATTGAAAGTTTCAATGCAAACTTTCAAGGCTGGATTGAAAGTTTAAAGAAACTTGCAGGGCTACACTGAAAGTTTGCATGAAACTTTCAGTGTAGCCCTGCAAGTTTCTTTAAACTTTCAATCCAGCCTTGAAAGTTTGCATTGAAACTTTCAATCCAGCCCTGCAAGTTTGCATTGAAAGTTTCAGTCAAACTTGCAACCCCCCCTGAAAGTTTGACTGAAAGTTTGCAACAAACTTTCAACAAACTTTCAGGGCAGTAAAAAAAATATAGAGAAAACTTGTTTTTTTTGAAAAAAATAGTGTTTATTTTCTTGAAAACCATGTTTGTTTGTTTGAAAAAATGAGTGTTTCATTTCAAAAAATGTTGTTTTTTAAGAAGAAAATAGGTTTCATGTATGTTACTGGTTGAAAAAATAAAAACAACATAGGGATCTATTGTTGGGATCATTTTAAAAGAAGTAACCCCAAATATGGATTACTATTCTTTGTAAGTGTTTTTTATCATTAAAAAACAACCAGTGGTTGTTTTTTTGTGCAAATTGTTTTGGCATGTTACACCCACCATGTCTAAATGTGTTTTAAAAAGTAACCCAAAACATGGTTTGGTTGTCATGCATTGGTTTTGGTTTGCAATGCAGTAACCCCAAACCAAATTATAACCCCACACCAAATGAATACACATATAATATATATATATATCCACAGTAGTATTTGGGTACATGATGTCTTGAAGTTGCATCAAAAAATCCTAGGACAAGAGCAACTAAATTAGGTGAACATACATTAAAAAAAACACCAACAAACACATGTACAATACTGAAATTGTAATCAAACATTTGCCTTAGGCATTTTGAGGCATCTATATGTTTATTTGTTTTATTTTTCCCAAAAATGAAAAGGTACCTTGGGAGGGCTTAAAGCACCTTTTTATTTTACAAAGTACCTAGTAGGGTTGGTTGGCATGCAATGGGTTTAGTTTGCAAACAGTAACCCCAGGCCCCAAGCCACATAATGACCCCACACCAATGAATACACATATACCTCCACATTAGTATTTGGGTACATTATGTCACATTATGCCTTAAAGTGTCATCAAAAAAACATAGGGCAAGAGCAATTACATTAGGTGAACATACATAAATAAGAAAAGAAAAACCACATGTACAATACAGAAACTATAATCAAATATTTTCATTACACATTTTTGGGGCATTCCCATTTTTATTTTTTGTTTTATTTTGCTAAAAATAAAAAAAGTTCCTTAAGGGGGGTTTTAAGCACCTTTGATTTTACAAAGTACCTAATAGGGTTGGTTGGCATGCAATGGGTTTGGTTTGCAAAACTGTAACCGAACCCCAAGCCAACCAATAACACCACACCAAATGAATACACATATATCTCTACATTAGTATTTGGGTACATGATGCCTTAAAGTTTCAAAAAAAACTAGGACAAGAGCAATTACATTAGGTGAACATACATAAATAAAACAAAAAGCCACATGTACAATACTGAAACTGTAATATGTTTTTTTTGCCACATATACCACCACTGATTATTGATTGGATACATATATATATACATACTGTGTACATATATATTTATACTATTTATTTGTTCAATATTGTTTTTGCTATTCATTCTTTATATATATATATATGTTTTATTTTTCGATTTATATATTTGTTTATCTTGTTAATGTTTTTGAACACGAACCATTTCTTAAAGTCGCAGCATATCTTTAAGTATTGTTTTCCATTATTGCATGCATAGGACAAATATTCATTCACAAAAACATATTACCATCCAAAAATAAGAAAATCTCATGCAACACCTTTTGTGAATGATAAATAGCACCATGGTTGGTTGATACATGCACAAGGTCTTTGGTATGTGGGCTACTTTTTGGTGAAAGGTTGGAAAATATGTCAAGTGTACAAGTGCATGTACCATCCATGTAGCACACTGGTGCTCAAGATTGAAGTTACTTGTCACTTGTCGCCCCTGTTGGTAACCTCATGAAGAGGCCTGTCCACCTGATGCTATGCTTGCTTTTGCCTCCACCTGAACCAGCACCAGAATCTGTAGAACAGGCTTCTCCAGAAGAAGCTGCCCCATGAGCTGACTTAGATTCTTAGATACTGCAGCACCCAAGGCAAAGGCCAAAGCCAAGGTGAAAGCAAAATCTAAAGCCAAGGCAAAGGCAGCAGGTAAAGCCAAGGCTGCTGCCAGCAAAGCTCCTGGGGTTACTTCTTCGCCAATGAAAGCTCAAAAGGCAAAGCCAAGAGCACAATGAAGAAAATCCTGAAAAGACCTGATGCAGCTGAAGGCGAAAGCCAAGGCCAAAGCGAAGACTGGCAAGGAGATGGCAGCAGGATGGAAGAAGACCAGGGATGAGCCAGTTCCTGATGACCATGCAGAAGGAGAAGATGAGGAGCCTAAAGAGGAGGATGCAACAGTTGCTGATGATGAGCATCGAAGCTACCCCAAGGTAAGGAAATGCGCCAGAATGATCAAAAGTGGCCAGGTGCCAGAAGATCTTCAGCAGCTCTATGAAGAGGGCTCCAAGAATTCTCTCCCCCAAGGTTATTTAAGAGTCAATTCATCAACAAAGTCTTTCAGCAGAACACCAGTGGCGAGTTTGCTTTTGCTCCTGGAAATACCCAGTGCGAGGTTTTCAAGAAGAACTTTGAGATTTGCACCAACAAATCTCAGGTTACTGGGTTGCCTCACTCCATCATGTCGTGGAAAAATTCCAGTGAAACCAGCAAGCTTTGAATGAGCAGAAAGACGAGGTGATGTCTATCAGAAAGATGGTTACTATCATGTCAGGACAATAGCCACAGCCATTGAGAAGAAGCAGGGCAGTTCCATGGTCTTGCATGGTGGCCAAGCCAACATCACCAAGGATGAGTTATTCGCAGATGAGTCAATTCATGTCGAGCAGGCCCTGGAGCCAGCTTGGCACTGGAGCTAGTTGTGGTGGTAGTGGTAGTGGTAGTTGTGGTAGTGGTAGTTGTGGTAGTGGTAGCAGTGCTTCCTCTACACCAGCTGTGGTTACTTCATCCTCAGCATTGCCAAAAGCGATTTGTGATGCTCCTATGAAACTGAGCAGGGCAAGTGCTCCCAGGAGCGACTGGGCAGAGATTGTCAAAGACCGGCTGTCAAAATCTTTTTTTTGACAAGAAAGACCAAAAACTAAATTATACTTTGATGGATGTCCTCACCGAGCTTTCAAAGACAGAATGTATGCTTCGGGTTACTTCATTGTAGCTTTGATGTTGTATAACATATCTTCAAAACATCCAATCAGATTTGATCTTCACAAATAAAAACTTTGATTTGCTCAAACAAGTATAAGTTCAAACAATATAGTTTTTTTGCACTTCCAGTAATCATGTAGAACTGACTTCACACAAAATCAAGAAACATATTGTTAAAAACTTTTCAAACAATTGATAATATTCACTCTACTATGGTACAATGTTAAGAAAATGTCAAAATTCATTATCTTTTTTCCATGAAAAAATGGCAAAATTTCAAGGTATTTTTTTTTAAAATCCTCAAAAATTACCTTGATAGGAACCTTTAAAAATTAACTATGTAGTTAAAAAAATAACTATTTTGTTTTCCTTAAAAATTACCTATTAGGTAGAAAATTGCCTCCAAAATCACTTTTACCTATTTTGCTCCAAATAACCTTGCCTGACCTATTGGGGTTGTGGATCCAAATGCAAACCTTCCAAGATCATGTGGAGATACGGGCTCGCTTGCGGGCGAGCAGCGTCAACCGCACGCATGAACTCAGTGCGAAGTTCAGCAAAGTGTTTCAAGCCAAGCACACTAGCACTGATTCCATGAAAAATTCGCGGCCAAGCCGCAGTAACCACAACACGAACCTTTTGCTTGTACGCACCAAAAGCACCCCGCAATTTGTTCCAGAAGTCTTGGAGGTCAGAAATCCGAAGCTGGATAGTCTGGTTCCGGATCTGCCGAGAATACACCACATGGGCCCCCAGGTCACGCCCTGACAAAGACACAGTGAAACCCGATTGGCGAAGCTGCCGACGAATGCCACGATCAGTCGACCAAGCAACAGTTTTCGAGGTATCCAGCGTCAAGTCAAGCAAGCGAGCGAACTCCAAGATTGAACGATTGGCACGCAACAAGCATTCAGCATCCGTCGAGACAAGCTCCCAATTGTCAACATAGCTGAAGCAACGGACCCTAGGAGCAAACGCAGCAAGCCAAGAATGAAGAAGCTGGTGTATCATCAACATGGCCAAGCAAGATAGCCCGGAACCCTCTGGCACCCCACAGGTGCTGGAGACTGGGGGCCCAAGAGAATTGCGGACCACAAAGCGCCTCTGCATGCCACCAAGAAAACCAGCCCATGCCTGGACAATCCCAAAATCAACCCCACATTTCAGAGCCAGTCCCAGCACAGGAACTCTCGGCAGCGTGTTGAAAGCTTTAGTAAGGTCAAGAACCAACCCGGAATGAGCAACATCATGCACATAAGAATCCTGAACGCAATCCACAATGACACGCCAGAGGTGGGCCGCGCGGCGGCCAGGTCGACTGCCAAAGAGATCATCATGCCAAAAGGAATCCAACGTGTGCAACCAGTATTTGGATTGAATCGTAGACCAGACACGGTAAACCAAACTGAACACGCAAATTGGTCGATAGTCATTAGTACCAAGGGGGTTTGCAGATTTTGCCAAAGACTTGACCGCTCCAACACACAGTTGCTCTGGCCAAGTGCCAGTGCAAGCAGCATGCTTGTAGAAAGCCAAAATTTGAGAAACCTCAGAAGGGCGAAGAGACTGAAGGTCAAGTTTGGATACACCATCAAGTCCTATGGCAGCACGATTCTTTTTGCCCGCAACAACAGAATGGAACAAGTCCACGGTAAGATCAACAGGAGGAACATCAACAGGTCGCAAAACCCGATCAGCAAACGCAAAAACCCTGTTCCAAGCTTCCGATGGCATGTCAGCATGCCGTTGCCAAAAGGCATTCCAATGTTCAGAGAAGGCAGCAAAAATGTCATGCAACTGGCCACCAGCCCGGTGTTGGACGACCGAATCGCCAACATCGAATCCAGATACATCAGGGAGCCACAGCTTATCATGTTCAACATGAATCGGATCAACAGGACGTCCCCCCACAAAGGTGGGAAGATCAGCAAGAACACCAGCTGGCTCAACTTCAAGAGAGAGATCATCAGGATCGACAGCGGAAATCACAAAGTGACAAGGATTGACCAAAGTATCAACAGGCAGGGGCATGTCACGCTTAACAACCTTGTACAAGGCATTCACATCCCTTGACCGCTTCAAGGAAGCAGCCCGACGAGTTTGTTTGACAAGGACATTCTCAATTTTCCGAGTCTCAAACTCCACCCGCTGAAAAACACGACAAGCCATGGCAGACCCAGGAGCAACCAGAGGGAGATTCAACGGTTCGCCAACATTGCGATCCAAGTCATGCCACCATTCTGCAAACGTGGGCTTAAAGCCACGCGCATTCAAAATGGATTTCCACAAGGCAATGCGGTGTTCAGTATGAGAGGGAGAATGTTGCAAACTGGCAGCAAGGCGAGCATATGACTGCAAACGACGCACTTGACGAAACATCATAGAGTGGATCCAAGAATGGCCAAGAAAGGTAGGCTGCAATTCCCCACGCCGACCACACTTTGGAGGGGGCACATGGTGACAAACACACGGTTGAAATCGCGAACCACGACCAAACTGATTGGGCAACAACCGCCGGTTTTGGGAAGCAAAGACCGCAGAAGCAGAAGCTTCAACTTCCTGCCAAAAGCGACGGTAGCCAGCACTGGGGTCGGCAAGTGCATCAGCAACAGGTGCTGCAGGCCGGCGAGCATCAGCAGCAGCCCAATTGATCTTATGAGGGGTGGGCCAAGGAAATTGCACAAACGCCGACGGAGAAGCATCAAACTCAGCAACCAGGGCCGAATGATCAACCCAAGCATGGTCATCAAGCCAACACATACGAAAGGCAGGGATCAACTCAGCAGAGATGAAAAGGAAGTCACGGCGAGTCTTGCCACGGCACGTCGCCCGAGGGCAGATTCCGGATCGAGAGGCGTAAAGATCCTGAACCTCGACAAATCCAAGCGAAATCAAACGACCAACGGCCTCAAGAGAGTCCAAGTCATGATTCCAATCGCCCGCCACGAACCTGGGCCCACGGGCGCACTGAATGCGATCCACCACTTGATGTAACATGCGATTGGTAAAAGCTTTAGCTTGTGGATGCGTCGGCCCAGTAGGCGCACCATACATGACCAAGCCAGTGAGCCAAATGCCAGCAACATGAGTCGTAGAAACCACAACACGGCCAGTGTCAAGCAACTCATCACTAAGACCCGCAGGAACCGCCCGGGAAGGATGCTGAGACAAAACTCCAACACCGGTCCACTTCCCAAGATCAGATGCAATGGAGCGAACAGGCGCACCAACACCATGCACAAACCATTTGAAAGGCGAAGCAGTGGCACGCAAGCTTTTGCCAAAATTGCGACAACCATGAACACTAAAATGCGTTTCACACACAAGCCAAATGTCCACATCAGTTGAAAGAAGATGTGTTTTTCCCATCAACCCAGAAGGGTTGCAAACCCCAAGCGACCAAGACGCAGCATTGGGACCAGGAACAGCTGCTTCGCCGATCCGACACTGCAAGGTCCAAACGACAACGAGAAGCCAAACGGGCCGGAGCGACCCCAAAACGCTATTGCCGATGCCACCAAAACTCTTGAAGCCTCTGTGAGGAAAAGGAAGCTGCCCAGCAAGGACCGACAACCCCAAAGCCGACCCAAGCAGCGCCAAAATCAAAACGGACTCAAACCAAAGGGCCAATTGAAGACCCAAACCGAACAAAAGTATGATCACCAAGCACTGGGCCACACAGGTCCGAAGCAACGGATCAAAACCAAGCGGAGAGTCACTGGAACAAAAACCCTGGCCTCCACCACTGAGCCTGGCAGTGGTACGGCCACACCATCACTCGTGGCGAGCTTTCTTTTCAAGCAAAGCTTCAATTTTGGTCATCTGCTGACTGAACATGCTTTGCATTTGATTCGTCTGGGCCTCCATCTGAGCCGAGACTTGGCATTGGAACTGAGACAACTGCGCATCATGCCGACGATCCTGTTCAGTAATTTGGGTTTCAACATTGCCTTGCCGGTGGAGCAGTTGCTGCACCTGATTTTCAAGGAACTGAAAGCGGACATCCGTGTCATGCGCCAGCTGGTCAACTCGCTTCTCAGCTTCATCCGTCTCCATGGGGACCTGAGGCTGAAGCTTCTGAAGGATGGCTGATTCAATGCGAGCTTCGGCTTCACGCAAGTGATCAGCAGAAGGCAACACCGGAGCAGGGACCGACAACTTGGCAATGGGAGCCTGCCACGGATCCGCCACAAGCCAAGGATCATCACCACAATTCCCCATGTCATCAGCAACACAAAGCTTCATGGTCGCAGAGGACGCAATCAATGCATTCGGAACAGGTTTTGAAGTTTTCAACGGAAGTTTCGAAATCACAACATCACCAAATTTCGCCGTGACAATGTTGTCAACGGGATCGTCAGCAGCATGCATCAACCAAACCACACCACTGCCAGACACTGAGAGGAGAAACCGGTTTTGCTTTCCACTTGATGCTGGCACACAGGGCATGAACACTGGACCTATCCATGCCAAAAGGAAGGGGGCCCATTTCAAACTCAACACGGGGACCCGCAGCCAAAACCACCGTACCTGGACGAAGGATGCTACTGACTGCAGCCATGTCACAAGTTGCAACCCGCACTCCAAACCTGGAACCCATGCGAACAATGCCAATGACTGACGCTGTGCACTGCGCCGCATGCTGAACCTCAGCAGGAGTGGCACGTGGGAGCCAAACCACCTGAAAGTCCAGATTAGGCTGCTTGGCATCAAGCGAGCGAGGCTCCAGAAAGATACCAGCAACCCCGGAGCTCTTCAGCATCAGCAGCTCCACAGACTTGGCATAGCGAATGTTGACCAAGAAAACCTCAGCCTTGGAAGGATCACAAGGTTTGAAGCCCATGGAAACCCACTGCCGACGCCACAAGTCGAAAATGACATCAGACACATCGCTATCATCCGGCACATGCCACATCCCACAAGTTTTCACGCAGTCAGATTGGCGACAAGTGTTCAAGCAAACCACATGCTGAAGAATGTACTTAATCGGGCTGTGAACAACATCTTGCCACGAACCAAGCACAGAGTCATGGTAGACTGCAATCTTAACACACGCAGCAGCGGCAACAGCAGGATCAACAATCTTCTCAGCCGAAGCTTTCACCACAAGCTTTCCACCAAGTTGCAACAAAACCCCGCTGACAAGGAGCGGCTCACCATTCGTCACGCAACGCAAAGGAATCCGAATTTGAGACCAGCACAAGGTAACAACATCAGGAAGGTCATCAACATGGACAATGAAAACCGCAAGGCATTGCTGAGAAACCTTTTGATTGGTCTTCAAGAATTGCTCAATCATAGGACGATTGCAAATGGCAACACCCTCCGCAAACGGACCAAGCTGAGACACTTGCAGCTGTTTCAATGGCTGGTTCGACTCCGAAACAAACAAACCCTTTTCAAATGCCAACTTCGCCGGATCCAGCATGACAGGTTTGGCAGGAACTGACTTTGGACCAACCTGCTTGGGAGCTGCCGTCCTGCTTTTCTTATTTTGTTTCACCTGGATGGCCGCTTCAAGTTCTGCCGGAAGAACCAGTTGAAACACAGGACGATTCTGATTGGCCAAGGACTTTAAACCTCGCCAAGGAGACGCTGAGGTCAACACCTTTTGAACTTCCGCCAAGCCCAATGCCTGGATAATCAAGGAAATCCGACCATCACACTGCTCAGGTGGCACACCATGCTGCACAAGGAGATCAAGCAACCTAGCATGAGCATGGGGCTCAAGTCCATTCGCCCATGCCCATGGACGCGGAACATGCTCAAAGGCTGTGATCTCTTTGACAAAGATTTCCCTGGCAACCTGGTGGAGCACTTTGCACTCATCAAGCTGAGTGGGAAGCATTTTGCCACGAATCATGGAGTCAAGGAACCGGACCGCAGCAATTCCACAAAATTCAGCCGGAGCAAAATTACGGTGAGTAACTTGAACAATGAAAGACTCAACACCAACAACTTTAGCAACAGCAGAGTGCAAAAGTGCAAGAGGTGTGCACGAGTCACGAACAACATCCCAAGACGAAGCCAACAACCTGCCAGAGGTCCAAGTCCAAAAGAACGGCACCCAATGTTTATCAACCCAAACTGCTGACGCAATGGCTTTGAGGGATCCACGCTGACCATCGAACCACTCTTGAATCATCTTGGCTACAGGACGACGGGTACCCTCAGTGGCCAACAAAGGATCCAAGAACGCAATGTCAGTGCGTCCACTGGCCTCAATCATTCTTTTGACATGAAAGTGAACCTCATCATCGGCCATCACACTACCTTGTTTGTCCAAAATTTGCAACCGACCAGCAGTAACCATCAACTGACTCCGAATTGAATCCAAGAAAGCAATGCTATTGATCTTGGGGCCCAACACTTCCATCAGCTGAGAAGCAGACAAAGCACCAAGGGGATCAAGCAATTGCTCTTCAGACAAAGGGGCAACAGCCACAGCAGGAGCTAAAAGCGGGACAGAGTGTGCAACAAGTGACTCATTGTGACCAACCTCATGACCACCAACAGCCGAGATCTCAGGCAAAGGACAAGGAACAGCAAACGGAATGGTCCGAGACACCTCACAAGTGTCAAGGTCAGGACGTCCACTTTCCTGCAACGGCACCAAGGCAGTGGACACAACACCAACGGAACCAAGCTCGGCAGCATCCATGTGATGATCAACACCAAAACTAGCGTCATCTATCGCAAATTCAAGTGGAGAGTGATGAACATACGAGACGCAAATGACTTTCCCGGCCAACTTGACATCAAGGCTGCAAGGTTCACCAGTCTGACCATCATGAAATTCCAATGGGCACCGGGCAGGGCAAATTCGGCTTTCAGCTGCCAACAAGTGATGACAAGCCAAGTCACTGGAATCAAGCCGGATCACTTGAGTAGTGCCAAAATCCCGATCAACCAAGGCAAACGAAGCAGGATCACCAAGATGAACCAAAGGGACAAATGACGAAACGACACCAAATCCACAAGGGCATGGAACATCATCACACTCAACGTCATTCAAAGACAAAGCGGGCACAGCTGGAGTTGCAAACAGTTGATGGCTGATCTCAAGCAACTTCTGGGCATGCAAGCTCATGGCATTCGACAAGTCAAATGACGAATCACCCATGTGAAGTTTTTCAATGTGAACCCGAACCTGACCTGCCACCCAAAGAGCATGGAACGGGGCCGCGAGTTGTCCAATGGCTGAAAGCCAAAGGCGCAGCGAACCTGGCCACATATGGTTGGGGATGCAACCATTGATCAAAGTAGCTTCAGTTGGGTGTGGATGCCTCATCCGAGGAAGCAAGGTGCCATCAATGTCAATGACTCCCTCAACCGGAAAAAGGTATCCAAAAATTCCACGGGCCAAGATACTTTCATCGAACGGAGGCCTGCAACCACATGGACAAGCCAAAACCTGTGAACCACAGGAATGCGACATGGCAGGCGCAACCCCATGCAAAGGCAAGACATGAGAGGCAGGGGATGAAAAACGCAAAAACAAACGATATTCATCCACCGAAAGTTCAAGCTGCTGCAGTTCATCATCAGGCAGCGTCAATGGCCTGGGGATTACCTGCTTGACCTGGTCAGGAAAAGGCAGCTTGGGCATCTGTGCCAACGAAATTGGACCTAAGGAAAACGCCGACAAAACAACCCACCACCGATCACGACAACAAGGCCAAGCATTTTGAAGCGACAACTGGCAATCTTGCATGTGATAATGGAAATGCTTGGCAAAACCATGCAATGTCTGCGAAACCCATGCATGACCCTGAGCTTCACAAACACACTCCAAAATGGCAACCGGAATCCTCAAGACAAACAACGTCGGAAGAATGCCAACAAGTGCAGAGGACCGAATGTCATGACAAGAGACGCCAGCCGCCAACACTTTGCAATCAGGGGCTGTGCGGTGAATCATCCGGAGAACATCATCAGAATTGATGTCCCCTGTAATCGTCACAGTCTGATGTCTTGCATGGAACATGTTGGTGAACAATTCATTTAAATCCACGGCCAAGTCAGTCACAAAACCCGCAGCGTGCAACCCCTCAGTGGTAAATCCAGCCCCACAACAAACCTCCAAAACCCGAAACAAATGCTCAACATTGCAAACCTCATGTTTCATCAACTTCGTTACGTCCACAGAATACTGACAAAGGCCACCAATCACACCATCGAACCGAGCTTTCAAGGCACTAAAGTTGCAACCAATCACACCCGCATCACAAAGACCCACAATGCGAACAGGCTTCAACGATGGAAACAACAATGCAACGGATCCCGTATACTCACTGGCAGATGTTAGATCGAAAACGATATCATAATGATGACCCACTTCAGGTTGCAAACCAGGACCCCATTGAATCGAATGACCAGCTTCTCCCAATGTCATCATGGCAAATCGGGTACACGAAACACTCAGACTCTCCGTAAGAATAAGGTTCACCAACTGTTAGGTGGTCTGAGCCCAGAACCTTAAATAAAAAATGATTGAAACCACCAACCAGCTATAATGTGGGCCCCCATAGGAAAAAACATAGGAAAACCATAGCTGCATGAATGCCAAAGCGCACAAAGTCCAATAGCCAAGCCAAGTTCGTGAGCTCCACAGCGTAAGCCACATGAGCCAGTGGCGCGTCAAAATAGGCTACGAAGTTCAAGAAACTGATGAAAATGCCCAAGGCGTTAAACATCAGAATCCAAATCCACTGGTAGTTGGGCTCGCTTCCTCTTTTAAACTGCCATAGGAAGCGGCACCAAGTCGTGCGTGCGAAATTGCACGATCCCTCTACCAGCACGCACTTGGCACAGGTGTCCTTGCCATGACCGCTGGTGTCGGCCTCCCAACTGCTCAATTCCGCCGCACGGTACCACAACTCAGGAAAATGGGGATTTCATGGGAGTTATAGCTGATTTATGATAGCTAAGTTGGTGAACATCACTTCAAGAACTATAGTTTATGATACCTATGTATAACTAGTGTATTCATGGGGTTATAAACCAACTTATAACTGGGGGGCCGGACATTGTATGTATATATATATATAGTATGTATATATATAATTATATATATATGCCATATGTTTCCAACATGTACATCATTGTTTTTGTTGCAGTTGCAAGCGTTTTTTTTATATACTTGGGACAACTCGCAAACATATGCATATGTATACACTATATGCACACATGTGAACTCAATAAAACTAATTCAATGAACTATTTCATTGGTGTATTCGACACGTTTTTGACGGCCATATGTGATCATGTATTGAGAACTTTCGGGGGATCTGGGATTAAATAATATAAATATTATATATATAATACATATACTATTGAATGGCCACATATTTGATGATTATATATGATTACATCATATTGGGATAAATACATCATATGTCCACTACTTCATGGACACATATGTCATAGATGATGGTATTATATTGGGGTAAGTACATCATATTATCCACTACTTCATAACCATATATTTCATAGATGATATCATACTCAAATATCATATAAATCTCCTACAAAATCATCTATAATTGCATCTGTAAATCCCCTTCTAAACCATGTTTGCGATTTCTGGGTGTTTCATATCAGTTAAAAGGGATTACATTGTGATACCACAATTTCTTTTATGATAACCTTCACCAATGTCTGACCCTTCATCTTAATCTTGCCCTTGGTGGAATTGCTTACCGAATATATTGGTGTATGATAATCTATCCATTCTATTGGCGTATCTTCCCCTCACCAAGGTCTCTTTCGCCCGCATCCGGCACCTGGCTTTCGCCCTTCCTCGGCAACGGCGCCACCGGCGCCACGCTCGGCGCCAGCGGCATCGCCGTGATCGGCGGGGCGAGCGCCGGTGCGACGGGTGCGACGGGTGCTGGCAAGGCGTGCGCCTGGAAAGATTTCATTGGGATCTGCCGATATCAATGGATACATGTTGTACCCACAATTTCAGACACAGCCGAAACATCCATATATGAATATGCTAATATATGCTAATTATTGTATAATATATATATATATCACATGCATGAAAGTGCCCATATACAACTCGTTTCATGTTGCTTGTTGTTGAGGAAGTACAGACTTGAATGCACATCCAAATACCTTGGCAAATGGAAATAAGTCCCAAATCCCAAACCAGATTTAAACAATTGTTGGGATGACTGCGCCTATTAACCATCATTTACAGTGACCTTGCTGTGAGGACGCTATATTTGACCCAGAAAAAGAACATGACACATATAGTTACAATTAGAACTAATCAAATAATTACAGTAGATTTAAAAAACAATAAGAGTTATAAGAGTTATAAGAGTTACGCTCACCATAAATGCCTGTCTTAAATCTTGGTAAACTAGCTAAAAACAAACTCAGCTAACTATGGGGCACCGCTTTCCATAGAACTAACCTGTGATCACCCGCAGCTAAGCACACAAGCAGAAGTACGGTACACCACAAATGAATGATCTTGATGATGCTTTATGTCATTTTTCCCATTAAGGGGCCGGTATACCCCCTTTAAAACAAACCCGGATCTCATTCCCATCTCTTCTAATTTAATCCCAAATTATTGATGCTCGAAATTGGTTGCATTGCATGATTTTCACCATCTACCATCTGGTTATTTAACATAGCCATGGTATAGATGGCCCATAGAAATAGATGGTTTACCGTTCTTAAAAATGGGTGGATCTTTCCATGGCTATGTGACAAATAACCAGAGGGGGTACATTCCAAAGATATTCTCTTCCCAAGCACCTCCTGTTGTTCCCACTTTTCGGCACCTGTCGTTCCTCTCTAGCAAGTTGGGACCGACGCCTCTCTTGCCTCGGCAAGGTACCAGAAGTTCCATCGGATTATATAACATTTGGAGGTTTCGTGAAATGTTACCCCAAATCATCCAAAATAGAGAATTGTTGTATTGAAACCCATGGTTTTTGAATTTGATCCGCAAACATGGGGCATTATAGTTCAGATATGACAGGTAGAATTTAGCCAGCAAACATGAGGGCATCTATTTAGTTATGATAGCGAAGGTCGTTGAATGTTGACAACGTTCTTAAACAAGGTTTATTGGGACTAGAATTGTGGTTGCTGGGGTGCTGCATTATTTTTTCACTAAAGGGGAAACCGCCTTGCATAACCAACGATAATGATGATTTACCTGACATCTGGTACTATTCATAACATGATGTTGGAATGATAATATCCCACATGCTCCATGTATGGGATATTTACCAACATTTGCCTTAAAAATCACCCAAATGTAGGTAAACATATCATACATGGAGCATATGGGTATAGTACGATGCGCATGATTCTGATACTAAAACAACGGATACACCGTGAGACGACCCACGAACAAATGGGAGATAACCCATGATAAGCCCATTTACAGGGGACTTTGCAAAAAGGGGGCGGTGTTTCTAAATCTCCTCATATTGGTTTCTCAAAGACACACCTGACATGGCTTTGACCAAGAATAGGGCACCGAAAATCCCACAGTTGCATATGTTCGGCTCCATTTGCCCAAATGTTGTGCAATTCCATAGTTGCCAAGCTGATTTTATCTGGGAAAACAAAACTACAATATATCCTATACCAGATTTAAAGCCATTTGCGGATGATTTCCCCTGCCCATCATCTATGGTTCAAATGGGGTCGCTATCATTTATCCCAATTTCTACTTTACCCTCTGGTAATTTGTTACATAGTTATTGAAATTATTGAACATGGCCCAGTCGAAATAGTGGATTTACCCATTGAACATGGGTGGATTTTCCAGTTTGTTATGTAAACGGTAAACGTTTACCAAAGGGTAACCATCATATATGCCATTAAATCCCATTAGAATACCATAAAATCACATTAAATCCCATTAGAATACCATAAAATCACATTAAATCCCATTAGAATACCATAAAATCACATTAAATCCCATTAAAATACCATAAAATCACATTAAATCCCATTAGAATACCATAAAATCACATTAAATCCCATTAAAATACCATAAAATGTTCCCCTGATTTTAGGGATCTTCCTCTGGTCGCCATCATCTATGGCGGTGACCGTGAGATCATGGAATCCATTGCTTGGTCAACGGGTACTCATCTGGTGGTTGAGCCACCTACTCCTCTGAAAAATGATGGAGTCAGTTGGGATGATGAATTTCCCAACTGTTTCTGGAAAGTCATAGTCCATTCATGTTCCAAACCACCAACCAGTATGTATTCACATTGGATTCGCAACAAACCAAATGCTACAACCCACGTCTTAAAAGCAACCAACTATCCTTTCTCAATTATGTCCTCCTTTTTTAGCGGCTAACCCCATGTGTGATGCTCGAATCCCCCAATTGCATCCAATTTTTCTAGACATCAACAAATTCTACTGGTGATTTTGGTTCTTTGATCAGCAAAAAACCTCCTTTTTGCTCGTGAAATGACCATGTTTGGCTCGAAATCGTCGTCACCCTGAGTTCTGCACTCGTATTGTTGGAAGTCGAACATCTCGACCTGACGCGAAAGGTGACCCAGGGCACCTGGGCCACCTTTCGACACTTGGCCCAGGTGCCCTGTGGTGCTGGCCACTTAGGTGAGGATGGGTCAACACCTGGTGAAATTACCACATATTTACCACAGGTTTACCACATATTTACCCATATAACCTGGTGAAATACCTGGTGAAATTACCACATGTTTGGGGGAATAACCATCCATTAAGCGCATTCAACAGCTATTCAGGGTACCGTTTAAAGGTACCAGGGGTTTGACTCATGGATTTACAGATTGACTAGGAAAACTAGGGGGCACCAGCGTCTTCGGCACCTTGTATGATACCATGAAAAAACATGTTCTTTAGCTGTTTTGTTCCGTATATTCCTTCATTTATTGCTGGAACAAAAATGTAAAAATAAGTTACTCAATCAAGGCGCAACCAGAAAATGCCAGGTTTTTGCCTGTTTTCTATAATCCATTGCGCGATGAAAGTTCTATCTGCTACTTGGATGAACGTTTTAGTAGAATCTGGAAAAAAAACACCTTGTGTAAGTCTCTTTACTAGGGTTCTCCCGTTAGAAAGTGATAACTTACAATGCGTAACCATGGTCAACCAGTTCTTAAGGATCGACATCTAAGTGGTGAAATGGAGAGTGATGCTATGCCAATCCTAAGGGAAAATCAGCAAAGTCTTGCCTATAGCAACCATAGCACCCACAATTTCTGAATCCGAGCAACCTAACCCCCTAAAGAATGGCAGAGTCCCATTCTACCCTAAAATCTTGTTGGTCAAAAAAAAACAATTTAGACATATAATTAATCAGTTCATATCATGAATATAATCCCATATTATCCCATGCAAAATCTTAAATCTTACCTGGTTGGTGGTATACCTACCCCTCTGAAAAATATGAAAGTCAGTTGGGATTATTATTTCCAATATATGGAAAATTCATCCAAATGTTCCAAACCACCAACGAGTTAACATCTCTTAATTAATGTACGTTAATCTGGTTTACTCCCAATGGTTAAGCCCCCAGGCTGTGAGTCGGGTCTCGACCCAGCGTCCTGCGCTCAGCGGCAAACATAAGACAAATTTTAATGGGGATTTAGCGTTCAACATTTTAACATGACAGGTAAAGAGGCTTATAACTAGTTTAAGCATGTTTTTAGTAGGGTTTATGGTTGTGAAAATAAGTATAAACAATGGGGCCTTTTGGCCCACTTTTATCATGGACCCTGGGGGGGGGTAAAGGGGGGGGTAGGTAGCTTATTCTATAAAGGTTTCTTAGGGGCTTCTGTGTAAGGCCCTTATTAGAAGCTTAAAAAAATCTCAATAAGCGCTTATTAGAAGCTTAATAGATGCTTATCCGTTAAGCTCTGAACAAGGCCTGGATAAGTCTTCAGCCAAGGAGCCTAGGACCAAGGTATGGGAGAGTCTGCGGAGGAGAAGGGCCTGGGGAGGGTCTGGGAAGGTTTGGGTGAGGATCGGAGGGTGGTTGGGGATGTTGGGGGTTGGGGGGATTTTGGGGGATTTGGGGGGCGGGTAGGCAAATTAGGTTGGGAGACAGGCTTATCCAAGGCTTATCAAAGGCTTATCCTTTAAGCCCTGGATAAGCCCTTAATAAGCCCTTATCAGTCTTCAACCAACCCTGAACAAACCTTGGATAAGGATCTCTTGTTTCATCCATGGTTGGACCAGGGAATAAAGACAGTTTTCCCTGGCGTTGGGGATATCTGATAAGCCCTTATTAGGCTCTTGTATGATAAGCTACATACCCCCCCTTACACCCCCAGGGTTCCATGATTTTAATTGGCCAATTGTAGTGACTACTGGGATGGTTCAGTTTCCGGCAAAGCATGGAATTTTGGGGTGCCTCGTCAGATAAACCATGATAAAGCCATATGCATACTGGTTCATCCTATTACATCAGTAGTTATTTAACAATTATGGCTGTATAAGCGATATGTTTACTATCAATCCTATAAGCTGGCTGTTTTTTAGCGATTTAAGGAGGTGTCGCTGGGCCCTGAACGAAGACAAAGCCAGTAACGGATGAGAAAAGTCATCGGGTGACACGGACGATCCTCTGAAGTTTCATATTCAATATTCATATCGTTGTTGAAATGGGAAATGAAAGGACAAAAACACAAATGGCTTTACCCTCTGGTAATGTAACATAGCTATCAACAAAAATCACCATTTTTAATAGGTAAACCATCGATTTCAATGGGCCATAATTTAACATACTATAGAACATCACCATTTTATTTCTATGGGCCATTTCCATAGCAAACTGTTGGTTTTCCAGGCCGGGTAACAGGGCTTTAACCAGTCTTTGATCTTAGATCTGGCACCTCATCCCCCCGGAAAAACGGTCAACTGCGCCGGGACCGAAAAAAAATACTCTGAAGACCACAAAAACCCTCGTCTGCAGTGGTAAATTCCCAATAGTTTACACACGGTGATGTTTAACCCAATGTACAGACGAGTTAGGATGTTCGTTTAAATCCAATACTCACCATTAACCATCTATATAAACACATCCCAACTCCCATGGTGATGCTTAACCCAATATCGAATTATCGGGTTCGTCCTAAAATATGGAAAAAAAAAACACCAATTCACATGGATTATCCGAACATTTTCCCACTTACAATGACCATAGCTGGGGGTATACCCTGTTATCAAACACACCCAAAACATATGCAGTTGTTTACATACCCACGTTTGCTCCTTAAATCACCAAGAAACATGTTGGTTAATACCGTACAATCCCATCAATCCCTTTACTACCATCCATGTCCTTTTCCTTGTGTGATATGGATCCATGATCCATATTCATATGTTCATGTTTAGTCCTGATTACCCTCTGGTAATTCAACATCGCAAATTTAATTTGGCCCGTAGAAATACTTGATTTACCTATTAAAGATGGTGATTTCCATAGCAAACTCTTAGTTTACCAGAGGCTATAGCCCACTAAGTGGATTATAATCCCATTAAATTCCTATCTGGTTGGTAGCTTTAACCATCTTGAAAAATATTAGACAAATGGAATTATTGTTCCCAATATATGGAAAAATAATCCAAATGTTCCAAACCACCAACCAGCATTTATAGATATTTATAGTTGGTTTATGGTTGAAGTTGAATCCCCTAGAAATCCCACTAATCCCATTAAATCCCATTAAACACACATTAAATGGCCATTTTCAATAGCTATGTAACAGTCATTGAGGGTAAATCCCATTTTATGCCCATTCTTCATGGCCCAACTTCCAAAATTTCAATGGGAATTTCAGGATCCTAAAATGGAGGTACTGTACCATATAAGGCCATATTTTGTGGGGATATTCACTTACGTAGGCCTTAATTATATAGGCCTTATATATCCTTATATATGGTAGGTACCTCCATTTTAGGTTCCTGGAATGGCCATTGAAAATTGCAGGTCTTTGCGCCATCCCGGCGCATCCTTGGTAGAACTCGCGCCATTTGTTGAAGCCACCCCTCGCCGCCTCGCAGAGATGACTATCTCATGGTTGGATCCTACATGGCCATGGGTAAAACAGTGTCATAAGTGGTTTCTTATCCAGAAATATAGCAGTGATTGATAGAAAATGATCCCATGAATGGAACATTATGGACGATATTTCATCTATTAATCATAGCTATATTAATGAATATCCTCTCTTAGTGAAAAATATGAATATTTTGGTGATTGTTGGTGGTTGTAAGAAACGTAATGATAATGATAACATACTATACAGTAACTGATATCTAAATCAATGGTAATGAGGTTGATAAAACAATAATAAATGGGTATAACAAAAAGCAAACACTATTTGCCAATGTTTTTGTTTTTTTTCTGGTTAATAGCAACCATGATTGCCATTCAACGCAGCTATTTCCCATATAAAATGACTGTTAACAAACCATTTCATGTGGGTAAAACAATGTCATAAGTGCTTTTATAATAAGATGTACTAATATGATCTAATATGCACATAAGTGGCAATTACCATCTATAGTTGGTAATATTATGTACTGATAGTTCATATTAATAGGATATAAGGCCATAAGTGGGAACTAGTTGTTTTTAATGGTAATAATATGTATTAATAGTCTTATTAATAATGTGGGTAAAACAATGTCATGGGTACCACCCATGACTGGGAATGGATTGAATCCCATTTTATACCATCAATAAAAATGGTGATGGCTGCGGGATGGTTTATGACATTGTTTTACCCACATTATAAAAAATATTTCCAACCTAGCAACGTTTGATTGCGGATAAAACCTTTGGGCTCTTCTTGCCTTCGCCCATTGACACTTTCTGGTGTGACTTCAGCTGGTGGATGTGGGACAGCGCTGAAAATGACGACCACGACCCATCGGGGTTCGCAAGCTCCGGTCCAGAGAAAAGCTTCACCACCGAGAGGCGCCGAGAAGACGCATGTGAAGTCTACTGTAAGCAGGACGAGTGGCAAATAAACTGAAAAGAATGAGATGACATGAAAATTCACGAGAGAGAGAGAGAGAGAGTGAGAGAGAGAGAGAGAACATGTGTTCTATGAGATCCTGGAAAAAACAACATGTGTTCTACTTTTTGGATCTTCTTGGGATCTTTTTTTGGGACCCCTATGTGTCATTCATTGCCGACCCAACACCAGCTACACATCTCACCTTTCCCCAAGCCTAGATGTGCCATCGTAGACATTGTGTAACATGGGACTCGTGTGGTATGGACGGTATGGTCACTATGGGATTCTCCAATGGCTATATCAATCCCTATTGATTCATGGGGAAAGGACCATCCCCGAACAAGGTGGTGCCACAGTTCGTTAGCTAGCTTGGGTTATAACTATAACCAACCCACCCTAATTCGGATTGATGGTGATAATAGTCAACCTGCATATAAACCAACTTAGCTAACTAGGAGGTTCCACCACGTAGAAATCCAAACAACAACTTGAAAAGTGAATCAGTATTGGCAACAATGTGTTCAATCCGTTTGGAAGATAACCCAGAGTCAATAGGGATTCATTTTATATATCTCGATACTTGGATATTGAAACTCACGGGTTTGGGATACCCCTCCAAGTTTGAAAACAGCATAATATGCAGGAAACCAGTTTGGTAAATGCCCTTACTATGCAGGCCAGTATACCGAGAGTAAGAATTAGAATGGACCTCCTTTCTGATGTATTGATTATTGATCAGCATTTATGTCGTGTATTATTTCTTCTATACCATCATTATCAACCCATTTTATGGTTACCCTCCAGTAAATTAACATAGACCCTGAAAATCACCCAGTTTTTGTGGAAACCAAATCCTATCTGCCAGGGTCTATGTTAACTGGTTGGTGCTTTCAACCCCTCTGAAACATATGAGTTCGTCAATGGGAAGGATTATCCCATATATATTATATATCCCATATGAAATGGAAAAAAACAAATGTTTGAAACACCAACCAGTTAATTTACGAACTAATAGGCATGGCCATAACTATGGAGATTTGAGTTACAATGATTACAATGGTTTCAAGCGGGTCAATCTGTGTTTTACGAAAGGGTAAATCATCTTAACCCTCCATCTTAACCACCAACCAGTTAATTTCTAGACATTTATAGTTGGTTTATGGTTGAATCCCCCTTAAAATCCCATTAAATCCCATTAAATTTCCATTAAAATCCCATTAAAATCCGATCTTTGATAGGTCAAATGCCCAGGAAAAAAAAACGCGCCTTTTGGCAAGCAACACCTCTATCCTGACCTGGCACAAGCGGCACAAGCGGTGCCTTTAGTCTGACCACTCAGGTTGGTTGGTACAAATCAGCCCTATCCACTAGTAGATATATCATGATGTTCCATGTTTTTTTTATCCCATTCGAAAACTCAATTTATAGAGTTATATCAGGTTATATCATGTTATATCATGTTATATCATGTTATATCATGTTATATCATGTTATATAGTGTTATATTATGTTATATCATGTTATATCATGTTATATCATGTTATATCATGTTATATCATGTTATATAGTGTTATATCATGTTATATCATGTTATATCATGTTATATCATGTTATGTCCCTATCAATGGTACATCTCCATCATCTCTGTTGATTCTAAAATTATCCCTTATCTACCAGAAAGTCCAAGTATATCAGCTATTCATAAGCATACTTGCCAATATACAAATAACACATGTCAAACCACATTCTTGGCCGTTGAATCATCACTTCTGATAGTTAGGGGTGGCAAAGTTTGCCTGCGAAAGCTATTGCAGTTGCACATAGTACCAAGAGAAAGCCATAGAAAGCCAACGTGGTTCACAAGCGATTACAAGCCTCCATGGCATCTCCACGGACATTGGCTTGCTCAGGTAATACTGGTAATAGCCCTTGCCTGTCTCTCCGTAGATTTGCTGGTCCCGCAGGTCAGTGAAGCACCTTCTTGCTGTGGTTGCGGCCGCAAATTTCCTCTGGCCACTGCAGCGTAGTAGGTCCCCCACTACTACTTTTGACCACAACCAAGCAACAATAACTTTGTTCAAACTATAGATTTACCCCATTAAAACCTCCATGTAGCTCAGCAGCTTTGGGATTTCTAGTCATGTTTGATTACCGGAGGGAAACATGATTTCAGCAAAGGTAGGGCAAAGGCGGCATGGCTCGAAATTTGGGGAACCATACTGGTCATTCATCTGGCTAGCCTTCACTTCCAAGCACCTAAATAGGTGGTTACTCGGATCAATATAATATATATATATAATATATAATATATATAATATATATATATATAATATATATATAATATATAATATATATAATATAATATATATATATATTATATAATATATATATATGTATTATATATATAATATATATAATACATATATATATATATATAATATTATATATAATATATATATATATTATATATAATATATATATATATAATATATATAATATAATATATAATATATATAATATATAATATATATAATATATTATATATATACTATATATACTATATATATATGTATTATATATAATATATAATATATATAATATATTATATATATATACTATATATACTATATATATATATGAGCGATTGTGAAAACCCTAGGTTCACGGAAACGACATCCACAAAATTTGGGAAGGTCCCATCGCTTACCACACGTTTGTACAATAATGATATATGGTAAACTTGGAGGGTATCGCTTGCAGGAAACTGCTGCATTTATATATATATATATATGTGATGAACTATGAATAATATGTGATATTTAGGTATCGCTAATGTGGATATTAGAGAAATATGATGACATAACCTTGAAAAGGGGTATCGCTAATTTGGGAAGGTCCCATCGCTTACCTCGTGTTTTTAACAATTTCCATCAATTTCCATAAACCAATGTCCGTCGAATACATATTTAGCATTGCCGGGGTTTTTACGGTTGCTCATATATATGCAGTAAATCATGAAAACTACACCAGTGCCATACCGTGAAATATATCGTATTCCTGAATTCCTAGTTTGTGGTTGGCATCCCCATTAAACCCTAAACCCGAACCCTAAACGCACACTTCATAACGAAGCAACCAAATACAATGTATCAATGATTTCCTTGTTTTTTGGTTCTCTCATTTTTCCTTGCTTGTTGGGTGCTAAAACCAGAAAATATTGATTGATCCCACTAGAATAGTGATAAATCGAGCCTTTATCTCCAACATAGATCAAGGGAAATCACCATAAAAACCATAACAAAACCCGGTTAGAATAGAATACTGTCATGACAAACCATGATAAAACTCAGTATTAATGTATTAAAACCCAATCAGATAAGCCTAAGCCAAAAAACAGCTGCACCGGGTTTTTGGCAAAATCAGAAGAGGGCGATGCGATGCGATCCGCACCTTGCCGAGCTGCCCTCAGCAAGTCGTCTTCGCCTTGGGCAAAGAGTCAGGCTGTCAGGCCATCAACAAAACGAGGCCCTGCTTAGGTCATGGAGGACTCATAAAAACTGCTTGATAAGTGGCTCATCTACCCTTACAAAAGCGGATCATAATAGGTTAAACATATACAAAAGTGGATCATCGTGTTTTTTAAGATCTTAATATCAACGTATTGACCAGTTGACTCCATGGTCCATTGCATATATGGAGCTTCATGCTGCACTCGCGGAATCCCGCAGAGATTGCGGGGTATTTTTCGCACATGACCTACTCACCACGGGACAAACATGTGTGGAATTTTACGCGTCCGGGGAAATTCAGCATTGCGATCATGGCGTCATCAGTTATGGCCATTTACCAGTTATAAATACTTATAACCCCATTTATAAAATGTATAATCCCAGTTATAATCAGTTGTAACTAATAAATGGCCATAACTGATGAACCATCATGAACCCTTTCAACACATGGGCGCCACTCCGGACTCGCGCCTTCTGAAACATATCTCCAAGCTGTTGGTGATCTTCCGCAGGGTTTGTGGTAGATATCTCTATAGATCATGGGGCACCACATTGAGCGGCACGGGCCTGGTCATTTTATGGTAAATTGGAGTGGTTTCCTATGTATATCGTCTTCACCACATTGCTGTCAAAGTGGGGCCCCTAGATTTCTTGCATTTTCGATCATCCAAAAACGAAGCAGGTCAGCTAGCTATCAACCAGTTTACTGTCTGGAAAACCACACTGTGTATGCATCTGATATAGTACCCAGCTTTTTGTTAAAAAGGTTCTGTTTGATATTTGCGTACGTACATATCATGATTGAACAAGTGGATGTAAAACTCAAACATCACACACAGCTATCACTTCCAAAATCCAACTGAACCAATCTGAACCAGGTCTGCTCTTGTTGTTCATGTTTTTGTTTGGCAATCAACTTTCCACATGAAAACGCCCCCCAAAATAAATCCACGAAGGGGCCGATGATGGCATTGATTGAGCAAACTGGTCATGACATGGAAGAGGAACACCCAGACAGTGTTCAGGGTAGTGTTCCTACAATGTGAGGCCCCCCCAGTTATGTTTGTTGGTTTGTAACCCCCATGAATACTATAGTTTAATAGGAATCATAAACCATAGTGAAATTGAAGTTATGTTCACCAACCTTAGCTATTAAAAATCAGCCATGGCTATCCCATGAAATCCTCATTTTCCTATAGTTTTCCTATGATTGTTCCTACGTTTCTCCCCTGCCTTCGGTGGTCTTCAAGATGCCTGAAAACTTCATGAGAGGCGCAAAAACATTCGAAATTGTGCAGCGCTTGGCCAGTTCTTGAAATACGAAGGCACTATCATAGACAGAATGGGTGGGGGGACCAAATGGCCTTAAGGAAATGCAACATTTTGAGACCAAATCGACAAACTGTGTGCTTTCCCGAAGCTGATCGTAATTGAACAGCCCTCCCTTGAAGAGGGTAAAAGCGGTGGAGCCCCTTGGCAGCCTCATGGAGTCCAAACAAAACAAAGCCGTCACGCTGGGGTTTGCATCTGGTGTCAGGTCCACAGAATATCCAGGGGTGAGGACCCAGCCAGTTCTCGCTCCGCTGGGATCCGGCAGACCCCTTGCAATCAAACGCAAAGCGCCTTCAAGTGCCTGCTGACTGGGCACGAACCTATTCGTTCCAGCTGGGATGATCGTGTTCGGTACCTCACCATATCTCACCATTCGGCCCTACAGGCGCTGCTGCAGCTACTCCGGCAGTTCGTCTGCAATAAAGATTACCCGAAGATTTTCTTCCAGATTTGTGTGAATAGAATGGGTGGTAGGCGGCACCAGCCACACCCTCGAAACAACCCAAAATTGATATAGAATCTTCTCAGCCATTTTTTGAGAGAAATTGAGAGACCGTTTTCGGATGTTGAAATCTCAAATTGTTTCGCACGCTCTCTGTGCGCAACTCAACTGGCTCAGAACAGCTCGCTGGAATGAAAGAAGTGGCTGATTGGAGATGTCTCAAACTTGATGCCAAGACATTACCAAATAGCAAAAAAACAAAAAGAACACAAAGTCAAAATGTTTCAACAAAAAAATACTTTACTTCGTGTGATCCCCACCATGACATTTATACATTTTCTTACTGGCAAATCTTCTGGCATTCTATCTGACATATCTTCTGACATTCTATTTGACATTCTATCTGACATATCTTCTGGCATTCAGTCTGGCATTCTATCTGGCATATCTTCTGGCATATATTCTGACATATCTTCTGGCATTCTATCTGACATATCTTCTGGCATATATTCTGACATATCTTCTGGCATATCTTCTGGCATATCTTCTGGCATATCTTCTGGCATATCTATCTGGCATATTTTCTGGCATATTTTCTGGCATTCTATCTGGCAAATCTTCTGGCATTCTATCTGGCATATCTTCTGGCATATTATCTGGCATTCTATCTGGCATATCTTCTGGCATATATTCTGACATATCTTCTGGCATTCTATCTGGCATTCTATCTGGCATATCTTCTGGCATATCTTCTGGCATATCTTCTGGCATTCTATCTGGCAAATCTGATGCATTCTATCTGGCATATCTTCTGGCATTCTATTTGACATATCTTCTGGCATTCTATCTGGCATTCTATCTGGCATATCTTCTGGCATATATTCTGACATATCTTCTGGCATTCTATCTGGCATTCTATTTGGCATTCTATCTGGCATATCTTCTGGCATATCTTCTGACATTCTTTCTGACATTCTTTCTAATTTTCTTCTGCACATTCTTTGTCCCATATCTTCCTACATGAGGTCCGGCAGGGAACACTTGGCGTGGATACTCGCGGTTGAGGTCCGGCAGGGAACACTGGGCGTGGATGGTCGTGGTTGAGGTCCGGCAGGGAACACTGGGCGAGGATGGTCGTGGTTGAGGTCCGGCGGGGAACATTGGGCGTGGATGGTCGTGGTTGAGGTCCGGCAGGGAACACTGGGCGTGGATGGTCGTGGTTGAGGTCCGGCAGCGAACACTGTGGATCGCGAGTCGCAGTTGAGCAGGAGGACGAGGAGGACAACGAGGACGACGAGGACAACGAGAGGACGACAAGGATGACAAGGAGGACGAGGAGGACGAGGAGGAGAGGAGGAGGAGAAGAGGAGGACGAGAGGAGGACGAGGCAGGAGGAGGAGGAGGCAACTGACATAAAATCTAACAACCCTCACCTGGCAGGTGGGGAATTAAACTGTCTCAAATTCCAAGTTTTTGATGTTAATTGACCAGTTTCTCAAATGGCTTCAATTTCAACCAAATGGAACCAAAATGATTCAATGGTTTCTCAAACCACCTCAATTTCTTTCAACGTGTTTTTTCATTAATTATTTCTGGGGCAACATAAATTATCTCAAATTCTTTCGAAGTCGCTCGGTCCCAAAAATGGTATAACAAACATCTTCCCAGTAGATTACCCACATTAACATAGATTGCAAAGCAAAAACATAGGAAAGTAAAATCCTACCAATGAAATCTTGGCAAAGTACTTCAAACTTTTCTATCTCTTTGGGGGGTCACCAATCGTTGCACCCGGACTGAGCTCCCAAGCCCTCTTTGCCAGCCCGGACGGGCGAGATGACCCAACCTGAAACACAGAAATCTGCGGTCCACAGCCACTGAGAGTTTGAGAATCACCCAGAGTCCCCAGCGGTTTTTTGTCGTAAGAGGAGTTATATATATATATAATTATATATATATATGTTATAAACCGAAACCATGTGAGGCCAGGTAGACAGGCGTAGATAGGTAAGTTGGCTACCTAAGCCAAAACTCAGGTTTATGGATGTTTATGGTAGACATCTCAATAGTTTGATGGGTTATGATGGGGGTTTATCACCTGAAATACCGACCAGAATCGCCAGTTGCTGCCTGCCATGACAAAGGGACCTGAAAAATGAGTCCCTTGTACAGTCCCTACGAAAGATTCATTGTAGGATATTGTAGGTGTAAATGGGTGTAATATTTTCGCTAGGTGGTGGCCCCGAGTTAAAAGTTATAAGTTAGTTTGTAAACCAATACAACTATATATACAATTATATACACATGTCATCACCGTAGCTGTAACACCCCCAGTTGCGCTAGCTATAGAATGTCACAAACGAATTTAGCCAGCAAACTGAGGCACGACCCTGTTGTGTTGTTGTGTTTCTCCCATGCCAAATTCAGAAAACCTGCCGAGTTACCTACAACTTGCGGATTTCCAACTGGTCGTATTGTTTCGGAGGCTATGTTCTCGCCCTTTTTTGTGGAACACCGTTGAAAGCGGCTTCCCAAATACCACGAGCTGGAGCACGTAACTGAACACTGGAAGAAACGGCACTGAGGTGTGAGGTGTGTCTGAAAATATAGTAACTACCCACCATTTGTTGCCATTTAACCAGATGATTAAATGACATTTTGAACCATGAAAATTGGTTCAGTATCCCATTCCATACGCACCATTTAAATGTATGGATCATGATGATTACCCTCTGGTAAACTAACATAACTATGGAACATCACCATTCTTACTGGGAAAATCCACTATAAATGGCCATTTCCAATAGTTATGTTAAATTACCAGAGGGTAACCAGAGCATGGAATGGGATACTGAACCATTTTTTCAGACATCATCCCAAAAAAACGACCCCAAATCCAATGGTTTTTATGAATCATTTCCAAAAAAGGATGCAGCCACATGAAGAAATCCATGGTATCCTTTGTTTTCAAAAATACATTTCTGAAGTATATATATATATATTATCATATATATACATATTATTATAGATATTTATACAATGTCTGCATGTTTCATGGTCAAACAATGTAAAACCCATGGTAAAACCCAGCACTTTTTTGATGGTCTAAAAGTAGATATGCACCACATCCAAGGCACAACCGGGCAGCGGAACTCCACTGTTTTAATGGGCATAACATGGGATTTTCGGAATTTAATGGGGATTTAAATGGGATCATAATGGGATTTAATAGGAATTTACGGCATAAAATGGGATTTAATGGGATTTAATAGGAATTTAATGGGATCATAATCCACTTGGTTGGATATACCCGGCCTGGTCAACGAACTAACGTTTTACGAACTGGAAAATCCACCCATGTTTTAGCTGGGTAGTCATCCACTATTTCGACTGGGCCATGTTCAATAGCTTTTTGTATGTTTACCAGAGGGTAGTAGATTGATGACCATCCCCAAGATATAAGCACTTTACCCAAGGCCCAAGTTTTGAGCATGATGTAGCCTCTGGTAATTTGTCACGCTTTGCGACATTGAAGCCATGGCCCAGTCGAAATAGTTGATTTACCCAGCTAAAAATAGTGATTACCCATTAAAAATAGTGATTTTCCAAAACTGAATCAGTCATAACTATGGCCATGGCTATTAGTTATAACTGGCTATTTCACTGGGATAAAATGAAGATTTTTCCACAGCTTTGTGTTAGCTTACCAAAGGGTATGAGCCATTAGAAATACCATAGATGTTTAACCAGATCAATAGCCATTAAAAACCTATCAACTATGGAACTATGGTATTGTTTATAGTATAATGATAGTTAATTAGCCATTAAAAGACCAGATAGTCAGATATTGATAGGTTATGATGAGGATTATACTATCTGGATCTATCTTGTTTAATGGGGATTATAATAAACCATAATAGGGATAACTATTAACCAACCAGTATAATATAATGGGATGGGATAGGGAGATATTGGCAAACATTATAACCAGATATAACAATATTAACTATATATCAACTGGGTATTATAAAAAAATAACCAGATATGCCATTAAATAACCTATACTGGTTGGTGGTTTCAATCCCTCTGAAAAATAGTAGTCAGTTGGGATTATCATTCTCAATATATGGAAAGTCATAAAATTCATGTTCCAAACCACCAACCAGTATAATGATATGCTTTATATTATAATAATTATATAGGTTATAACATGCTATAACATATAACCAGATATCAATATTATGTATTATAATAATTATGAATAACCTATACCCTCTGGTAATGACTAACATAGCTATTGAAAATGACCATAGAAATAGTTGATTTACCCACTAAAAATGGTGGCTTTCCATAGCTTTTTGTAGGTTTACCAGAGGGTAATATTATTCAACTTTCAAGCCTCCTCCGCTTGAGGCCGGTACGACCTGAGGCCTGTTTGTACATGAAGAGCTTCGACGAACCTGACAGCTTTGACAGCGCCACGCGCCACGGCCGAACGAACATATGGTGCTTTTACCATCAATCACGGGATCTTATAGATTTATAGGGACTTTGTAATAATATGCTGATTTATTGGAATTATATATCCGTTGTATTGGGATTTAACCATCAAAGTTATGGTGATTTATATAACTGGGAATGAATGGTATATACTGGAAAGTGAATATAATATGTATTTACTTTAACATATATATTTATATATATATGTCCAAAGTATCATGGGTATTCTACAGTTATGGCCCTTTACCAGTTATAAGTACTAACAAAACCCCATTTATAGATTGTTTGTTATCCCATAAAAATAACCAGTTATAACTAATAGCAATGGCCATAACTGTAGCAATAATTCTATGGTTCAATTCTGTGTTTCAGGGATCGCAAGGGCCGCCCCGGCGGCGCCTTGTTTGTTATTGAAGAAGGCCGGGCTTCCAGTGATGATGCACTTGTCGCCTCACGTGGGAGATTTTTTTAACAAAAAAAAAAGTTTGAAGAAATATAGGTTCAAACATCACTTAAAGATATTGAGAAAGTGGGAATATAGTTTTAATCCTCATATTGAAAGTTGAGAACAGTCCAAAAAGATATAGTTTCAACTTTCAACATCACTTAAATGGTCATTTAACTAACCATCATGATACTTAAACAACATTTCCCGATTAAGAAAATAGGTTTAACAAAAAACAACATGTTGTTTAAACATCAACAAAGATGGTTTAACGAACGACAATGGTGATTTAGCTATCAACATTTGGGTTTATAACCAACAAAAAAAATAGTGATATTTTAACTGTTTTGTACGCTGGATCTACTGTTCCCTCAACGAACCGTTTGACCATGAGAATCACTAGGCGAATGTTGTCTTCCGACCGCCTATCTGGATCTATTTGGCAGAGCTTATGGAAGATTGAGGAATGGTAAATGTTGACTTTATACTTATACTTGGAAAAAAATAGGTATCCGTCAATGGTTTTTTTTTTCCTCAAATATATATCCGCATGAGGCTTGTGATTCAAGATATTCAAGTGGTTACTATGTGATATTCACCGTAGATCAGCAGCAAACATTGGATATCCATGGAGATCCAGCCACAACTTGCCATCGGTCATCCATCTTACAAAGAGCCCCACCAGTCACAAGTAGCTTGTTAGACCCATTCAACAAGATTGAATTATTATGAGTTATAAACCCACTTACCATCACTTACCATCTCGGGACAATGCCACGAATTGTGTCATCAATTTTTGCCGGTGATACACCCCTGATATCAACCGCTGAAACCGGCCACCCAGTTGTGATGGATCCCGGCGTGGCGTACCAAAAGAATGTCGTATGTTATATGATAATAGTATTAATAGTATTAATAATAATATATTATAGCAATAATCATAGTATTAATATTATAGATCATTAGTCCAAATTCAAATGCCTCTCATCATGATGGGTAACTAGTTATACTATCGATGCAGACATCTTATACTGTATATGATGTATAGTTAAAATTAGACTGAACATCCCCACTCACCATTTGCTGAATAGTGGTCAGCGAAAATGCCCCTTCAACACACGTGGACAACATTGGACAACGGTTCTGAACCGGAACTCATCAGCTGGACCCTGAGCTTCCCGGCGCCGACGATACCAGCCATCCTCAAATTTCCACAGGGAACCATCCCCAAGAACTCACTTGTTTTATGGGATGAAAACCCTCAAAAAAATGGAGGTGTATTATGGTTTATCCCATGTCTGGTAAGGATAAAAATACCACACTATTGGGTAAAAATGGTAAAGGTGCCACAGAACTAGGGATTTCTTGGGTTGATAACATCCTTAATTCTTATTTTTGGGCTGGGGATTTGAAACAAAGAAATAACGTAATCGGGGTTATATCATGTTATATCAATAGAATCCATAGTTGATGGATGTTGGTGGGAATTTGCAACAAACATAACTGGAAGGTACCACCCTGTACCCCAACATCACCAACCAACTGGATCCGTGTTCTCTTCCTATGGCTGACACCCAAAATGATACCTATTGATACCTCCATCACAAGGTTCGGCCGAATATGGTCATGGACATGGAATTGGATGAATTGGTGACTGCTTTGATTTTGTGAGGTTTTGACCCATAAAAAAAAATCAGTCAGACATCAACATAGGGGTCATGTGGGGTACATATGGAGTGATATGGATTGATAATTTTCAAATTGGACACGTAGCCTCAAGATTTACCTCCACTGTTGGCAACTAAATCCTCAGTCCGGTTCAAATCCCGGTGTTTCCTGTTTTTGTGTTTCTATTTTTGTGCAGATCAAGTCACTATGGTTCCCTGATGACTCATCCACCCATGTCTGCGCGGCTTCATGTTGACCTATGCCCAACACATCCCTCTGCTGGTGATAGTCCAAACATTTCTGATGATGATCCCCATTTTGTGGGTTAACTAGGCTGACTCACCTGCTTTCCATGACTACAAATTAACATTTAATTGCAATATCCTGTACCTTTTAACTGCCATTTGAGTTGGCTAATCATCAGTTTCCCTATGAAACTTCTCGTTCGTTGGGAATACACCCCATTTTCAGTCACACCCAAATTCCTTATTGTTGGTTTTATATTCCATCCACATCATCAACTGCCTCCATTTCTTCTTTTTATCGATGTTCACCAACAATAATCAACAATGATTACCCCCTGGTAAATTAACAGTTGGACCCTGAAAATCACCCATTTTTATAGAAACTAGTCTTCCAACCCCTATCTGTCAGGGTCTATCTTAATTTACCAGAGGCTAATCATGTTAAATCGACATGTGATTTTTCGCTTCAAATCACCATCGAAATGGTGAAATCCGCCATGTTAAACCGTGGACTTCGTGGACTTCGTGGACCTTCGAAGCGCGCGGCTCGGCGACCAAGGCACCAAGGCTTCCTCCTTGAAGCCCTCCACATAGAGGGCCACCGTGCTGGAGGGAACCACCTCGATGAGGATCACTTCACCGTTTTTTCTTTTTGTGCGAGTGTGTGTTTTTTGGTTTTTAATATGTGTATATAGTGTGTATATATATAGTGTATATATAGTGTATACATATATTGTGGCTAAAAAGTGACTAAATGTGATGAAACAGTGATTGAACATGGTGCAAGAGAACTATATAGATCAATATATATATACACATAAATATCTAAATAGTGGTCACATGTGGTTGAATTGAATAGTGGTAAAATGGTATATTCAGTTTTTCATGAAAATAGTGCTTCAATAGTTGTTGAATAGTGGTCGTCGAAATAGTGAAATAGTGGTAAAATAGATTAACATAGTAGTGCAATGAGGATGTGAACCAACATAAACCAACTAAATACTGGTGGAAGAGTGGTATTTTTCGCTTTCTGGAATGATCCTCCAGCTCCTCGTTTCTGGTTCCCATTTTTGGTTGCTTCACGGCTTCACTCCTCATGTTCAATCAGAAAAAACCGCCGTAATATCAGTGCAGCCAGGGCTGTGATCGGATGGTATTTTCTATCTAAATACCTGAAGCCATAGCCGAACATGATTCGGCTACCCAATTTATACCATCTGGTTACTTAACAGTTCACCATGGAAAATCACCATGCTATTAATAGGTAAACCATCTATTTCTATGGGCCATTTTCCATGGCTATGTTAAATAACTAGAGGGTATATCTTTTCAAATACCGGCACACAGAGTACCAAGTGCCCCCCCCCAGTCGATGAAGTCAAGCGTGCATGTTCTAGGCATGTTGGGGTGCATCCATAAATCAATTCCCTCAGGGCCAGAGAGACCTTGAGTCGAAATTCCATACCTCAAGCACATTGAGATGGTTAACTTAGCTGTCAACATCTAGCAGAACAACGAGGCTTTTTGAACCATATTGACTGGTTGGTGGTTTCAACAGATCTGAAAAATGATGGAGTTCGTCAGTTGGGATGATGACATTCCCAACTGAATGGAATGGAATGAAAAAAACAATTCATGTTCCAAACCACCGACCAGTCATTCATATTCCATTACCAGAGGGTTAATCACCATTAAGTCACCATTAATATCCCTATTATAGATTATTAACATTTATTAACCATTATTAACCAGTTATTAACCAGTGAATGATTCGTTCATTGGCATTGGCGCCAAACCTGCAGCTCCAGCGGAACCTCACCTCCGCCTTTTTTAACCGTAGATATACGGTACAGCGGGCCGCCACAAGGACATCTTAACCGTTAACGGTAAAATGATGTAAGATGTTCCTTACATTCCAATTTTCTGGATTTAGATGGATTTAGTAAGCTAACTTAACTATCATAAATGTCATAAGTCAAGAAAACAACATTGAACATGTTTGATTCAGTTCAATATCCACTAGTTTATAGCAAAATCATGCAACATCTCCAATGTGTCAATTAAAAAACAAACAAACCTTGATTTACTGTACGTGAAAATGTGCATATAAAGTAAACTACCGAAGTTGTCGAGTTGCTTATATTCAAATTTTTCTATACACTGACTGACCAGCAAAGAAATATAGATTATAGTCACCCGCAAAAAGATAGCAACACACATTTGCCACTATCTTAATGTACTACAATATACATCAATATACTCATATGTGCCAGGTCTTCTGTATATGTTATATGGTCACTACAGTATCCCATGGGATTCCAAAAATCATCCAGCGAGGTTGGATTGTCTACGGCTAAACGTGGTTTGAAATCCACCATTTACGATTTAAATGTTCGCCACAAACCTCCATATTTTGGTGAACTTCCAATGATTTTCCAATGATTTTTCCCATGTTTTCCCATGTTTTGCGATGGACAACATGGTCGCCCCCTTTCCACGCCTCCGGGAGGGGGTCCGGCAGCTCAGGGATCGGCGCATCAGGCGCGTGCGCGGGGCCAACCTGTGGAGTTCTCAATGTATTCATAGTGTCATTAATAGGTATTTGACCATCTAAAATTGGGGATATAGTGGGATTATCATAGCTATATAATAACCAATATCAACAATGTGGGATATTAATAGGTATTTAACCATCTAAAATGGGGGATATAGTGTGATTATCATAGCTATATAATAACCAATATCAACAATGTGGGATATTAATAGGTATTTAACCATCTAAAATGGGGATATAGAAGGAAATCCCCTATGAATATGCTTTTTTATGGGAAATATATACTACAATGATATAATGATATGGAAAATCAAATTCGATATTGAGATATTAATAGTATGTCACCATCTAAAATGGGGGATATAGTGGGATTATCATAGCTATATAATTACCAATATCAACAATGTGGGATATTAATAGGTATTTAACCATCTAAAATGGGGATATAGAAGGAAATCCCCTATGAATATGTTTTTTAATGGGAAATATATACTACAATGATATAATGATATGGAAAATCAAATTCGATATTGAGATATTAATAGTATGTCACCATCTAAAATGGGGGATATAGTGGGATTATCATAGCTATATAATTACCAATATCAACAATGTGGGATATTAATAGGTATTTAACCATCTAAAATGGGGATATAGAAGGAAATCCCCTATGAATATGTTTTTTAATGGGAAATATATACTACAATGATATAATGATATGGAAAATCAAATTCGATATTGAGATATTAATAGTATGTCACCATCTAAAATGGGGGATATAGTGGGATTATCATAGCTATATAATAACAAATATCAACAATGTGGGATATTAATAGGTCCTATTTAACCATCTAAAATGGGGATATAGAAGGAAATCCCCTATGAATATGGTTTTTAATGGGAAATATATACTACAATGATATAATGATAGGGAAAAACAAATTCGATATTGAGATATTAATAGTATTTCACCATCTAAAATTGGGATATAGTGGGATTATCATAGCTATATAATTACCAATATCAACAATGTGGGGCCCCCAAATGTTCTGTTTGTTGGTTTATAAACCCTATGAATACTATAGTTTAATAGGATTTAATAGGTATCATAAACCGTTATTGAAGTGATGTTCACCAACTTTTCTATCGTAAACATGGCCCCACATTGTATGGAAAATGGACGAACATGAACCATGTTCTTCGATGATTGACCTATTAAAATGATGATCTTCATTTCGCTATATTAGTTTACCAGAGGGTAACTAACCCCTAGAACTATGGTTCCAGTACATGGAGGTTGCCATCAATGGGGATACCCCAAAATGGATTGTTTATAATGGAAAATCCTACTGAAATTGATGATTTGGGGATACCACCATTTTAGGAAACCTCCAGATATCCACTTAATGCTGATGTTCTATCGCCAAATGATGTTCGATAGCAGTTACTTGGCCTAAAAGGTGATATCCCACGACAGCTAAAGTTGCTATCACCAGCCTGCTGAAAAAACAAGGCTTATGGTAGATGGATCTATAGTTCTTCTTGGGAACTTGTAGCTAGTTTCGTGGGAGTTATAGTTACCCGGCCTGGTAAACTAAACTAACAGTTTGCTATTGAAAATCACCATCTTAATACGTAAAACATCTATTTTTTCTATGGTCCATTTTCCATAGCTATGTTAAATTACCAGAAGGGTAATGTATCTATATAGATCATTGCTCATTTTCATGGGATCATAAACCAACTAAAGTGGGGCCCTTTTCACACCACGTGTTTTTGCGTTTTTCTACCAACCATTTGGCAGAAATTTACCCTCCAGTAAATTAACATAGACCCTGCCAGATAGGGGAAGATTAGTGTCCATTAAACATTGGTTATTTTCAGGGTCCAACTGTTAATTTACCAGAGGGTATCAGAACAAAAATGATGGGAGTTCATTCACCAAACAACATGCGGATGTCACCGTTGAACACTGAACGGGTGTCCAAAATCCTCTGGCTTGTCCCTCTTGTCTTCTTGACATTTCCAATCTTGGTCCAAAAAAAAAGCTTCCCAGAACTTGGTCAAAAAAATCCATCTAATCATATCTAATCTATAGTTATTTCATGTTATTTCACCATAAATGCAATCGTTATCCTCTGGTAAATGTTCACATAACTATCGACAAACACAATTTGTATAGCTGGCTATGTAAATCAACTACCTATTTCTATGGCCATTTTCAATAGGTTAATTTACCGGTAGCCTAACTGAAGTAACTTAGCTAACTTTTTTGGCCAAAACAATTTGACACGGCACGTTTCTCAGTTCGCCTTTAAGGGACTGGTACATGAAGGTTATTACCCTCTGGTAATTTAACGTAGCTATTGAAAATGGCCATAGAAATAGTTGATTTTCCCATGAAAAATGGTGATGTTCCATAGCTATGTTAGTTTACCAGAGGGTACTGGTTATTGATGGCTATTGATGCTTATTAATGGTTATTAAATGGTTATTGATGAACCATTTAAATTTAATATAACTATATATAACTTATAATCCTCTGGGGACTCCGGTGTTCAAACAAAAACAAGGCTTGCTGGAAAATGCTCTAGATATACTTCGATGATGTTGCCAACAAAACCTCAAGCTACAAGAGATTTGCCCACATCTTCACACGATTTTTCTATATTTCCTCCATGTCTTCATGCAGATTTTTCAGCATACCATGTGCACCGAACCCCCCGATGAGCCTCCCGATGAGCCTCCCGATGGCGGCTCCTGTGGGGGCCCGTCAGGAGTTGGTTTTAGAAAACATATTAACTATAGTTACCCTCTGGTAATGGTGGTTAATAGTGAATTAATGGTGGTTAATGGAGGTTAATGGAGTTTATTAATGGCTAATAGTGAATTAATTGTGGTTTACCCTTTGGTAATGACTAACAGTTTGCTATTGAAAAGTGTGATTTATAATGGATTGACCCATTGATAGCATGGTGATTTTCCAGTTCGTTATGTAAACGTTTACCAGAGGGTATAGGTATCATATGGTATCATAAATCATATAGTTATTGAAGTTATGTTCACCAACTTGGATATCTGGCAATCTAACATAGCCATGAACACATGACTAAAAAATCAATGAATATGACCATGTTGCAAAGGTAAAACAATCAAGTCACATCTAGAAATGGAACATGTTCCATGGCTATGTCAAATTACCAGAAGGTTTCAGCGTGAATTTCACGCAGAAACCTGGGTAACTTTGGCAACTTAGGAGTTCATCTCACTTGCGTCAAAATTTTGACCCCAAAAAACATCAAAACTCCTCATGCTTTTAGAAAGGAATATGGAGGTGGATCAAAGCGTATTAGAGCCTATTATTGTCTATTTTAGTGGGATGAACATTCCATTTACTGTATATCCATTTACTGTATATCCATTTACCAACCATTATGGTGTACCCTAGGTTTTGACTCATAGCCATATGAATGAATTCCATGGTCACCTTTAGGGGTCCCACGGGGTCCCCCCAAGTCACCGTTAAACACTCGTCACTCCACAGATTCTCCGCAGCCACTGGCAGCTTTTTCGCCCCAATTTCTGCGGACGGTGGACTCATCTGCAGGCCTCAGAGATGAACATCCAGGCGGAAATCCCCTATGAATATGGTTTTTAATGGGAAATATATACTACAATGATATAATGATATGGAAAATCACATTCGATATTGAGATATTAATAGCATTTGACAATCTAAAATGGGGATATAGTGGGATTATCATAGCTATATGATAACCAATATCAACAATGTGGGGCCCCCAGATGTTCTGTTTGTTGGTTTATAAACCCCATGAATACTATAGTTTAATAGGTATCATATGGTATCATAAACCATAGCTATTGAAGTGATGTTCACCAACTTAGCTATCGCAAACGGGGGCCCCACATTGTACCATTCTCTACACTAGAAAGAAAAATAAGTACATATGTTACATATGTATGAAGTGTCTTCTATATGTTCAAAAAAAGTAAATCTATATATTGATTGTCTTCCATTAAACAATGGATGATCTACCAGTTCCTCATCAAATATCCTAGAATAATTTATTATATATGGCATTATATGGCCATATTCTACCCCAATTATACATGGGATATAATGTGAGTGAAGCAATGAGAAACCTCCCATATTGTGATGGTTTATACCACCGATTTGGGATATTTAAGATGGTTCCTGGGGTGTACACCCAAGTTTGTACATCCAGTGCTCATTCAATGTTCATCCAAGATCCATCTGTCCAATGTCATGTGATGTTTTTTTCCAACATAAAATCTGAGTTCATGGCTATTTTCGCACCACTCAGGTGTCCTGGCGAGCACTGCACGAAAAATATGAGGCAAGACCAAGACTCGCACCGGCGCTTAAAAATACCATCGTTTTGTGTTGGTGATTCCATGGAGTCCCCCAAAACTCATAACAATTTCTGGTTGGTGGTTTTAACATGTTTTAACCCTCTTGAAAAAAATGAGTTCGTCAATGGGAAGGAATATCCCATATATGAAATGGAAAAATAAAAAATTCATGTTCCAAACCACCAACCAGTTAGTAACAATTTGATGTATTTTGATGGTGACCCACTTTTCGTTGACGTTGTCATGGAACCCCGAAACAAAGGTTTTGAACAAGTTCAGATCCCTTTTTGGGCAAGGGTTCTTTCCATCCAAAGCTCCTTTTCCTTGCCCAACAGCAGTAATGTTGAGGTGTTTAGTTGGCGTTGGGATCCGAATATTAAGATGTATCCATCTGGTTTTGGGAGTTTTATATAGTTTTATTGTAGATATAAAACCTATCCCATGTTTGGGTAACCGATGTCCAGTCTTACTGATGATCTTCATCATTTCTACCATTTTATGGTTCTTATCTTCATGTTTGCAGGTTCATTAGTGCTTTCTAGATAAACATTATCAACAACCACTTAGGTCTGTGTCAACAAAACCCAAATGACCCACAGATTTCGCTGGCCATGGTCCGAAAAGACGACCACTTTTTTTGGGTGCAGTTCCAGTGAATTAAGTAGATATGTACTGTAAGAATAGTTAGAGGGGTTGGTTACCCTCTGGTAAACTAACATAGTCATGGAAAATCATTATATTAATAGCTATTTTTTTTTGGTAAATAATCTATAAATGGTCCGTTTTCAACAGTTATGTTAGTTCACTGGAGGGTATCTCCCAAATGAGCTTATCACACTGGTTACAATGGAAACACCTGCGTGGCCAGGTGAAATCCATGGTTTTCTACTCAAATCCGCATTCTTTTTTGGTTGAATCAGTCAATCAGTCCTTGATGACTACCATTTGGTTATTTAACATAGCCATGGAAAATCACCATTTTTGATAGGTAAACCATCTATTTCTATGGGCCATTTCCCATTGCGAACTGTTAAATAACCAGAGGGTAAATCACCATTAATTCGCTATTATTAGCCATTAATAACCTCCATTAACCACCATTAATCACCATTTTTGATCGCAACATCATGCAAAATCCCATTTTTCTCTTGGTTTTGATGGCAACATGCCATGCTTTTTCTTGGTTTTTTCCCCCGGCATCGGTGCCACTAATTCCCACCTTGGCATCTTCGAACTGCGGCACCACGGAGTCGTACAAGATGCCGCAGGTGCCGCAGACCTCCCAGTGACGTTGGTTAAACCCATGAAGTATTTATATAGATAACTTATGGTTATAGATAAGTGGGTTATGGTTATTTATAGTGGCTTATGGTGATGGTTTATGGTTATGTAAGTTATGATATCTAAAGTCGTTATAGTTATAGATAAGTTATAGTTATCAAAGATAACTTCAAAAACTATGGTTTATAAGTGGTTTATAACTCACAACCAATTCATATGATACTGGTTGGTGGTTTCAACCCTCTGAAAAATTATATGAGTTCGTCAGTTGGGGTTACTATTCCCAATATATGGAAAAATAAAGTTCATGTTCCAAACCACCAACCAGCTATAGTTATAGATAACTTCAAAAACTATGGTTTATGATACCTCTGACTGTAGTTAATGGGGTTTACAAACAAATTTGGAACTGGGGGGGCACATTGTATAGTTATAGGCCAATCAATAAGGTAACAGTTATATAAGTTATATTGATTATACTATACTTATCATTTCTTATCAATATTTTGTTTATCTACTATAAACATCTATAAACTATCAGGCTATAAATCAGGTATATTCTAAAACTATGATTCATGATAACCATAGACATAGCCACCATGGTATTTTTGACTTAAACGGGCCTCATCTCGTAAGGATTTCACCAAATTTGGACTGAACCAACGTTTTTTTTGTTGGATTTTTTAGAGTGGGTTTGTTGGAATTATTTCATTGGATTTTAGATAAATTATATATGGAAATTTAGATCAATATAAATCAATATGCTTGGAAAATTGGAACTTGGTAATAGAATGTAATAGATACTAGATGTTACTAGTACCAAATCCTGATAGTAAATCTTAGTAATAGTTACTAGCAGCATTAGCAGCATTGAAAATCCTGATTTGGCCATCATGGAGATTTGGGCAGCAAATGAACAGATCAGATGGCGAGGCGTGTGATGCTCTCCCCGAGGCGTCAACGTCACCCGGTTCCTTTGGTCAACACCCTACGTCCTTTGCTGAGGGTGCTACTACTGTACTCATGTAAGATTTCGAATATTTCTCCATTTGGGTGTGGGTCTAAAGAAAATAACCCAAGCATTGAATGATTCCCTACTCAGAAAATATGGTGGTCGCTTATGAATTGATACGTATCCGAAACATTGTATATAAATAACTAACAACCACATCAAATACCAGGGCTATTATAAATACATCTGGATCAGTCCCACTTTAATGTTATATTATGAAATAAAATGGTATCTATATAATGGTTAAAATAATGTAGCATCAAATAATAGCATGTTACATCAAAACATCATAAGACACAATGTAAGATAATAAAATATAAGATATCAAAATAAAATATACAACATGAAGTAACAACAATATAATATAGACATATATAATGAAAACACATATAATTTAAAACAATGTAACAAAATGTAATACAATGTGATATAAAATTGGTTAATACAATTCAAAAAATGCAATAAAATATGATGATATAATATATATATATAACCGTACAATAAAATATAATAATAATAAAATGAAACATTATTCATAACAAAAACGTTGTCTAAAAATAAAATGTTATTTATATATATATATTTGAAAATGTATATATATATATATATGTAGTAAAACAAAATACAATATTTAATCAAATGTAAGAGAATAAAACATAAACTGATAGAATATAATGTAATACATCTTTAATATACCAACATATTTGAAAACATGTAGAATGACAAAAAAAATGTATATGATAGTAAAAAACAATAAAATCACATGTAATATATAATAATGCAATATTATAAAATAAGCAAGTATAATGTGATATGATACAATAAAGTAAAATATAGTGCAATAAAATTCGAATGATGATACATACTCTTATATAAATATATTGTCTTGTAGGAAATATCACCATGTATGGTATATAAACCACTTACGTCACCCTCCGGTGTCACGCCTCGACTTCCTTGGGGCCGTGCTTGCAAGCCACGCCTTATAAAAGAAGTGGAGCTCCAATCCCCAAGAGCCAGAGATATTCGGGATATTCAACCGGGGTTCCTACAATGTGAGGCCCCCCAGTGATGTTTGTTGATTGGATTGGCCCCAGTAACTATAGTTATTTGCGTACCATAAACCATAGTTATTGGATTTATGTTCACCAACTTAGCTATCTTGGGGGCCTCACATTGTAAGAATAAACGTTGGGATAAAACACCGAATGAAACGTTGGATTCAACGATTTGGTATAAAACACAACTCACCAGTTGGTGCAAGCACCTGGTATTTTCAACCTACCCTGGTTGCTGGTTGAGCCACCCCTCTGAAAAATATGAGTTCGTCAGTTAGGATGATCATTCCAATATATGGAAAATAAAAAATGTATAAAAATGTTCCAAACCACCAACCAGTGGGATATGTGGGATATATATATATTGGAAATATTGATATATTGACATAATTGAGAGGATCTCCCTAAGAATATCACATGGATATAACCAAGATGATATGGCATATAATATGAAATAATACAATATATGGTTGTGGGATATATGAATGTATACTATTGTATACTATTCGGATATGATATGGTACAGTCATTGAGGACATACTTGGGATATATAAGCCAACAATATTTAATATAGGTGAAATAGAGACAGCTATCTATATCTGATATGTCAAAGTAGTTGGGATACGAAGTGGCGACTTTTACCAGGAAAAAAGGCTAAAAGCATTATGGGAGATATGATCATCAATGTGTTTCTGAAACTGGGGTATACCCTGTATATATATATATACACATATGGTCATTTTAATGCCGGGAAACTCATGATTAAAGAGTGGATTCAGGGGAAGCCTATTTTCAAATATACCGACATGGTGTTTTCCTGAAACAAAATTATTGATTAAGTAGGATACAGCCATTATATGTATATGTATATACAATATACACTGTATTGTATTGATTGTTAATGGGACAGGGAAACATTAGACATTGTCCTGTAAATCTGGGTAAACTAAAATATTTCACAAACCTGAATTAAGGTCATTTGGGGATGATTTCACTTATTACCCATGATTCCAGGGTTCGGTCGCAGTGAGGTCCTTATAATTTACCCAGATAAATGGAATACAGTATCCCATCTGTAGAGACTTAGCTTCGCTTCCAGGCTGGCTTCCAGATTTATCTTAAGTGCAATGTTTTTTTTGCCAACAAAAAACGATGGCTAAGCAAAAAAAACATTGCTACCAGTAGATCTGCAAAGACAAAAAACATATGCCATTCCATCCATCCCGATGAATAAGGGATTTTTATTGGATTCTCAGTGGACGGATAAGGATTTTTCAGAGTTTTTTCCAGATCTTTCCCAAGATATTCCAAGATATTCCAACATGTCCCCAGTTCGATAAATCCAAATCATATCAAGTGCGAAATGTACTTATATCATCATATATCATATCTCATATCATATATGATATCCCGATATTTTTGCTAGTAACTGGGGTATACCCTGTGTATATATATATACACATATGGTCATTTTAATGCCGGGAAACTCATGATTAAAGATTGGATTCAGGGGAAGCCTATTTTCAAATATACCGACATGGTGTTTTCCTGAAACAAAATTATTGATTAAGTAGGATACAGCCATTATATGTATATGTATATACAATATACACTGTATTGTATTGATTGTTAATGGGACAGGGAAACATTAGACATTGTCCTGTAAATCTGGGTAAATTAAAATATTTCACAAACCTGAATTAAGGTCATTTGGGGATGATTTCACTTATTACCCATGATTCCAGGGTTCGGTCGCAGTGAGGTCCTTATAATTTACCCAGATAAATGGAATACAGTATCCCATCTGTAGAGACTTAGCTTCGCTTCCAGGCTGGCTTCCAGATTTATCTTAAGTGCAATGTTTTTTTTTGCCAACAAAAAACGATGGCTAAGCAAAAAAAACATTGCTACCAGTAGATCTGCAAAGACAAAAAACATATGCCATTCCATCCATCCCGATGAATAAGGGATTTTTATTGGATTCTCAGTGGACGGATAAGGATTTTTCAGAGTTTTTTCCAGATCTTTCCCAAGTTATCTAAGATATTCCAACATGTTCCCAGTTCGATGAATCCAAATCATATCAAGTGAGAAATGTACTTATATCATCATATATCATATCTCATATCATATATGATATCCCTATATTTTGCTAGTAAAATCCTCATTGATGGCAATAAACCCCCATTCTTTACACTGGTTGGTGGTTTCAACCCCTCTGAAAAATATGACAGTCAGTTGGGATGATAATTCCCAATATATGGAAAGTCGTAAAATTCATGTTCCAAACCACCAACCAATGGGATATGTGGGATATATATATATATATATATTGGAAATATTGATATATTGACATAATTGAGAGGATATCCCTAAGAATATCATACGGATATAGTTATTGGGATGTATGTTCAGGATTTGGGATATATGAGGACATGAAAACCTAGATATGGCATATAATATGAAATAATGAAATATATGGTTGTGGGATTTATGAATGTATACTATTGTATACTATTCGGATATGATATGGTATAGTATATATATACATTGAAGACATACTTTGGATATATAAGCCAACAGTATTTAATATAGGTGAAATAGATACAGTTATCTATATTTGATTATATTTGGTATGTCAACGTTGGGATACGAAGTGGCGACTTTTATCAGGAAAAAAGGCTAAAAACATCATGGGAGATATGATCATCAATGTGTTTCTGAAACTGGGGTATACCGTCGGGAAACTCATGATTAAAGAGTGAAATTCAGGGGAAGGCTACTTTCAAATATACCGACATGGTGTTTTCCTGAAACAAAATTATTGATTAAGCAGGATACAGCCATTATATGTATATGTATATACAATATACACGGTATTGTATTGATTGTTAATGGGACAGGGAAACATTAGACATTATCCTTTAGCTTCCGGGCTTCCAGGCTGGCTTCCAGGTTTATCTTAAGTGCCCAGTGTTAGTTTGCTAAATGAGCGATGCTCAAAATCACAAAAATCCGATGTATGAATTCATGAATGTATACCTTGTCGGATATAAAAACATGTTTTTTGAGGCCTCCTTCCAGTCTCGGGGTCCCTCCGCCGCTGGGTCCGCGCCTTTGGAGGGGTCGGTGTCAATGCCGCAGAAGGCGTCTTCGCTGTGGTGCCGAAGGATGCGGATGAAGCCTTGGGGGCGGATGAGACCCGCAGAAGGTCAACAAAAAAAGGGATTTATAGCTGGGATTAGCTACTTTTTTGGTGATTTATCATAGCTGGGATTAGCTATTAGCTATAGTGGGATGATATTCACTTAGTTGGATTATAATGGTTTATAATAGGATCTATCAACTTAGTGGGATTTATTAGATACTTATAGGATCTTATAGGAATCTAATGGGATTATAATCCACTTTGTGGGATACACCCTCTGACCCTCTGGTAAACGAACTAACATAACTATGGAAAAATCAACCCATTTTTAATAGGTAAATAAACATAAATCAACTATTTCAATGGCCATTTTCTATGTCGCAAAGTGTAAACGTTTACCAGAGGGTAAATCTTCTAACAGCCTGAAAAATGGCCTGAGCAGCGAAAGCAGGACTGGCTACATTTAGTTTCGATTTTAAAGACATCTATGTCCAAGACATCAAAAAGTGTTTTAACAATCATGTTTTGACATGAACAATAGAGCATCTATTTTTTCAAACAACTAGTTGTCCTTCTCCCTGCCAACAGGGTGCTATTGAACTCGCAAAGCAGGCACTGAGATGGCACTCCAGATCCCGGGTTTTGCCTCAATGGAATCATGGATCGCATGTTCAGCGGTGCCAATTCGTGTTTAGAAACGCATCAGACACGTCAGGAAGGCTGCTCCCAAATTCACGGCGAGGTTGATGAGGTCGGGTGGAAAGGGGTTCACCACGTCGCTTGCCTGGTCCACTGTGATCACCTGGAATACAAAGCAGGTGATCCTGCAAAGCTTCTTCCGAGGTGACATCAAAAAAAAAAACTATTCCATGGAAACCAACTCAGCTTGCTAAAATATTTAAGGTCTCTAAAAACAGTTGTGCTTGTTACTTCCTACAGTTATGGCCCTTTCCCAGCTATAAGTCAGTTATAACACCATTTCTGAATGATAAGCCCATTTATAACCACGTATAACTACAATTTATAAGTGCTAAAGGGCTTTAACTATAGATTTCTTCAGTTGTCTTCTAATTCCTGTGTTTCGTTGTTGCCCTACGTCCAATCCATCTTGGGCTTAGCTGGGGATGCAACGGCCCATGCTATAGGTAAGTATAGTACCAAGAACTCTATGGGCATATCATGGGAACTGAGTTTGAGATGTGTGTGTATAATATATATATATATATGTATGATATATATATATATATATGTATTATATATATTATATATATATATATTTATTGTATTATATATATATTATATTATATATATATATATTTAATAATAAGGATACAATGGAAAATGTCAATCCCTCATTTGGGTGACCCCAAATGGGTGAATCTTGACCAGCGAATCTTGACTATTCATGATTGAGAAAGCAACCATTTGGGGCTCGGGTTGGTTGAATCTGTATAAAGGTGCCTCAGTCATTTTAAATAATGTTATTTAATGTCACTACGGTACACATTTGTTTTGTGTCCATACCTGTTTTTCGTAGTAGAATCCTTGCTGGGTTTGGCTGGGTTTAGATACCCCTCGATCAGAAGGTATGCGTCTTTTAGATTCGAGGGATATCATGCATACTGTCATCTTTCTCCATCCTAAATGAAGTTTGAAAAAAACAACTACATATTCTATATAATCATAACTAAATATTATACATTATACATATATAATGTATGTATATATATATATATATATTTATTTATATAAAATATACATATATATATACATACTGTAGTGTAACTCATTCATCAGCCACCAAGCCGCGCTTCTCCAGCCCACATCCGCTTCAAGCCAGTAGCCGTTTTCACCCCAGTCTTCACCCCAGGAATTCTTCACCAGCCAATACTTGTCAGCACCCTTCCTGCCAACGAGGTGTAACAGGTTGCTTGGATGGCCCCTTTGCGGGAGTTGGGATATAAATTGTACGCGAATGCCTAGCAAGAGGTGCATATTCCACATCCAGGGATGCCCGTGTGTAGCAATTCAGTGGAAAAAATGCGTTTACACGATCCAAGTACATGCCAATGATATCTGCGCAGATACCAAGAGTTTCCAAACCAAAATACTCTCTAGTGGTTGAACCGGTCGCTATTGGAAATCACCATGTTTAATAGGTAATTCATCTATCAATGGGCCATTTTCCAAAGCAAACTGTAACAATTTACCAGAGTGTATAAGCCTCCGAGGCAATTTCCCCAATCCGAAGCCTCATCCATTTGGCTCAGGGAGGCCACAATGATAGGGGCTCAAGTTGAACTCTTGCCACTGGCATCTCCAAGCACAACATGAAATTGGTGGTGTTCCAGAAAGTTGGCGAAGTTGATTTATAATTTGCTTGACTATGATCTACTGGTTGGTGGTTTTAACATGTTTTAACCATCTTGAAAACTATGAAAGTCTATGGGAAGGATTATCCCATATATTATGGAAAATAAAACATGTTTGAAACCACCAACCAGTCTATTTATGGTGGTTATATAGTTAGATGGGTATACATACACCAACTTATACCTATATCTAGGGGGCACCACCTTGGATCTTGCTTTCTAATCTTTCTAAGAAAAGGAAAACATCAGCCACAAGCTGTTCACGAAGCGGATCGAATCGCACGGTAAAAACGTATTTGAAATCAACTTCACATTGGATACCCTCTGGTAAACTAACATAACTATGGAAAATCACCATTTTTTATGGGAAAATCCACTATTTCAATGGCCATTTTCAATAGCTACGTTAGTCATTACCAGAGGGTATAGTGCATGAAACTTGCTCATTGGACCGTTGGACCGTCATAGAAACAACATGATCCTTTCTCCTAGGATTAGATTCACCAACGTGGGTAGACCCACAATGAATCGATCCAACAATCCTACCTTCTGGTCCTGGTACTCATGGCAATTGAAGATCCCCCAGCCAGCCATGTTTGAGGACACCGAATGGTAAGCACCCCATCGTTCATACAAGACAACATGCATTTTTGCGCTGGTTAGCTCAATATGAACCTACATTCCTAGGACACTATATGAACCTACCGACCTACTATTCACCAAGGTTTATCAAGATTTTACCGTAATTTGAGGGGCAAATTGATTCTGATGGTTGAATCCGAAAGTTGATGGTTTTTGCTGCTTCAATCCCTGTTTGATGCAACTCACCCCCTAAACTCACATAGCTATGGGGGTTTCCAACATGTTAGGCAAATCAATTGATCCAGATGGTATATCCCATTAAGTCGACTATAATCCCATTAAATCCCCTTAAATTCCCATTAAAATTACCAGAGGCTAAATGCCCGGGTTTTTTCCTTGCCCCCAAAAAATGTCACACGTCACCTGCCGTAGCCGTAGAGCGTCACGGCGTGGTTCACGATGTTGTCGCAGGTGTCAAAGATGCCGCCGTAGTAGTTGAACCTCACGTTCGGTGGGGGTGCCCCAGCTTGTTAAGTATCGGCCAAGGGGATTTCACTTTCAAAAATGGTGGAACATGCTATTTAACAGCCGAACAAGGAAATTTAAGTCTCCAAAGTTAGTTGATTTACCTTTCAGTTTGTTAGCTAAGTTGACTTCGATAACTGAACTAGCTACTATGGTTTATAACCCAACTTGTAACTGGGGGTCCCCACCTTTCAGTGAGGGGTTATTCATAGATAGCGATTGGTAAGTTGGTTTATGACTAGGCAGGCGATTTGATTTGTGGTGGGGATATCTAAGAGGGTGAGTATGGGACTCCCTTGCCCCTGACATTGGATACACTGCTTGAACTATGGAAACTACCCTTCAGTGTCCTCAAACATCTGGGAAATCCACAAAACAGGATGGGCATTTGATCATCTATAATACTGAGAAATAATTGTAACAATCATATCCCAACCTACTGGGTAATTTCGCAATGGTCATACCGTCTTTTCACCCCAACTGCGCTTCCAACAGCAGCACCCAGAGTGTCACCACATGTCTGTGGCAAGATGTGGCAAATATTGAAATACCCTCTGGTAATGACTAACATAGCTATGGAAAATGGCCATTTATAGTGAGTTTTCCCAGCAAAAATGGTGATTTTCCATAGCTACGTTAAATTACCAGAGGGTAAGTGGAGTGTGCCCATACTTTGCTCAATTTGAATATTTACTTCTCATGTGATAAGATATTCCATGGATCCAGATACAGTTTTCTCTATACACTTAAAATTGATAAACCACAATCCACCATTTATTTCACCATCTTTCCAGAAACATATCTATAAGATCCATTTATGAGGCATTTAAATCATTTAAATATCACAATCCACCATTTTTCACCATTGATTCACCATTTATGCTTGCCATCTCTTCTCTCCACAGGGTCTGTTTTCACCAGGGCACCAGTTGTTGGCAGCCACGGACACGGCCACAGGCCCTGATCGATGCGTCGTGGAATTAAATCTGGAAGGGGGACCTTAGTTGATATTGATAGGTGTATTGAACAATTTAGAATCCTGGTGTAACCAATTGGCAAAATCAAACATGGTGATGGTGGTTGGTTAGAAAATTTTTAGCTAAGTTGGCTTTGTTCAGTAGGTCAACGATTGAATTTATGGTAGATGTATATATATATATTGAACACGTTAATCGGATTTATGCACCAGCTTAGTGTACGATTGAATTTAATTATTAGCCCTGTATCCCCATTAGATATAAGAATTACTGGAATGGGTCTAATCTTTTTGGGATTACTAGAATACTGTATATAGATGTATATAGTATACAATCTTGAGTTCCCTTCAGATTCTTCATCGAACCGAAGATTGACTTAGGATTACAATATGGTCCATCTTCGAAAATCGATGAAAACACCTGTGAATCTTGAGTTTCTCTTCCCTGTTGATCTTCAACAAAGATTGATCAGATTTCGGAATGGATTCAAACAAAATATGATTGTCCAGAAAAATATCTATAAGAAAGGAAAAAACACCAGAAATGTAGCTCAGTGTCCAGAGGTTCTCCACGGCTTTCCTGATATTCGATACAAGGTGGTGCTTCATAGTCAGCAAAGTTGGTTCCATACCTAGGTTAGTAGGGTTTCAGTGATTATCACAATAGTTGGTTTCATACACCAACTTATAACTAGGTGTCACCACCTTGAATCTGTGTAGCCTCAAGGTGTTATCCAAGCGGTACTTGATTGACTTTTTGAAACTGGTTTTGACCCTTAAAATTGTACCCCACAACATAAAGGATCATAAAAAGTCTTGGTCAGGGTAGACGCATCCAAAACTCACACCCTCAAAACAAAGAAAAAAACTTAGCGGAACCTCCCAGATGAGGACAACATTGGAAAGCGCCCCTTCATCTCAATAGGATGTAGTTTTGACACCAGATTATCATGTTTTAGTATGTGGAGTACCCCTGAACCATGTCTTGTCAAGAATCATGTTGAGCCAAGAAAATTGTACAAGGTGCCCCCGGATGTCTTTTGGTTTATAAGCCCATCCCATCACCATACACCTAACTGTTAAGCTAGATTAAAACCAACTTAGCTAAGTATGCGACACCGCTTTGTAGTTATTTTCACTCGTAGCTTTGCACCCCCCGTGCCAAGCATAAACCTGACATGAAACCTGGACACTGGCGCTTAAAAAATCTGGCCCTTGATGGGTTGATTACATGTTGTCTTCCATTCTATCCACCCATTTTCATGGCCGATCGCAAAGTTACCCTTGAAAATAAAACGGATGTATTGTTTAGCTGGTTATTGTAAGTATTTGTTTGTCACAGAGGAGCACTCCAATGGAGTTATATAATCAACATTGCCGGTATTGCCACTTTACGGGTACTGTACGCAGCCCATCTTCAAACACTTCCCACGGATTCACCACATTGATTGTACTTCCCACAAAGAAATTGTATGTGTTTCCAAGTTAATTACCCAAACAAGGATGGTGTTCATCCGCCATTTTCACTATTCTTTAAACACATCCACTACTGTAAATGAAGGAACATGTTTGTTTTTCCAGATCAATCCCACATGTTCCCCAGCTCCATGCCAAGCCTAGCTCTGCCAACGCACGCGCCAAAGGTTCCTCCTTGTTGCTGGGCAACACACGGAAGCCTGTCCTCGCTGCAATGAGATGATCATTTCATTGAAGACTTTGTTTGGCTATCTGTTTAGAATTACACATTGTATAGATATGTAATATGCGTATGTATGTATATATTCATTACATTATCTATGGTTAGATATGATGATATAGGAACGTGTGTATGTACATATATATATATATGGATACGTATGTGTATATTTATATATATATATGGTATGTGTATATATACATGTATATACATATATACATGAATAATTACATACTGCTTGGTAGTTTCAACACCCCTGATGATTAGCGTGTTGGATCATCATCCCAAATATAAATCAACACACCAGGTCAAACAGTCAAAGTTCCCAAGAAAAAAAGGTAGTGTACCCTAACATGTTTCTAGATAATTACAATATAATGACAATACTTGTAAAATAAACCCATTTAGGGATAGCTCTCCATACTAAACGTCATTTGTAGTGACGTCGGAGTGAGTTTGAAGTCGTTAGAGTGTATCCAGATCTTTGGTATATTAGGCAGCACGTACAAGGTGGCGCCCCATAATTGCTGTCGCTTTTTGGAAAGCCTACAGGGCCTACATGTTAGGTTTATGGTGATGAAATAACCATAGTCGGATGGGTCTGTAAGCTAATTTGTAACTAGCTGGCACTACCTTGTAGGCAGATATACAACTTATATATATATATATGTGATTGGCAAAATGTCATAGTTCGCCCTGACATCCGCTAGGTTGAATCCATGTTCAGGATTTCTGGACACCCTTGACTGCGGCGGCACCTCCAACAATAGAGTTGGAACATTAATGAAAATGATTGATGTGGTTAAAACAATAATAAACCACCAATTTGGGAATGGTTTATATAATAGCTATTTATGGTGATTTGGGGGATGGTTTGTTATTGCTTCAACCACATGAGTCCTTTTCAGCAATAATCATGATGGGTTCACTGTTATAGTTCCCAAGTAAATTTGTCATGGCAAGCATCGGGTCCTAACTTGCAGCGAGTGTTTTTTTCCCATTCATCCGAGAAGTGGAAACTTACAAACTTGCTCAGGAATAACGTGGTTTCCTGAAACAATTCCCTCCAACCAATCCAATGAACTAAAAAAGGTAAGTCAGAATGATGATAGTAATAAATTATAATTATGATTGTGTATATATATATATTTATATTTGACGATTGTTTAAACCCAGAACGCATAGTCAAGTCACTAACCGCTGACCACTTCGCAAATCTACAATACCAAAATGGGACACAAAGAAACGGTTCCTGACTTTATAGATTGCAATGCAACGACATTATATATAATTATATATATATGTATACACATACATATACATGTTACATGTACATACAGATATATGTGAGGTCTAGTCAGCCAACATCGTCCACAAATAAGCAATATGGGTTATGGGCGGTTATGGGTTTGTCTTAAAATAGGGCACCTCCGAATTGATTGATGGTTGGTCGCCATTTTCCCCCAACAACAAATTGACTTTTGAAAAACACACCCATCGAAACATGAACAACTGTGATGACTTCAAAAAAAAAATGCGAACCTGGCATAGTATGTTTATGTAATCTTATGTACATGTTCTGCATCAATAGTGTGGGGCCCCAGGTGGTTAGCTAAAGCTTAAACCGCCATTTCTGATGCTTCAACAGCCCAGTTTTGTCCCCGATCTCTGTACCAAGGCTACCAAGGTACAGGCCAAAGGCTGAGCCTCCCATGTTGGAACCACGGAGCCCCTACCGCCGCTGTTTTCAGGGATGGGTCAGGCACCCGGCACACACTAAAAATGGGATAATCACAGGATTAAACCATGAACACTAGGGATTACTATCATAGAGACTATGGGGACTATGACTAATCATTTATAAATGATATTATATATAATTGGGTGCTCATGTGATTTTAATGGAAAACATATTGCTCAACGGGAATTTTTCAAAATGGATCATCCCACGAATGGCAACTAGGTTATAGCTCCAGCTATAAGGGAATTAAGCCTACAGTGCCAATCAAAACTAGCAAAACCAGGAGGGATATAACCTATTTATTAAGTGGGAAGAGCTGCCAAGTAGATTTAATATTGGTTTTCAAAGGTGTTTTGGTGGGAATTGGGGTATTGAAAACAACATTTTTTTTGAATGATAATAGCAACATGGAATATAATGGAATGGAATGTGATGGAATAATCCCTGGCGGCTCGCTTTTAACTCCATATGAAATTTAATGCGATATTGACACAAAAAAGCAGCCGTCAACACTTAGGTCCCCAAGCGATTTGTCTAACATGCATCGGCTCCAAACTTTCCAGCAGCCTCACTACCTCTTGCAACCTTTGATTCCAGCCTATCCTGATCCATGCCGGGCGTGTTCACGCCGGGCGTGTTCACGCCATGTGGCTGTCCCAAGTGTACCGCCTTGAAGTCCCGGCCCCTCTGCGGCGGAGCAACCACACAGTGGTTGCTTGGAAGTTTCCGACAGAGCCAAGTTTTCCCAACAGGAAGGGCACCGTTCCAAGTTGGTTTGTAGGCCCATCTAACAACTAGGCGCACGACCCTTTTTTGGCCGTGGTACGATCTGCATTCTGACATCTCAAAAAAGTGTCTGGCGAGGTGGCGCCGTATCGATTTTGATATCTTTGGTGTGAGAATCAGGGTTTTGGAATTTCACAAAACTTCTTTTTTTTGCACATCATCTGCTCAACACTGGCTTTTTTTCTTCCATGGTCTCAGCTGACTTGTTTGGCTTCTCTGCACAACCTTGCAAGGGAGACACTTTGCTGACACGGTCCTAGGAGCTTTCGCCGCATGAACTGCTGAACTAATTTCTTCAGCTCAGGATGTTCTTTCACTTGTTTGTGGCAGCCAAGACGTCTAGGAAAGCTACTTGGAATGATTTTTGCACGGACAGCCATCCACGGTCAGCAATTTGCGTGCCGGCTACTTTGGACATGTTTTGGTTTCTACCTTTGCGAATCTTTTTCGTCCATTCTTTGTTTTGATGACACACTTTAGCATGGGGTATTTTCAAGGATTTGGCATGCGATTCCCAGCTGCGATTTCCATCCGAAAAGATCTTCGTTTTGTCACGAGCCTTCTTCGGAATGTTGTTTAGCAAGCGGCTTTCAAGAATTTCATGACAAGCTCTCCGTCGGTGGTCTGCTGCCCATTTTGGTGACCTTTCCACATCAACGACATATATGAAAGTGAATGTTACATGATGAAGGGAATAGTATGAATGCTACGGGGTACATGGTCTATTCATCTATTCCAAGCGCAATTGTCCCTGAACGCGGCCTGAATTGTAGACCCACGGACACATGGAGTACCCGCATTTGCATTCTCCCCACTTGTACCTCATTGTGTCATCTGCTGTTGGAAAAAACCACCTGTCAAAGTTTGAGGGTCAACAGAGAAAACGAAATCGATGAACAGTTCAGCAACTTTCTTTCTCCTGCTGGACCCGCAGAGACATTTGAGGCTGCACTTCCAGAACGCTCCGAATGCAAATTTTCCAAGCGGCGGGCAATGGCCCAAATCGATCTCGAGAATGAGGGCTCTTCATGAGAACTGGATGACGCATTCAACAAGTCTTGACAATATTTCTCCACAGCTTCGTTCTCTGCTTCCAAATATGTTTGCAGCGTGTCCGGGCCGAACACAAAGGCTGCACTTCCAGACCGCTCCGAAAGCCAAGTTTCGAAGCGGCGAGCAATGGCCCAAATCGATCTCGAGGATGAGGGCTCTTCATGAGAACTGGAAGACACAGTCAGCAAGTCTTGACAATATTTCTCCACAGCTTCGTTCTCGGCATCCAATATGTCCTCCACGCTAACTGCAGTGAAAGGATGCCACAATGCAACGTCTGCCACGCGAAGTAGGTACCAATAAGTGCACGCAAGACGCAGGCACGCGCCCAACGCATCCATGGGATGGAAAGAATCGAGTACAGTAAGAATAATAACCATGAATAATACTGATAAGAATGGTATCACGTTAACAACAAGCACTATTGGGAAAATACATAAAACTTACTACTTATAACAACAATAAGGATGATGATAGCAGTAATAGGTCTCCCTCTTTGCAACCCCAAAACGAAAAAAAACCTAGCTGGGGTTGGGGGTACCTATTTTCAAACTGGGATCACGTTCAATTCCAAATCTAGGACTTAAATTGTGACCCTCTGGTGATCAAACATGGCAATTGAATATCCCCGAACTAAATGTACGTATATAGGTTTAAAACTCGGTGAATCATCTATAAACGGGTCAATGCCCATTGCTATGTTTCTTTACCCCAGCATATTTTACATTTGCATACATTTACAGTATCTGATAATCAGTATGAGATATTTCAGTTTCCCAAAAAATGATCCAGCGACCAGACAAGGCAAACCAGAGGCTACCAGCCACCAGGTTCCATCCAACTGGGTTCACCCAATTAATTGCCATCAAATAATTACATGATGATAAACTGAATCATTGTGTTTTTATTGATTTCATGATATATACCATAACTGGATGGATTGCAGCTATAGATTTGCAACGTTTGTGTCCTCAAGCCAGCAATTTTACGGAATTACCGCAACGGGATCCTATTGGTACCCCCATGTCTGTCCGCAGGCCTTGCTTTCCAGGAGGGAAGTCTTGCTACAACGACCGTCGCTGGCCAAGTAAGGCACTTGGCCTTCCTCGCTCAAGCCATTCCTGGGACATACCCAACCAACTGGGGCAGGCAACGCGCGAACCGTTTTAAACAATCTGTGCATACTTAGTCGTGAAAAATGGGAATTTAACCATCAAGAAATGTAGATTCAAGTGTCAACAGGATTTGACTATGAAAATTGTGATTTGACCATTCAACATGTGGACATCTCACCAAAATATCTACAGTAGGTGAATGTGGGTAAACCTTGCTGAAGAGCTTTACCGGATGATCTTTTTGCACCATTTTTGAGATGGAGTGCTATCCCACTTCTTGATGGTGAAGTCCCCATTTTTCATGCTTCAACTCATGAAAAACATCAACATCGCTTAAATCATATTAAATCCCTAGTGTTTGATGCTTAACCCACTGCTTAACTCACCTGGCTTTGACGGAAAATCGTGTACCCCATTTCATCCACTGGATTCTCATCAAATTTCCCAAAAAAAAAGGCTACAATTCAGAGGTATGACCTAGTTCCAGGGATTGTCATGGTGATTGATATAGGGATTTTACCAACAATGGGATATTGATGGGTTTCACCCTCTGGTGAACATACAAAAAACCTCAAAAAGCTATTGAAAATGGCCATAGAAATAGTGGATTTAGCCATAAAAAATGCTGATTTTCCATAGCTATGTTAGTTTACCAGAGGGGGGTCAGCCTCCGAGCCCAACCAGGGCCAAGTCACTGCACAGCCCAAGCAATGCCCAGCTCGACTGTGGCGCCCTGACAGCCACCAGAACCACCGCATTCCTGTGGGTTTGGCACCTGGCACCGACGTGGAGGGATACGTTTTGAATGTGAATGCCAGTTGGTGGTTAGTAAGTCGTTTATAATGATCGTTTATACATTATATATAAGAATGATATATGTATTACATAGATTAGATGTGAATCCAGTCAGTAAGTGGTTCATAATAACCATGTGCCAAAGAACATCTGGGCCATCTATAATAATTCCCAAACCTGAAATAAGCCTACTGGGGGGTGATGGTTTCTCTTACTAGTCATCATTTCAGGTGATGTCATTGTGAGATTGCTATGATTTGCTAGTTCTTCCACTTAGACACAAAATATCAAACACCACCATCCCCCTACAAAACCATGGTTTCAGGGACGGGGTTGTTGCATGATCCCTTTGAATTTGTGTTTAGTAGTGTTTAGCATTGGATTGATTCATTTTGGGGGTCTCTGGGATCACCTCCAACAGTACCCCAAGTACTCCAAGTACGCCTGCACGTTTCTCATTCAAACCTCCATTTCGTTTTGGCATTTGTCCACTTACAATGTGGGGCCCCCAAACGATAGCTAAGTTGGTTTATAACTCCCACAACTATGGTTTATGATACCTATAACTATAGTATTCATGGGTTTATAAACCAACAAACATCACATTTGGGGGCCCCACATTGTTGATATGGGTTATTATATAGCTATGATATTATGATAATCCCACTATATTCCTATTTTAGATGGTTAAATACTATTAATAATATCCCAACATTCACATCACATTTGGCCCCACATTGTACCTCAACTCACTCAAAATCTCCGCATCCAAGGCGCGCAGTTGATCATCTCCTGAGTGCTAAAGCGTGCCACCCGCTTCCGGTGGATCTCGCTATGGGCGTTCAGCACCGTAGTAGCACCTGAGCTCGCTACGCCGCCACGGCGCCACGGTTTCCCTGGGGATTTTGATGAAGTGTCCAAGGGAAAAAGGTGAAACAAAAAGGATATATGTGGGTCAGAAAAACTAAGATTTCGGAGTTAGATTTTTAAAGATTTTCCGGAGAAAATGTATAGTTGTCAGGCTGTGATTTAGATAGATTTAAGCGACATGTCTAATGTAGATCGAAATAATGAAACTGTTTTCTGGTTGGTGGTTTCAACCCTTCTGAAAAATATTAGTCACATGGGAGTAATATTCCCAATATATGGAAAAATTAAACATGTTCCCAGCCACCCACCAGTTTTAGTCTGTACTGCTGTTCATTGTTTTACGAACAAGCACACGGGGGGCAACCCGATCCAAACAACTAGGATGATGGGGAACAATCAGCGGTTGTTCTGCTAGGATATGAATTGTCGTTGGCTCGCAGGGAACACATTGTTGTTTTCGCGAAACAAACATGGATGTACTACCAATAGGTTCACACCGTGAGGATCGAAAATCGGTTTGATTTCCTGTTGATGTTCTTGCAGTAAAACAGCGTGTGTTTCCCGAAGGATGATTAGTAGAAAGAACAGAACAATATGACATACAATATATGTAACAATAATATGCAATAATAATATGCAATATGATTATTGATTTTTAAGTTTTATAATTATATAAGTCAATATTAAACATATAAACATATTATGTAAACATGAAAATCCACATAATTTGTATAACTTGGACGAGTGAGGATAAGCTGTAGCCAGTCCTAGACCCATGCATGCCATTTTGCAAGGTTTCTGGGTTTTCAGGTTTCCCCGAGCTTAATCATCATTTCTGGTCAGTTTCTTTGATGTTGCTATACAAAATCTCCAAATCGTTGCGGTTGGTGGCTTCAGTATCTGTGCTGTTCGGATTTGGGCCACACCAAACAGGGACTGCAAACCAAACGTGTTGAAGCATCTAAAGGAAACTCCCAAATTCAATCAAATTGCACAACTTCCGGCAGAAAAGAAGTCATCCTGAAAGCACCGGTGCGCGCAAAGCCGCCGAAGCTTTTCCGCCGTGTTACAGTCACCGTGCCCAGCTTAGCAAATGCAGCAACCGGGACGTGGCTCGAATGCCGAAAGGAAGTGAACCACTTCAAAGTGTCGCTTTTTTGATGCCAAATCAAAGGTACTGAGTCCCCAAAATGGATGCAGTTGGGCACCAGCCTCAACCAGAAAGCGAACAATCTCAAGATGGCCTTTCTTGGCTGCACATTGCAATGCAGTCAGATGATAGTGGCCGCTATGATTTGTGTCCGCACCAGCATCCACTAGAACTTGGACAACCAATTGCCCCCTTTTAGCCGCAGATTGCAATGGGGTCTTCCCCCTGTTCCCAGAGAGATCTGGATCAGCACCAGCCGCGATCAGAAGGCGCACGAGATCCCAATGCCCCTTTGCAGCTGCCAAAGCCAAAGTAGCTTTTCCTTTCTTCTCAGTAAGATTTATATCGGACCCTGCCTCAATCACCGTGCGAACAACATCTAAATGGCCCTGGACGACGGCACAATGCAACGGTATTTTTCCTTTGTTATCTGTCTGATTTGTGTTTGCACCAGCCGCAACCAGAAAGTGCACAGCATCAACATTCCCTTTCTGAGCAGGGATATGCAATGATGTCTGTCCATTGCTTGAAGCTAGATTTGCATAGATTTGCATCAGCACCCGCATCCACAAGCAAGCGAACGACATCGATATGGCCTTGTGCGACTGCAAAGTGCAAAGGTGCATCCCCTGTTCTCAGTTCGATGTGGGCTCGCGTTAGCCTCGAGCAGAAAGCGAACAACATGTAAATGACCTCCCCAAGCAGCAGAATGCAACGGGCTCTGCCCGTGACTTTCAGCTTGATCTTGATTACCAGCCACAACCAGAAGACGGACAAGATGATGATGGCCGTTCCAAGCTGCAAAATACAAGAGGGTCTGTCCAAGGGAATCAGCCAGGTTTTCCTTTGCGCCAGCCTTAAAAAGGGAGTGAACAAAAACTGGATCTCCTTGGGCGGCAGCGTGTAATGGTGTCTGTCCATTGTTGTCCCCTTGATTTGTATGGACGCGCCAGCTGCAAGCAGAACGTGCACCATCGAATCTCCTTGCCGAGCTGCGAAATTCAACGACGTCATCCCATCCTGGGTGTCCTGTGCATCTTTTTCAGCACCTGCCTGTAGCAAAAGCTGCGTAGGTTTTAAAATGTCCGTTCATTGCTGCGTGGCGGTGTCTTGCCCCCTTCATCGGTTACATTGGGATTCCGGCGTTGAAGCAACCATTCCAGTTCTGAGTCGTCGCTACCGCAAGGATCATCTTTTTGTCCTCAACATCGGCTGGCCAAAACTCCAGGACTATTAGTTTGACCCTCACTGGAACCGAGGTAGTTTCACCTCATGATCCGAGGAATCTCGTGGCATCATCCATGAAGACTCGCCAAAATCTGGGAAGACCAAACTGAGCTGCCAAGGTTTTCTTTGGTCCTTGCAGCTTTACCGAAATAAATTCCTCTACCGTATCACTACCGAGCCGGTCTCTCGACAAGGAGTGACACACCTCCAGCAAGCGAACTCAACTTCTCACTGGGCCTGCCAGGGCATCCAGTGGCTTGGCCCTACCGATGGTCAATAAGAGTTCCTGTGGTCCTTTTCTTGTTGCCATGCTACCCAAATACAACACAAAAAAGGGGAGTTGGAAAAACCCTCGCACAGGTGGAGTTAGTCTTGTTAAAACGTAAGTTTAAGCCACATTTACCCACATTGTCGAATGATTCCCTCTTGCAAACACAACAAGATCAGTCGAAGTCTGAGCAAAGACAGTCGAGCAACCAGAAGGAAGTGAGCAGAAAGTGATGCTTCAAATGACCATCTGCGATCACCTTCGCAAATAACCTGTTGGAATATCTATGTTTTTAAGCTTAAATCGTCTATAAATGTGGCCGGTTTCTGCATTTGGCTATGTTTACCAGAGGGATCCAGAGGGTATCTTGTGTCTGAAAACTATCAGAAAACCCTGTTTTTCACATCTTAGCACTTGTCACCATGTTTGACTGCTTCGGCAAGTGCCACCATATAATCCCCAATGTGTATATATGTATATATGGTATATTGGGTAATATAATCCCCCAACTAATCATCAATCAGGGTTTACTAATAAGCCTCATTAACAATCATTAACAATTAACAACCATCATATCATCCATAGGTCCATAACTATGTTCTATGATAACAACTAAATTAAGAATCATAGTTATAGGATTTTATAGGTATCATAAGCATTCTTGAACACCAATTAGAATCCCCCAAATAACCATTAATAAGCCTTATTAACAGTCATTAAGCATAACCATTAACCATGAATAGCTAATAGATATTCATAGACATTATGTTTACCATTTTCGTATTGAAACCTCTAGTTTTCGATGGTTTTGGGGGATCCCCCATGACTATATGGTCTATACCCCAAAAAACTTCAGTAACTTCAGCATTTCTCCAGGATATCGATGGTGGCCCAAGGCACTGATGGCCCAGCAAGAGCCGCAGGAGCCCTGGTCCACAATCTCCGTGGCATCTTTCAGGTGTCGCCAGTCCACCTTGTCGCCGCAACGCGCATTGCGGCGTTGCGCCGATCGATCAGGTTTTGAAGAAGAAAATGATGGAAAAAATAAGGGTGATTCATGGGGGTGATATGTTTCGATATGTTTCTTTTGGGGATGATCTGTTTCTGGATCAAAAAAAATGATAATCACGGTGATTTACCAGGGGATTTCAACAAGGAAACTTCTTCACCACTATATATATGTATGTATGTATGTATGTATGTATGTATGTATGTATGTATGTATGTATGTATGTATGTATGTATGTATGTATGTATGTATGTATGTATGTATGTATGTATGTATGTATGTATGTATGTATGTATATGTGCATGTATATGTATATGTACATGTATATGTATATGTATATGTGTATGTGTATGTGTATGTGTATATATATAAATGGGGATTACCCGTCATTAACCATTATATTGGTGAAGCAAGCAATTGGATAGGGATACGCATTAACCAAGTTAATACTGGCTGGTTTTTATTGGATTTCCCAGAATGGATTGTGATAATCCCCAGTGTATAGAGGATAGTATAGCCCCAACAGGGTTTTGAACACTGCATTTAACAACTGGTTGGTACCTTCAACCCATCCCACAACTATTAGTGAATTTGGATCATCATCCCAAATAGGGTTTTAAATAAAACATGATTGACACCACCAACCAGACTAGTTTTCAACATCTTCCCTAAACTTTCCCAAGTAGTGAATGTTCCCAAATGGAAAAACATGTCTTTAGCAAATCCAGGTGGTTAATGATATTCAATGGGATTATGGTATATGAAAATAAGGTATCTCAAAAGGGATTATGGTCCATGACTGTATATATATATATGAATGTATATGAATGATATAGTGGGATTATGGTAGATGAATGATATAGTGGGATTATGATGAATTTCTCCCATTCAAAACAATAACGATTTTGGGTGTATAACTATTGTAGTGGGATTATAACTATTATAGTGGGATTATATAAAAGAATTATAATAGACTTTATAACCCCAACTATAAAATAATATTACTATTGATCAATAATCTACTGTAACTCTTCAGCCATGGAAAAATAGAATTAGAGGGGGATATTAATAACTATATAATAATATAACTATATAGTAATATAACTATATAATTATAACTATTGAATTATATTAACATATTAATCTCTATAATTATAACTCATTTCCAGAGACGCCAATGGAGGGGGCTCCACTTCCTGGACCATCTCGCCGCTCTCGCCGCTCTCGCCTCCTCGGGTAGGGCCACCTTAAGGTTGGCATGCGTCTCTTCCTGCGACAAAAAACCGTCCTATGTGGAATCTATGAGGGAATATATACATATATACTTACATAATGTATTTATGTGTATATATATATTATGTCTATAAATATATATATATAAAGTATATATATATATATTATACCCAGCCAGCACTTTGGCACAGCACCCAAACTCAGCTGGAAGGTACCGGTACACAACCAACTTTCACACAGAAACTGCTGCTTTTGATCTCTCTCTGGGTCTGGAGATGCTCCATCTCGTCCGATCTGCCCGAGGAGCTTTCCACCTGTTCGAACCAATTCCGCTTTCGAAACCCCACAAGAAAATTCAAAAACGATGGACTTGTCCAGAAATGGAACTGGTCGGCTTTGCCGGGCTACCCTAAGACTCTCGGAGAAGATCGGTTCTGTGATGGTGATCCTCCAAGAAGCCATGGTTCCGTTGCTCCCGGTCACAAAGAACACAATCTATCTACATATATATATATGCAGTATATAATGTGGACATTCATGATCATTCATCCAAATATCAATGGGAATTCCAGGATCCTAAAATGGAGATACGTTAGTACCATATAATGCCATATTTTGGGTGTATATCCCCTTACATAGCCCTAAAAAATAGGCCAAACATATATGGAATCGGTACCTCCGATAAATCGGTACCTGTTGCGTGGCCATTGAACATATATACTCTCTGGCAATCAGACATGGCCATTGAAAATCCAGCAAGTATATATAGACATTTTTTCCAGCTAGAAATCTCCATCAATTGTTCGGAGATTTTCAAAATTGCCCTGTTTGATTGCCAGAGGGTATAGAAAATGGGAACATCATGATGATAAACTGAGGATGTAATGGAGATATCATTGAATATGCTGTGTAGATGGGGATTTCTTGTAATTGGATGTATAGTATATGATAACACAGTCTGATGTTTATCCCCTTTCTTCTTGTGCGGACATCTTGGTATAATAATTAATCTTGAAAACAAATGATGGAGACATTGTCTTTCAATCACTTGCTGTGCTGAGTTCATGGCAAAATCCCCAAGATTCATGGCGAGAAATTCCAAATAGTTCTTGACGGCTGGAGCTTTCCTAGGTCATGGGGGGTACCCCATGAATTGCATCATCCATGAAACAAAATTGGGATTTTCCATAAACCGTCCAGCCTGGTTGGTGGTTGAGCCACCTACCCCTCTGAAAAATGATGGAGTGAAAGTCAGTTGGGATGATGAACTTCCCAATTGAATGGAAAGTCATAAAATTTCATGGTTCCAGTCACCACCAATCAGCCATGCATATTCCATTACCATAGGGTGAATCACCATTGAATCACCATTAAACCACCAACCATCCAGCTATTGGAAAACCAGGAAACCTCCATCCCTTTTCAGACTTCCACCATGTCCCAGGATTGGGCAAACCAATCCATTGATGCCCAATACATAGTACGGTCTGTTTGGTTGCCCGTGACGTTCCCATGGTACACCTCATGATTTCCCCATCATTCCTAGTTTCATGTTAAATCTCTATGAATGTGGTAAACCCATTGATAAACCGACAAAATTTGGGGGTGGTGTTTATACAATCTATTTCTGGTCATTTGGGGGTTGTTTATTTTTGGGTTTGCCACATTATTGATGGTTGAATCCCAGTCTTTGTATGTAAACCTATATTTATTTATTTCCTTGATATTCCTATTATGCCTAGTAAATCTCTATTATTGATAGTTGAATCATGTTGACTAGATAATGTTTTTGGTGTTGGTTGAATAATAATGATATTATCTCTATAACCTATACAAATGATATCTCTCTTATTGTTGGTTGAATTCCATTTTTTGTTTAAATCCTCCGGTTATTCCAATTTTTGATGTTTAATAGTTGTATTTTCATATTTCCATATTATTCCAATTACAGTATATGTTTCCATTGTATGATGTTTTTAGTGTCCATTACATTCCTATTTTTTCCTATATATCTGTATATGTGTTTCCATTAAGTTCCTATTTTTGCTATATATATGTATGGCATTTTTTCCATTACATTCCTATGTTTCCTATAATATATATATATATATTATATATATATTATATTATATATATTATATATTATATATATATTATATATATATATTATATATATAAATATATATATACACACCTTATTTCCATCTTTAGAACCTCCCAGCATTTCAGGTGCCGCAAACGTCCCGGAGAGTCCTCTTGCATCAAGGAGAGTCCTGAGTCACGCACCTGGACCGAGATGTCACGAAGATGCACCACGTTGTTTTTTTCGGATTTTTTTCACTAGGGATTAAACACATGGGATTTAGAGAATATTATCTCTATAACCTATACAAATGATATTATCTCTATAACCTATACAAATGATATCTCTCTTATTGTTGGTATTGTGGGATTTTTTCTTATGGTTTTTGATTTTTAATTGATGAACATCCATTGGGATTTCATATGATTTAACTAGCAAAGGTGTTGAGGGGATGTGATCGCCCATTTTTGTTTTCAACTGTGATGATTTAACCAGCACACATGGCCATTTAAGAACATGTTCCTGGAATCTATATAAATGGCTGGTTGCTGGTTGAGCCCTACCCCTCTGAAAAATGATGGAGTGAAAGTCAGGTGGGATGATGAAATTCCCAACTGAATGGAAAAATAATCTAAATGTTCGAAACCACCAACCAGCCATTAATATTCCATTACCAGAGGGTTAATCACCATTAAATCACCTTGAATATACCTATTAAATCACCAGCATGGGATTGAACTTGACAAACCAACATAGAGGTTTTAATGCTTGCAAAGAAGGGACCGGGGACCGACACACTTGAGTTATAACTAGGCTATACAAGTGGGGTTTACCGTGCATCCTGGAATTGGTGAACATGAACAATTTCATCCCGGACCCTTGTTGTGGGCTAACCTCTGGCAATCTAACATGATGGAAAATCCTCCACTGATATCTGATTGTAGATTGTTTGTCTCACAAAAAATGTGAGTATGGTACATACACTTGCCACATGCGTAACTAAATTGGTAACTATATGTACCCTCTGGTAAACGTTTACATAACTATGGAAAATCACCATGTGTTAATGGGAAAATCCACTATTTCTATGGCCATTTTCAATAGCTATGTTTGTTTACCAGAGAGGGTAACTTTGGACCAAACTCACAAGCACAAAGTCACGGTGAGTTCAATGTGGGTCCGGAAGGGAACTTCCCATGACTTTACACAAAAAAATCATCCCGTGTCTCTGGCAAGTTGAAAAAAAACATCTTGTTCTGGAGATAAGGAACCAAGTTTGAGATTATTTTAGTTAAGTATATTATCACATATCTAATATGTTTTTTCCATAAACCCGTCACCAATTACCATATATCGTATATTGACCATATTTCATCATCACATATATAGTGAGGTTTGCGTGGTCTTCACGATTCTCACTAGAAAAAAACACATTTGGGCAGCTATCATTGACCAATTGGGTACAATGTGGGGCCCCCAGTGATGTTTGTTGGTTTACAACCCCCATGAACACTATAGTGTAATAGCTATCATAAACCATAGTTATTGAGGTTATAAACCAACATAGCTTTCTAGGGGGCCCCACATTGTAGCAAATTCGATTTACAGTCCAGCGTATCCCATCGTCTCCCCATTCTTCCAGGTTGAAACCCAATTTTCTTCAACGGTGACAGAGGTGCCCGGTGAATAAGGTCAAGGGGGTGACAAGGACAACAAAAAAAAAGTGATGCAAAATCCTAACTGCTTTTGACAGAAACCATGGTTTGATCACGTTTTTCTCCATGGTGACTTGTGAACACCCTGATGATTAAACCCTGATGTTTCCGCAGCCAATAAAACCCAATGTTTCATAATTAAACACAATTAAACCATACTAAACCATATACCCTCTGGTAAACGTTTACATAACTATGGAAAATCACCATTTTTAATGGGAAAATCAACTATTTCTATGGCCATTTTCAATAGCTTTTTGTATGTTTACCAGAGGGTAAATCCCATCAATATCCCCATTGTTATTGGTAAAATCCCTATATCAATCACCGTGAAAATCCCTATGAAACCATATCAAACCATATCAAACCCCATAAAAAAACACTATTAGCCACATTAAAACCTCCATTCACCTCCATCAACCACCATTAAACCATACTAAAACCCCAAAGTTTCACCGCGAAATCCAGGCCACGCCATCCACGCCATCCACGCCATCCGTGACCTGAGCTGCGCACCTGCGACGGCTTGTAGCCATGCAGCACCTTCAGCTCCTCGGGACGGAAGTCTGCGAACCTCGGTGACTCGGTGACTTTTTTTGTCGACGCAAGCAACGGCCGAAACCGTTCATGGTGATTTTCATGGTGATTTTCATGGTGCTTTTCATGGGATTTAATGGTGATTTTCATGGTGATTAACCCTCTGGTAATGGAATATGAATGGCTGATTGGTGCTTTAATAGTAATTTGATTGGAGATTTTTCAGGGGTTTCATGGGATTTTAATCATTGAAGAAATGATATGGTGAAAATCAACTAATATTTTAATCATTTACCATTTAATTGGGAAAATCAACTATTTCTATGGTTTAATAGTAATTTGATATTCATAATCATTGAAGAGTGATGTTGTTCGTGAATCACGGCCACTGTTCAGCCGTGGAAGGTCCGGGAACTCCCAAGCTCGGACCCGAGGCGGAGGCGACCTTGACCAGCCCGGTGGCGTAGACGCTCGAGAGGCCGGCACTTTGGGGAAGGTTGCTGCTTCTTCCGGTGGCGTATGCAGTTGCTTTACCCTCTGGTAATGACAATGATTGATATAGGTGATTGATATAGGGATTTTACCAATAACAATGGGGATATTGATGGGATTTACCCTCTGGTAATGACTAACAGTTTGCGACATAGAAAATGGCCATAGAAATAGTTGATTTTCCCAGTAATAGCATGGTGATTTTCCATAGTTATGTAAACGTTTACCAGAGGGTAACGGCCGTTCAGCCTCAAAGGAAACAGCCACGCCGATAATTCTTGAGACCCTGTCGTCCTCCACGGATCCTTACGAAAACAAGAGTGGCCCTCTGTGATTTCGGGCTCAACGGGGCTCTAGGGTTCAAGGTTTGGGCCAACACACTGAGCTGTATCATGCCACTGGTTTAATAGTGATTTGAATATATTTGAATGGGATTTCATGGGAATTATATAATGTGGGTAAAACTGGTAAAACAATGTCATGCTAACCATTCCCAGTCATGGGTGGTTTATGACATTGCTTTATCCCCCCTTGATTACACTTACCCTAGGGTAAACTGCTCCAAACAGATGTGGAACACAACCATAAAGCTGATTTTGGATATATTATATATATATATATAATCTCAACAAAATACGTGGATGTTCATGGATTTTCCATGTCTTTCTCGGTTGGTTGAGTCATGATCTACAGATCTATACGTCGTAACTGTCTCTGGGGGTTGGGCTTCAGCATGCTTCAGCCATACCCATATGCGAACCATGGTGCTGGTATATAAAAATCTACTGTGTTATACATACTTGCATGTTAAATCACATTACCCATATGCTCCATGTATGGAATATTTACCAACATTTGCCCAAAGAAAATCACCCAGTTTTGTAGGTAAATATACCAGCACCATGGTTCGCATATATACCATGCCACCGATGATTTCACGGATTTCACCCCTTTTTTTGGGGGGGATCCGACGTTCCGAAATCATGGGATGTCAATGTGTTACAGCAAATGGAGGTACGTAAACGTACCATATGTTTGGCCATAGAAATTGTGGGGATATTCCGTGAAATTTAGGCCGAAAAAATAGGCCTTATATATGTTAGGTACCTCCAATCAATCGGTTCCTGAAATGGCCATTGATATATGTATATATGATGGTGATAAGTGGGATATACCCAGTGGCTTAATGATGATTGAATGATGGTGATACCCGTAGATATGATGGTGATAAGTGGTTAATCACCATTCGTTATACTATAGAATGTATATATTGTAACCATTCTATAGATTCTATAACTATATCAAGTGGCTTAATGGTGATTGAATGATGACTTTTCCAAACCATTTTCAAATGGGCACATAACTATTATTGTATAACCACAATATACTCGTAACTAGATTGCACATGGTAATTCATAATTTAAACTTAAAACTAACTACGATTGGTGATTATGAAGTTATGATAATCACAACTCACAACAGATTGATAATCATAACTTGATATAAGATATTAGATAAACATTGATAAACATTATTTAATATCATTATGGTTATTCATTAATGATCGTTGCGTGGTTTTTCACGGAGTTCTGTGTACCAAAGTTTGCCTACAGGATCCTACAAGATCCTACAAGTTGATTAAATCAATTATATAAATCGCTTATATTTTTTCGTTGCAATCTGGTAAAAGATGGTTCAACAACATGGTAAACATATATCAATGGGAAATTCAATGGTAAAATAGACCTTATTTCAATGGGATAGGTACCTCCAATCAATTTAGATTCCTCATATATGGCCATTGAATATACACGAATCTATAACGATAATGGTGATTTGCGGGATGTATATTGAGGTATGATGAGGTCGCTTCTTGCTGTTCTTGTTGAACTATGTTGAACTGTTTCCTCCCTGACAAGGGTTCCTGCAATGTGGGCCCGGGGCATCGATGAACATGTTACGAGCCACTAGCACGACCAAAGTATCATCATAAATCTGCAGGCTAAATCACCTTCAACCCATTGCCACACGACAAAACCAGCATAAACCAACCTTCTACAATCCTATGTAACTGTATGTGCTAGGGTTTAATATGTGTACCAATATACATCACCCAATATGTGTGTATAATCCAATTTTTTACATCTTTTTACCATGGTTCATATAACCTCTCTAGTACTATCACACTTTTCGTGGGTCTGGTGGATAGTCCAGTTGGTACCCCATGGAAGGTCAACGATTTTGAGCATCCACGTAGCAACGTCATCATTGGGGCTTTCAGATCAGGTTTTTCTTTAAAGATTTCAGGATATAAAAAATGGAATAACGGAATAACCATATTGATTATCAATAACAAGGATTTAGGTCTCTGTACATATAAGGATCTTATCTGATCTTATGAATTGTTTCAAGGTAAAAAAAACACTGGAAACAACCATATTTGTTGTCAAAAACCATGATCATGAAGCAGGCCAATTGCGATCATCCTCCCTAATCGGGCTGGAAAAGTCTGACATACCCCCGGCAATTCAGAAATTGGGCTACAGGATGGGGCCCCCAAGATAGCATTCAGTTGCCTTATAAGTGGCCGTAAGTGGCTGAATTCTATGGTTTATGGTAGATATAACTATAATATTCATGGGTTTATAAACCAGCTTATAACTGGGGGGGGGCATCATCCTGTAGGACCCAGTGATGTTTTCTCATCCTGCCAGTGTCAACGTGTCAACGATGTTTCACGCCGTTTCAATCCCCCAAATTTGCTGGTCAAATCCTGCCAGTTTCCCCTAGTTAACTCCGAATGTGCCCCGGTCAAAACCCAATTCTCACCTGGTTGGTGGTGTAGCTACCTCTCTGAAAAATATGACTTCGTCAGTTGGGATGATGAAATACATGAAATTCCCAACTGAATGGAAAGTCATAAAATTCATGTTCCAAACCACCAACCAGTCACATATTCTCACTAGTGAACTCCACCATTTCATCTTGGATGTTCAAAAAAACACTCTCCCCCTCCCAAAAAAAAAGTGATTCAATTCATGGATGTCCAAATTCAAAATCATCGGCAAATCCAGATTGTTGGTCAGGATTGTCAATATTATTTGGTTGACCACTTCTAAAATCTAAAATGTCTATGATGTATCACCATCCTCATCCTTCCAATTCACTAATCATCTTAATTATCTGGTTGGTGGTTGAGCCACCCCTCTGAAAAATATGAAAGTAACCATTTTTAGAGTTGGTATAAACCATTCCCAGTCATGGGTTGTTTATATATTATAATTTTAGTAATTCACCCAAAATCCACAACTATCACTTTTTTTCTTGGACAAAAACATGCCTAACAGATGTAAGATTCAGAGAATTCACTAACTAGCAAATTACAGTAATTCTTCCAATTCACTAATCATCTTCAGTTGGGATTCTTATTCCCAATATAATAATTCAAAGCACCAACCAGTTATAGTAATTATGGTTTAATTTATATAAACCTTCAATTGTGAATCAATTAATCAATTAATTAGTCCTACAGCAAGTCATACAAGTCACAAACTTCAACCAACCAAACCGACGCAGTCCGACGAACCAACGCAGTCCGGGCGACTTGTTCAGCCCCGCAGTCCAGCGACTTGACCTTGACCAAATCCGGTGATTCATGAAATGTGTCGAAGCACCAAAACTTGGTGAAACAACCGTAGGTTTAATGGGAATATATAAACTAATAACTATACATATGTATAATATACCCAAAGTTTATTAATCAATAAGTATACATAAGTGGGAATAAATGCATTGTTGGTTTATTAATTGGTGGTTTGAACCCCTAATATTAGTATAATCCGCATATAATGGTACTAATCAATAACCAACAATTGGTTTTAACCCTAATGGGATTATATAAACTAATAACTACATAGACTGGTTGGTGGTATACCTACCCCTCTGAAAAAATATGAAAGTCAGTTGGGATGATTCTTCCCAAGTGAATGGAACAATTAAAAATGTTCCAAACCACCAACCAGATCAAGTAATAGAATTTGAACAGCAACAGTCAAAACACGGACCCAAATTCAGATGCTCAGATGATTCCTAAAGAAAGTTAAAGTTAAGATCCATGATGATCCATGGTTAAGAGAAAAGAAACAGCACTTTTACGCAGGAAAACACATCTGTAGACCCATTTGTTTTTTTATTTTTTGTTCAATTTGATCAATTTATATAATCATAATAAAGTACAAAACTTCCGAGCACAAATAAAACAACTCAATGTGGCAAACACATGCATGAAGCTGCTCCCAATCTAGCAAGTTTTGCCGCAAAGGGCGGCGGTAGAACACCAAACATGGAGATGGAAAGGAAAGTATGTGAAATGGACGGTATTCATTCCTGGAACTATGAATGGAATAGGAGGCATCAGCCGGGGGAAACACTCAAAGGATGTATCATTGAGTATTCAATCATAGTTCCTTGGTAATTCAATCATTGAGTCATCCAGACTAGTATTGAATCATTCCTCCTTTGATTAATGAATGAAACCTGGGTAATGGGTGATAATGGTCAAAATAGGAATCACAAAAATTGTCCCATCTGTGGCTTTCAACCCTCCTTCTATTATATAGTATCTTTGACCATTTTGGTAGCTGCCACTTTAGTTGGTCATTTACAGAACCTACCAAAATGCTGATACATTGGACAAATTGAAATCATTAGGTGCAGGTGCGTAAAAAATCAATAACATAATTATCTGAAAATATTGCGCCCTTAAAAAAACATTCACACGTTTCATGTTTGCATCCTTCAGCCATTTTTGATCCCTGAATCTATCCGATCTCAAACCTATGGTTTGTAAGACTTATCCATTTTCATTATTTAACATATCTATGGACAATGGCTCGTATATATATATACATATGTAAATATATATATATATACCAGCTAAGCCTAATACATATAAATTATTACGAATTCCAAGAAAAAGTAATATTTTTTTGCAGTTGCAGAAATTCTTGCGATTTGACAAATCGTTGCGAGAATTAGGTTTGGATACTTAAGAATGCATATTTTAGTTTATTTTGATGATTGTGAATTATGTGATGTAGGGCTTAAAGTATATATGTTTTATCTGTAGCTGTTTTGCTTGATGGGGGTGCGCAATATTTGGATGGGCTGCGGCTGCGCTATGCTGCGCTAGTGCATCTGGCATGTTTATATCATGAGGGGGTTCAGCTGATGTATGTTTTATTTATGTTTTCTGATAATGTGGATGTCAAGCAAGTGTGTTGAAAGCCCTGCCCACGGTTGAAATAATGGCTCAAAGGAATTTTGAGATGATGGACCTAGTTGTGGACGCTCCGGGACAAATGGTTGTGTCGACTGGAGTCTATGCCAAATTGGGCGGCCTATATGAAGCTTGGGATGAGAAGAAGGATCTGCGAGAACAGTTTCGAAACGTGAAGCGGCTCTTGGTGGAGAGACCTGCAGAAGGTGACTCTATTGAGACAACCACCGCAGCCATTGCTCGCACAGCCTTGAACCTGCGCTTCAACAGTGCTGCAGTGGAGCCACTGTGCTGGAAGATGAGGAATGCACCTCAATCTGTGCCATGCATCGATGCATTGCACAGAGAGGTGCAGAAATTCCACGAGGCACATGGTCTGAACTCAGCCTTCAAGACCATCCAGGATGAAGCATGGAGTCTCAGGTACATGTTCGGATTGGTGAAGCAATTGACGTACAAGCAAGGACCACCCAGAGATGCTTAATGTGCAGGTTCAGCATTTGTTTTATTTTTTTGGGTGGGAGGTGCTATCTTTTTTGCCTTCGACCTTTGAATTTGCAGCCTTGAAATGCATCTGATAAGGATCCCGTTTTCCTCTCGATGCTGAAGGCCTTTGGGGTGAACCTGGAGGAATGGCGGCCTGAAGCGAAACCACCTGCGGCTGCTAAGGACTGCCTTGGGCCACTGGGAGGGAGTTACTTCTCGACCTTAGATTCAAGCTTAGTTTTAGTTTGCTTGATTGATAATTTAGATTAGTCTCATAGTCTTACAATAGGTATAAGCCATAGTTCGAATTTAGACTGGTTAGCTTAAACTTGCATTAAAAATAATTCCAAACCTTAAATCATAATTAGGATTTAAATGTAGAATTTGGTATAAATCTGACTTGAGAAGTGGCCAGAATGCCAGTAGTCAAAATTCTGCTTGATTTGAACTTTACTTAATTTGAGCTAGTCCTTAATTTAATAAGATCAATGCCGATAATTCTTTAAATGGCGAATTAAATTAAATTGATTGAATTTGTGATAAATAGTCTTAAATGAACAGTCATTTGTCCTAAATTATAGTCTTAATTAAATTTAAACTAATTCCATTAAATTTAAATAATAATAATAATTAAATTTGAGCTAATCCAATTTAATTTATAATCTTAAACTAACCCCAATTTAAATTTTCACTAATCCCATATAATTTGAATAATAATTAAAATTAAATTTGAGCTAACCTTTAATTTATAATCTTAATCTAATCCCAATTTAAATTTTAATTAATACCAGTTAATTTAAATAATAATAATTAACAATAATAATAATAATTAAATTTGAGCTAATCCAAATTAATTTATAATCTTAATCTGCTCCCAATTTAAATCTTCACTAATCCCATTTAATTTAAATAATAATAATTAAATTTGAGCTCGTCCAATTTAATTTATAATCTTAATCTACTCCCAATTTAAACTTCACTAATCCCATTTAATTTAAATAATAATAATTAAATTTGAGCTAACCCAAATTAATTTATAATCTTAATCTACTCCCAATTTAAATCTTCACTAATCCCATTTAATTTAAATAATAATAATTAAATTTGAGCTCGTCCAATTTAATTTATAATCTTAATCTACTCCCAATTTAAACTTCACTAATCCCATTTAATTTAAATAATAATAATTAAATTTGAGCTAACCCAAATTAATTTATAATCTTAATCTACTCCCAATTTAAATCTTCACTAATCCCATTTAATTTAAATAATAATAATTAAATTTGAGCTCGTCCAATTTAATTTATAATCTTAATCTACTCCCAATTTAAACTTCACTAATCCCATTTAATTTAAATAATAATAATTAAATTTGAGCTAACCCAAATTAATTTATAATCTTAATCTACTCCCAATTTAAATTTTCACTAATCCCATTTGATTTAAATAATAATAATAAAATTTGAGCTAGTCCAATTTAATTTATAATCTTAATTAAATTGAGCTAATTTAATTTAATTTAAAATCTCAATTTTAAACTAATCCCATTTAATTTATAATCTTCATTAAACTTGAACTAATCCCATTAAATTTTTTAACCTCAATTAGAACTAATCCCAATTATTTTACAAATCTAATTTGAACTAATCATTCGATCTTAAAATCTATAATCTTAATTAAATTTAAACTAATCTCTCATGTTAATTTATAAGCTTAATTAAATTTGAACTAATCCCATTAAAATCTATAATCTTAAAATATTTGAACTTAGACTACTTTGAACTGCTTAAGTTCAATTTAAACAACTAATTCCCTGATCCCATTTATGCCCTGAAAATTAATCCCTTCAGGCATCACGAGCTTCATCATCACTGCCATCATCGACCACTTCGTCACCAGCTGCATCGCCAGCACCCAAAGCGGCCACGGAATCACCTGCGGGCACAATGGTTGTGGCCAAACCTGGCTCTGTGAGAAGTTCTGGTTTGAATGGGCCAACTGCAGTGCCTAAATTGTCGGGTGCTTCTACTTTGCCTGGACCACCTGCCCCGAAAAGTGCTATGCCTCCAGCACCTCCCCCAGTGAAAGCTGCCGCCTCGATGATGGCTGCCCCAGCTGCTCCAGCAAAGGCTGGCCCAGTCATCCCGAGAGCCTCGTTGCTGGAACTGGCTGTGCGGAAGAAACACTTGGAAGAAATGCACTGTGGCAGAAATTTAACAGAAATAATTTTACATGAATTATATTGGTTTGTTTCTTAATTTCATGAATTAATCCCCACAATGGTACCATATGATTTCACTGGTTAACCTGCTTAGGCTGAAGGTCAAAAGAGATGCTGAAGCAGAAAGGGCACAACAGATTGCACAAGCTGCCGCTGAAAGACTTCAAGAACGCACAGGTTAATTACTGCACTAGCATTAGTGGGTTTTTGTCTCCAAGAATTAGTGTTGGCTCTAATGCTTAAAAAAGAAACAAATTAACTTAAAGGCATTTAAAGGCCGTTTTTCTGTTGCAGGTTCTGCCACCGACTTGATGCAGACTCTGGACTTACCTGATGAGAGCATGGACTTGTGCATCAAAGCTGCCCCTTCAAGCACTTCAGGTTCTTCGGCGACTACTGTGAAAGGTTTTGTTGCTTTGCCTCCTCCAAGCGCAGTCGCAGTGGCAGGGGCAAGTTTGATGGATGAGAAGAAGGCACCGTCAGCTAATCCCCATCCTCAAAACGCAGTGGAGGTAGCAGGAGCAAGTCTGATGGATGAGAAGAAGGCACCCTCGGCCAATCTGTCTCCTCCTAGTGCAGTGGCAGCGGCTGAGGCATCTTTGACAGATGAGAAGCTGGAAGAAGACAATGCTGAGGCACTTAGAAGGGCACAGCTGTCCATGCGTGCTGAGCAGAAGGAGAAGGCAGAGAAGGCAAAGGAAGAAAAGGAGAAAAACAAGGAGGACAATGGTCAGAAGACAAAGGCTGCTTCCAGACCAAAGGGAAAGGCAAAACCCAAGGGCCGACCTCGCAAAGGACCTGCCGAGGAAGAGGAGGCGCCTGCAAGAAAACCTAGAAAGAGGAAGTCAAAGAGGAATCTTGAGGCACCGCAGGATGAGGAGCATCAAGATGCACCGCAGGCTGTGGAGGCACCGCAGGTTGTGGAGGCTGAGCCACCTGCAAAGAAGCCAAAGAAGAGGACCCGAGCTGCTTCTCGATGCAAGCCAGCAGCTTGCACGGAGAATGCCTTGGATGAGGAAAAGGTGCAAAAGTTTTTGGATCTTTGCCGCAAGTATGATGGAACATCATACAACAGATCCACCGATACCTTGCACAAGCAGGAAGTGCACCCGAAGTTGGTTTTGGTCCCCTACTTCACTCGCCCTGCATGTGGTGTGAAGATCAAGTTGGCCGATGGCACCAGTACGCAAAAGATTTACATGTCAGGCAAATATGACACTGTGGCCGTGAACATCCAGCAGTGCATCTACCTGGCAAAGGAGTTGGGCCAACAGGATCCAGAGGCGTTTGTGGAGTGGTGTGCATCGGGGGATTGTCTCCAGAGAACTGTGGAACTGGAGAGGTGCGCCATGGCGGCGAAGCATCGCTTTTTTGAGGAGAAGAAGCAGGGGGTTTGATGAAGTCCTATAGCTCAACTTAGTTGACTCAACTTTGCGAAAATTTGATTTACACATAGTGGTCCTTGCTTCAATGATCTTCAAACTAACAAATTTATCCAAATAGAAATACAGATTCCAACAAATTTCATAGTTTATGCTTCCTGCAAGGATCCCTGTGTGCCTGAGATACGATAGCCTACTCTGTGTTGACTTGGCGTGCAAAAAGAAATGCATGCTGACAGGGTGCAAGCAAGCTGCTTCAGCATTTAATTATTTTTAGAGTTCAACCTTTTTAAGATTGAATTTAAACACACTAGTTCAATATAACATTTCAACTTTAATCTTACTTAAAGTTCAATTTAATCTCAAGATCTCAAGCTACTTGATCAACTTTAGTAATTACTACATAAATTTCAATTTTTAAAGTCTGAGCTTAAACACAACTATTCTAATAATGAACACGTCGACCTTAAAATCTTAAATCTAAACTTAATCTCATACAGATTGGTTGAATTTGTTTTGCCAGGTCTGCCTTCTCCATGTGCAGCGGCTTCAGTGGCGATGCTGCTTCAGCGGCGATGGTGCTTCAGCGCTGAAGATCCAGCCCTTTGCCTCAGGTGCCGTGGATACTGGGCGGGGTCTTGTCGTTGCTGTCTTAATAGCTAAAATTAGCATGTGCCTGGATGGCTCTGCATTTCCTGCAGTATTTCCTTTACTTATACTTTTTGGCTGGAATCGTGGGTAGACTCCGTCAACCCCGGTGGCTGCACGCCATGCCCAATGGAGATGGGGACGGTGGGAGCAGTGAAGAGCACATGTGTCCTGTCTTAATTTATTCCCTTTTTTTATCCACAAATATATGGATTTCAATACTTATTTTCAATGGCGTCCACTCACCAATCATGGGCATTATCCTGAGGGCTGGCATGGACGACGGGAAGGGCATGGGCAGCTGGCACATGCCGAAGGGCAAGGGGAAAGGAACTGGGCGACGACCTGTGCCACTAGGACCGCGACCCATGCCGCCTACAGTCCCCCCTCGCCCAAAGCTGATGCCAACCAGCGTTCGCCATGGTGGTGCTTGGATGCAATGCTTCCTATGGGTGCCTTTCCAACCTGGAGCTTCCCCTACAATGCCTCCTCCGGTGTCTCCTTTAGGTGCTCCTTTGCCTCCACCTCCCCCGCAAACCAGTGCCCCGACAACCCCGGCGGCGACCCCTCCTGCGGAAGCGGTAGTCCCAGAAGGCACTGGTCCTGCTGCCCGGGAGGAGACTGGTCACACTGGCCCTGAGGAATGCCCAACGGAGGAAGATGATGGTGACTATGCGGAAGAGGACTGTGGTTCCCAAACCTGTGTTTTTGAGCTTTTTTTTGGTTCAATGTTGTTCATTTGTTGCACGCACTTGCAATGTAGCAGGTGGATGCTAATAGCCCTCCAGATCTTGGCGATTCCGGCGAGCTGCCAGAAACTGAAGAAAGGGATGCGGAACCCCACAGCACTTGGGCTAGGAATTAGCTCATTTTAGTTTAATGTCCCTTTGTTTATAAATTGTTTCTATGTAATATAGGTCATCCTATTTAATCATGCAACATTACAATTCATTTAGGCCGCAATCCAAGATAGTCCAAGTCAAAGTCAGAAAGGACATGTTCTTACCCTATATACAATG